GCGTTGCCCGCAAGCAAGACACACCGGCTAGGGCTAGTGTTCGCTGCTTCGAATTGCGCTCCTCTCATTTGCGCTCCTGTCAATTGTGCTGCTCCAGCAGAGCGAGCACTCCTCTCGTTTGCACTCCTCTCTCTTGCACTCCTCTTGGTTGAGCTCCTGTTGATTGAGCTCCTGTCATTTTCACTCCTCTTGATTGCGCTTCTGTCGATTGCGCTCCTCTCCAATGAGCTCCTGTTGATTGCACTTCTCTCTGCTGCTCTTCTTTCGATTGCTCTCCTGTCGATCGAGCTCCTCTTGATTGAGTTCCTGTCGATTGCGCTCCTGTCGATTGCACTCCTGTCGATTGCGCTCCTCACTGCTACTCATCTCTCGATTGCGCTCCTCTTCATTGCGCTCCTCTTCATTGCGCTCCTCTCAATTGCGCTCCTGTCGATTGAGCTCCTCTGAATTGTGCTGCTCCAGCAGTGGAGCGCTCCTCTCTCCTTCTCTGCTCTCGATTGCGCTCCTCTCTACAGCGCTTCTGTCGATTGTTCTGCTTTCGATTGTGCTACTGTCGATTGCTCTTATCTTGATAGCACTCCTCTTGATTGCGCTCCTCTCTGCTGCTCTTCACTCGATTGCGCTCCTGTCCATTGCGCTCCTCTCCAATGAGCTCCTGTCAATTGCGCTCCTCTTGATTGCGCTCCTGTCGATTGCTCTGCTCTCGATTGCGCTCCTGTCCATTGTGCTGCTATTGATTGAGCTCCGTGCTGTTATCAATTGCGCTCCTCTCTCTTCCTATGCTCTCGAGTGAGCTCCTGTCAATTGCGCTCCTCTTGATTGCCCTCTTTTCGATTGCGCTCCTCTCTCTTGCTCTGCTCTCTCTTGCACTCCTGTCGATTGCACTCCTGTTGATAGAGTTCCTGTCGATTGCTCTTCTCTTGATTGCGCTCCTGTCGATTGTGCTGCTCCAGCAGAGTGAGCGCTCCTCTCGATTGCGCTCCTCTCGATTGCGCTCCTTTCGATTGCGCTCCTCTCGATTGTGCGCATTGCAGCAGAGTGAGCTCTCCTCTCGAATGCTCTGATCTCAGTTGCGCTCCTGTCGATTGCGCTGCTCTCAATTGCGCTCCTCTCTCTTGCTCTGCTCTCTCTTGCACTCCTGTCGATTGCGCTCCTCTCTGCTGCTCATCTCTCGATTGCGCTCCTGTCGACTGTGCTTTTGTTGATTGCACTCCTCTTGATTGCGCTCCTGTCGATTGCGCTCCTGTTGATTGCGCTCCTGTCGATTGCTCTGCTCTCCATTGCACTCCTATCTCCTGCTCTTCTCTCGATTGCGCTCCTCTCTCGATTGCGCTCCTCTCTCCTGCTCTGCTCTCGATTGCGCTCCTTTCGATTGCGCTCCTGTCGATTGCGCTGCTACAGCAGAGTGAGCGCTCCTCTCTCTTGCACTCCTCTCTCTTGCGCTACTGTCGATTGCTCTCCTCTCTCCTGCTCTGCTCTCGATAGAGCTCCTGTCGATTGCACTCCTCTCTGCTGCTCTTCTCTCGATTGCACTCCTCTCTCTTGCGCTCCTGTTGGTAGAGCTCCTCTCTCCTGCGCTCCTGTCGATAGCTCTGCTCTCTTTGCTCTGCACTCGATTGCGCTGCTCCAGCAGAGTGTTAGCTGCTTCGAATTGCGCTCCTGTCGATTGCGCTCCTCTCGATTGCGCTCCTCTCGATTGCACTCGTCTTGATTGAGCTCCTGTCGATTGTGCTCCTGTTGATTGTGCTCCTGTTGATTGTGCTCCTGTTGATTGTGCTCCTGTCGATTGTGCTCCTGTCGAATGCGCTGCTCTCTCCTGCTCTGCTCTCGAGTGAGCTCCTGTCGATTGTGGTCCTCTTGGTTGCACTCCTCTCGATTGCGCTGCTGCAGCAGAGTGAGCGCTCCTCTTGATTGCGCTCCTCTCTGCTGCTCTGCTCCCGATTGCGCTCCTCTCGGTTGCTCTCCTCTCGATTGCGCTCCTCTCAATTGTGCTCCTCTCTCTCGCTCTGCTCTCGATTGCGCTACTTTCGATTGTGCTCCTCTCTCCTGCTCTGCTCGTGATTGCGCTCCTCTCGATTGCGCTGCTGCAGCAGAGTGCTCGCTCCTGTTGCTTGCACTCCTCTTGATTGTGCTCCTGTCGATTGAGCTGCTGTTGATTGCACTTTTGTCAATTGCGCTCCTGTCGATTGCGTTCGTCTTGATTGCGCTCATGTCGATTGTGCTGCTCCAGCAGAGTGAGCGCTCCTCTCGATTGCGCTCCTCTCGATTGCACTCCTCTCGATTGCGCTGCTCTCAAATGTGCTGCTCTCAATTGTGCTGCTCCGACAGAGTGTGCGCTGTCCAGCAGTTCGCTGATGAGATTGCGCTTCTCAGATTGCGTTGCTCCAGCTGTGCGTTGCTCTTGAGCTGTGTGTTGCTCTTGAGCTGTGCGTTGCTCTCGAACAGTTCGTTGCTCTCGAGCTGTGCGCTGCTCAGATTGCGTTGCTCCAGCAGAGTGTGCGTTGCTCCAGCTGTGAGTGTGTTGCTCCAGCTGTGCGTTGCTCAATTTGCGCTGCTCCAGCGAAAATAAATTTGTTTGCGTTGCAGCACTTGAGCAGTGTAAATTTCGAGTGCGTTGGGGGTCAACGCAGTCGCGTGAATTTCGAATTTGGCGGAGCGCAATTGTGCGTTGCCCGCAAGCAAGACACACCGGCTAGGGCTAGGGATCTGCAACACTATTGTTCCTAGCACCAAAATGAACAACTTTCATTAATAGGTCAACACATGTTGAAAGTCATCCCTACCGGGCAGCCCCTTGTAACCCAAACCCAACTTTCATTAATGGGTTGACACACGTTGAAAGTCATCCCTACCGGGCAGCCCCTTGTAACCATGGAGACTGCACTACGACCATGCTCTCTACTGGTATCGACTAGATCTTCGATACCTGTGCTCCTTCCATATGAACCAGTGACCCTCCTGCTTCTTGAGCATCTAGGCCCATGACAGATAGCAAGGAGGAGGAGCAGTGTCGAAGGAGTCGACACAGCTCAAGAGACACAGGGGTGCCAAGCAAGAGGAGAGGCCTCCTGAACAGTACTCGATGAAGAAGGTACTCTCTGGAGAGAGAGAGCAGGAGCAGCGTCGCTGGCGATGCTGTGAAGAGGTATATAACCATGCTTTCTCATCATCAAAGGTCGAGTGGATCCTCATCCACTCTACTCACCATATAACTAGTCAATACTTTAGAAACATAAGTACTCATTAGTTTCAGTCAGCATAGCAGCAATCTATCAAGGTTGCTCCTCATCGTAGTGTGTGTGTTGTATCACCACTACCTGACGTCCGAAGGTGCCCATAGCAGGTTAGCAGTCCAGATCAAGATAGAACCGAAGGCAGTAGTCCACTGTGGTCTGGGGATCACCTCAAGCATCAGTCAACACACTGGACACTCATGTTGACACCACCAACACCATCACCAACACCATCAACCTCATCATCATCAAACACTCACACCAGACCTTGGTGTCATCATAACCTACGCATCGATATTGATTGTGCCGAGCTACCCCTGAATGGAGTGTCCACAGAGGTCAGCTGAAACCTATGATAGTATATACAACGAATGCCACCTGCTGTCACTGTGCAACTTGATAGTCGCCAAACGACTAGCTCGAGACAGATACCGAGACAGTAGCTGTTGCGCAGTTTGATAGTCACCGAGTATCTCGACAGACCGACCTGGGTTTCAGGCGCGAGACCCCTGACACCTTGCCTGTACCTTGACGAAGGTGAGTTCATCTGGGTTGATGGTGGATATGGCCATTCTGCCTTCACAGTTGGACCATTCTCTCACATTGCTGCCAACAAGAGTCGAGACCTTTGACACTTCAACTACATGCTCTCTCAAGTCCAAGTACAAGTCGAACATGCCATTGCATACCTGAAGAACCACTTCCAGTACCTTACAGGCTATTGTGGTAACATCTACCATTTCAAGGACTGCATCACTGCTGCCAAGATGATCCAAGCCTGCATTGTTGCCCACACCTTTGCAAGTCAATATGACCATCCTGCTGATATTGCCAACCTGCTGTTGCCCTCTTTCTCTGAGGATGAGGTGAGTGAGGTTGTTCAAAGCCTCCAACTTGATGCCAGTGATACACAAGAGCTCAGGAGGACAAGATGCACAAATCAGCAGGAATATGAACTGGATCTTGCCACTGCAACACAAGGAATGTCACAGTATGCAGTGTCAAGACTTCGAAGTTCTGCTGCACATGATCTTTGAGAGGGTTTGTTCCAGGTGCTGTTCAGATCCACTGGGTGCAATGAGGAAGACACTACTGCATTGTCTTGATGTCATGAGAGGACTACTGTGGACTACATTGCCATGACTCAAAGTGCATCAGCTCAGAGACAGGAGCAAGTCTTGACACAACCATTCTCGATCTGACAGGCACTCTCTCTTCTTCTGTTCAATACAATTCTTCTCACCACCATATGAAACATTACATTGAGTGCATTGTGTGAAGAGGAAAGCAAGATATAAGCAAGCAATGGGTAATAGTGATGAGAGCAACAAGTAACATGACCACTGTTAGGTTACATATTTTATTGGCCATATGATTTCATTGTGTTTTTGGAAACCTGCTTTTCCTTGGGGGGGGTTCAAATTCCCTCCAAAAATGCGCTCTCGAAAAAACCCGCGTTTTTAAAATCGCAAAAACTTTGATACCCCCTATAGCTGATTTCTATAGCAGTTTTCAGGTTTCTGGTGCGCGACCGCTTACAAGACTGTACACTAGCCTTAAATCTATCATCAATTCATCACCCTTCAACTAAATCGGTCGGAAAGAGCTTACTCGACAGATTTCACCGAAATCGGCTAGAACCAGCTTTTCCAGCAGATTTTGGGTTTCAGACGCACGGCCGCTGACAGCTTGTACAGACGGTCGAGGCTTGAGCGGACTTCTTGTGAGATTGCATATGATTTGTCTTGGTGATAACTGATGTTGTGATCAGTGTTTGGTGCGGGAGAGGAGCTGGTCGCTTGGCACGCCGGACCAACCTCGCTCCTCGTAGTCAGCAAGGCTAGCCACCATGTCTTGAACGACGTCTCGAAGTTGAATGTATTTGAGATCGAGAACGCTAGTCGCTTTAGAGCCGTCAAGCTCATTCTGCTTGACAGTCGAACCTTGACCTTGTTTGCCAACGGGGACCTGCTTCTTCCAGTCATAAGGCACGCTGCTGTCGCTGTGGATGATGTCGACCACATCTTGGTAAACAAAAGGACCGAGTGAGGTTGCAAAGCGGTTGTTGCCGGCGTCAGGCCGCACAAGGGCTTCCACATGAGCATAAGCTACATCACGCACATCGACGCAGTTGCCAGAAGGAGCCAACAAGTCGCCCTCTTTCTTGGAGCCGTGAAGGAGACCCCAGACGAAGCCGACCGAGGTGTTAAGCTTGTCAGGTGCGTTGACCTGGTGCAGGATAGGACCAAAGACGAGAGGAGGGTTGATCGTGACAAGATCCCAGCTGGGCTTGTTCTCTTCAACAAACTGCCAAGCGGTCCTCTCTGCCATCGTTTTGGAAGCACGGTAAGCGTCGGGGCCCTCCTGATCCTTGCCTAGCTTTTCGGCATTCTCGACACTGGAGATGTTCCAATCTTTCTCTGTGTAGACGATGTGGCCTTTGCGGGTGGAGTCGAGGATGGCAGCAAACGATGAGGTGATGACGACTCGCTTGACACTGCTTCCGTGCTTGTTGATCGAAGTGAGAACGTTTCGAGTTCCGTTGACGGCAGGGTTGATCAAAGTGCGCCTGGGGTCACCTTCGATATTGAAGTGGAAAGGTGAAGCGGTGTGAAGCACAGCGTCGACATCTTTGACAGCTTCGTCGAAGGCACCTTCCTTTTCAAGGTCTTCGGCGATGAAGAAGCTAAAGTTGTCGGAGTGCTTCTTGAAGACATCTTGCAGATACTTGCCCTTGTCACCAGAGCGAACGGTTGCTCGAACCTTGTGTCCGCGTTCGAGAAGCTGGTAGACACACCAGATGGCGATGAAGCCGGAGCCACCGGTAACAAGAACGTTCGACTTTGGCTGAATGGCTGGCATGTTGTGTTGTGTTTACCTTTTGGCGTTGACAGAGTAGCGACAGCGAGCGATGAGATGGGTTGCAGATGAGGGTCAGAATGGCGAGATGATGGTGAACAAGGCAAAGGAAGGAAGAAGGCGGAGAGGTCGTTTGTAATATGGACATTCCCCGTTTGTGCGAAACAGCAAGACTGAACTCGTCTGAATGCATTGCCGTGTCCGTGTCGTAGTGGAGCTCGCTCGCAGCAGTGCAGCGTTCAGGTTAACGTTGTCCTACTTTCGAGACCGGCAAACCCCCCCACACACGTAATTCGTGGCTGACCTCAAGGCTTTGAGGGTCAAAGCGCGGATTTTTGAGAGCAATTGCCGTTTCGTACCGGCCGGAATGGCAGCTGGCTCTGTGTCGAGACGAGGCATGATCACGTCCGAACACGTCGCATTGCGGGCATACTCGCAACTTCTTGCAGCTTGTTGACTTCTCACGTTAAATCACACAAAGGTGAGTGGAATTGTTGATAGAGTGTTGTATTGCCGGCGCTACACCCCTTTGTGGCAGCTGCTGCACAAATGACTGATCGATCTTTGCCCACTACTTGAACGCTCTTCCCAAGTACAGCCTCGACACTCGACTACCCGATCGCTTGTTCTCCCTGGCAATGCACCAGCACCAAATCCATGGCGAGAATGGCTTTCTCGAAGCTGTCGAATATGCTTCTTCGAGCACAGCGCAGAATCGAGTCACTCCTGCGTGACAACTTGAGTCGGGAAGTAAATGTTGAATTGCACTGTTCGATAGATGATTAGCGCTTTCACGAACATACCTGACGGCCATATATCACTATCAGTCAGCTGTTGTGACGAGAATGCTTGAGGTGATGAAGCGGAATCGAAGCGGCCGCAACAGCATTTCGCAGATCGATATCGAGCGAATCTGATGCTGAAGCCAGGAGATTCGTTCTTCTCAGTTGGTCGTAAGTCTTGGACTCAGCTTGCCGATCCTGTCTTGTTGGTGTTCAAGAAGCATCTAATCGTGGGATGTCTGTGGCGGAAGTAGCACTTCGCAATGAATCTCGATCCGGGAAGTAGTCTTAAGATCAATCTTTTGCCACGACTTGCGCGAGAGCGCGCGCAGATCACGTGGCCCGTGCTACGATCACTGATATTCGCGTCTGTACCAAACGCGACTCTAGTTTCGAGACGCGCGGTCGTTGCTCTAGCTCAGGTGCATCGGGCAGACAGAGAACATAAATGTGCTGAGTAGCTCTGCTCACACGCACGGACGAAATGTGAAATCGGTCGAGTCACGGGTTTCTGGCTGATTTCAGCGAAATCGGTCAGAACGAGCCCATCCGGCAGATATCACCAAACGCACCGCTAGAAGGGCTCATCGATGCGTCGCGAGTCAAGCGATCTCATAGGATCGAAGGGGCAACCGTAAGGGGCTCGTCGCCATCACTGGTGGCGAACGGAGAGATGGGATCCGGTTCCGGTTGCAAGCTCCTCACGCACACATATTACGTCAGTATTTGGGACTACTGATCTTCTTTTCGTCTCCACTTCTAACTCAACAAACATGACGAGACTTGGAGCGAAGAAAGACTTGGAAATGCAAATAAAGAAGAGTGCGAGAATAAAGTACAAAGGAGACATGCGCAGGACTATGAAACATGGACTGGAACGTGCGACAGGAAAGCAGATCAGAAGTCCTCCTCCAACGAGAAGGAGTGGGTGTTCTTCTGGATACCATCGCCGCTTTCCTCTCCCTCACGGCGGGCGACACCAGTCTTTGCGTACTCAGCAACTTTCTTCTCAAAGAAGTTGGTCTAGGATAAGAGAAAAGAAGATGGAGAAGGGAAGAGTCAGTAGGCTGAATGAAGTTGAGACGTGTGGCTGGCGAAAACTTACCTTTCCTTGAAGAGAAATCTGATCCATGAAATCAAAGGGATTTTTTGCGCCCCAAAACACCGGATTTCCGAGCTGAGTGAGCAGACGATCGGCCACAAAGGTAATGTACTGAGACATCAACGTTTGGTTCATGCCGATCATTGCACAAGGAATTGATTGGGTCAAGAACTCGATCTCGATTTCGACCGCCTCGGAAATGATCTTGAGGACGGTGTCGGGGTGCGCGCGCTTCTTGAGGTGGCTGAAGAGGAGGCAGGCAAAATCGGTGTGAAGACCCTCGTCACGAGAGATGAGCTCGTTAGAGAAGGTGAGACCGGGCATGAGACCGCGCTTCTTGAGCCAGAAGATCGAGGCAAAGGAGCCTGAGAAGAAGATACCTTCGACGGCGGCAAAGGCAACGAGACGCTCAGCGAAGGTGGCCTTGCGGTCGTTGATCCATCGAAGGGCCCATTCGGCCTTCTTCTTGACGACGGGGATGGTCTCGACGGCGTCAAAGAGGAACTCGCGCTGCTCGGGCTCGCGGATGTAGGTGTCGATGAGGAGCGAGTAGGTTTCGGAGTGGATGTTCTCCATCATGATCTGGAAACCGTAGAAGCATCGGGCCTCGGCGGCCTGGACCTCGGAACTGAAGCGCTCGACGAGGTTTTCGTTGACGATACCGTCAGAAGCGGCGAAGAAGGCAAGGACGTGAGAGATGAAGTGACGCTCGTTGTCGTTGAGCTTGTTGTCCCAGTCGTGAAGGTCCTTGGAGAGGTCGATTTCCTCGGCGGTCCAGAAGGAAGCCTCGGCCTTCTTGTACATTTGCCAGATCTGTCTCGAAAGCAAGATAAGGCGAGGTAGAAGGGATGGGGAGAGGAAGGTTAGTAAAGAGGCTCGAGAGCAAAGACTAAGAGCGATAGCGAGCATGTCCAAGGTGTAGAGATGAGGGAAGAGGGAATGCGAAACTTACCTCGTGGAATCGGATGGGGAAGAGAACGAAGCGGCGCTTGGACTCGACGAGAAGAGGCTCCTCCTCCTCGGGGAGGTCGACCTCTCCAACGAATTTGCCGTGAACGTCGTCGCCTTTAGCAGTGACATGCTCGGTAGGAGGTGCTTGGGAAGCGTCGAGCTTGTTGCCCTTGGTGAGGAAGGTGGGCTCAGAGAAGTTGTCGTCAGCCTCGGCGAGGTTGAGCTTTCCAGCGCTCTTCTTAGAAGGAGAGGCGTTGACGTCGATGCCAGCGAGGCCGGCAGCCACCTTCTTGGAAGGGGTCTCGAGGTTGTGCTGAGTGACGGCAGACATTGTGAATTATTGTACGGGGTGGGTGGCGATACGGGGGTGGGTGGCGATGAGTGATGGCTGCAACGATGTCGGCGTCAAGGGTATCGGTGGTTGGTAGCGAGGATGTCAAGAGTGTTGACGAGGAAGAAGGAAGCAAGAAGTTGTCGTGGTAGTGGATTGTGATAGGAGGTGAAGGACCTGGATGGAAGAAAGGTGTCGAGATGTCGAGAAGGAGCAACTTAAGTAGTTGTTGAGCTCTGTTGGAGACGCGCGGCGCGAAAGGAGTACGAGCGGAGTGGGAGTGGGGAGGTAAAGGTAGGACGTAAAGGTAGGACGAGAAGCGTGTGGTGTTGGCTGCCTTTGAACGATCAACGCGTTTTGCAAAGTCAGCTCGGCGTCAAGCGGAATGACAGCAGCTGAGCAGTCAAGCAAATTTGACACGAATTCTCGCCATGCTGACATCAGACGAGTGTCAAACAAGAGAAAGGTCAAAGAAGAGAAAGAAAACTCTTCTTCGCTCTCTACACGACGCGCGAAGAAAATTGGGGCACAGTATTTTCTACCTATCCAGAGCGCGTCGAGGAGAGCGAGAAGAAAACAAGGATCGCGGTCTGCTGAGGAAAAAAAATCAATTATGGCCGACGCGTAGAGTGTGGCAGAGAAGCGTGTTGGTGGGCAGCTCGACGTGTCTGATGCTTGAACCCTTTCTTTCTTGCTTGCTTGCTTGCAGTAGCAGGGATTGGGAGCGCATATGCTGGTCACGATTGCTTTGCTGTCCCAACAAGCTGAAACTCGGTCGACGTGACAAGCAGCGAGGCGTCGAAGGAGCGTGAGTCGATGGACGCGCTCTCATCTGCTTCCGCTCGGCGTCGTGTAGAGAGCTGATCCCGACGTTGACACACTGTCCGCGCACCGCAGAAGCCAGACTGACATGAGAGAGAGCTTGGCTTCGAGCTCAAATGGCGCTTGACATTCCTTCTGATCCTCGTTCAGCATTTGTGCAGCAAACTGCAGCTTAGAGCTGAGACCTGGCTTGGCCTTATCGGCGATTAGGTGAGCTCAATGAGCTGACTCGATCGTCGCAATGATCTCAACACTTTTCGTAGCAAGCATGCCCTCGCAGGACCAGTTGGCTCTGCTGTCTTCCGCTGTTGGTGCAAAGCAAGGCGACAGGGGTATGTAGGGAGACTGGAGGGCCGATTGTTCAATAAGAGACCAAGCTTCTCGGAGGAAAGGAAGCTTAACTCCAGACCGCAAGCGAGGAGAGAGAGCTACGGGTATTTCTGCTTGCTTTGAGACAATGCAGTACCTAACGAGCTCCGGTGTGCACGTCGTCAGACTGGGACGGCTGGACGAACGAGAATGACGGACCAACTCGACGTGCATCTCCGTGCTCGCGTCGCTGAAAGGTTGATGTGATCCTCTTCGCGACTTGGCTGCTCGCTCTTCTCGTGTGAGCATGAGATGTCCAAGACAGTGGCCTGACCTGATTCTCAACGACAGAACAGACTGGCGTGATGTGAGGAAAGTAGCTTGTTGCCAAGTTAAGGCCATTCCTTTCCTTTCGCATTCTTCTGCAGCGCAAAGACAGGGGCGGTTGCAGTCCCGCGGCGATCGCTTCTTGATCTGATAAGATCATCTCCCTCATCCTAAATTCGGTTCTTGCAGATGAAACAGGAATGAGCAAGTGGTTGTATGTACACATCGGCGATTTCATGCCTTCGAGAAGGGTGGGTCGGTCCGCTTTGCCGATGCACATCCTCAACCTCGGGGCGTCTCTTGTTTGACAGCTCTGCCTTTCTTGACTGTCCTTCAAAGCTGGTCCTCTCAACAGACCTGGCTGGCCTGTTGAGAAAGCAAGTGCAATTTCGGAGCCTGAAGCTCGCTTGTCCGCTTGACTCACGCTCAAAGACGCGTTCCTCGTCGCAGTTTGACCATGTCCGGCAATTCGAAGCAAGCGCTCCTGTACCCTTACAAGGCCTCTGAGAAGCTGTCCAGCCTTCAAGTGGAGTGCAAAGCTTTGAGTGTGCAGCTTCAACTTCTGAGCCGTCTGTCTAGCTTCAAAGCGGAAGGGTGAGCGCTTCTGCTCGCTGCACGGGTACATTTGAAAGCCGTTAGCCGGTACAGTGTTCCTCGCTCAACCTTGCACACCCCTTTCTTCATGGTATCCTCTTTGTCAAGGCCATCTGGACGGACCGTAGCTACGCTTTCTGCAAGACCGCCATCCACGCAGCAGCAATCTCGTCATTATCCCTAAGACGCAGCAGCACAATACCATCGTCCACGAGCCTGCAGTGACATCTGGACGCAGGCAGGCTTGCTCTCGGGCGCTTCTCAGCAGGATGTCGGTGCCGGTGGAAAGGCTGGCCATCAGACATCGCACCTCGGACGACTTCCCGCTTGCTGTCACCATCTTCAAACCCAAAGCATCCGCCGACGTCAAGGCTAGTGTCGTCTTTGCAAACGCTACAGGTGTTCAGGGTCGATTCTATCACAATGTGGCTGCATGGCTTTCGCAAAATGGCGTAGCCGCCTACACATTCGACTACCGCTTTTCGGGTGCATCCTTCCCACTCGAATGCGAAACACAAAAGCTCGCAGAGGATGAAGACTACTTCCAAGAAGCACTGCGCAAGTGTCCGGACAACGTCGACCTTACCACCACGTGGTCTAAGGTAGACCTTGCCTCGATAGTTCGGCTGGCATACCGATCCAATCCACAGGCCGATGTGACCGTCATCGGACACAGTTTAGGCGGTCATCTGATGGCTGTTTTACCTTCAGATCACATCTACGGCCCTACGGCCAAAGTCAGCCGTTTCCTTAACGTCTGCGGCGGCAACGCTTTTGTTCAGAACCAGAAGGAACCCGACGCAGCAGAGTTTGGCTTTATGGAGATCGTTGTCAAGCCGCTGGCAGAAGAAAAGATCTTTCGGGCTGCCAACCTGGGTCTTGGATATGATCTGCCGTATGGTCCAGGCGTAGAGTGGGTTCAGTGGTACTTTCATCCCCATTTTGCCTTCAACCGTCCTGAGAACCTCAAGCTCGTTCGCAATCTCAAAGGCAAGCGCTTGCTGTATATCGGCTTCCAAGACGATGAAAAGATCGGCAAGTAAGTAGCTCTGTCCTTCATCCGCTCTTGCTGCCACAACCTCAAGCGTCCATGCTAATCACATCTCCGCATCTTCTCCTTTGCCTTTCCTGCAGAAACATGATGGAAAAGTACCTCGGCATGTTTGACCTCTCTGATGGTCTCAAGCAGAGTCTGTGGATCGATCCTGTCAAGAAAGGCTGGCCAGCTTGCGGTCACGTCAATGCTTTCACCAAGAGCAAGCAAGCGAATCTCGTTCCGGTTGAGCACGGAGAAGCATATACATCACAAGCCGAGTTCGAGAATGCCATCTCACCTAACCCGAGGCCGCCACGCAACACACTGAGCAAAGAGGAAAGCATCTGGAAACTGTTTTTGGACTACATTCTTGGAAACGAGGTGGATACATCACAAGCCGAATACAAGATTTGGCAGCCACAAGACGAGAGAGACATTGTACGCGAGCAGAACGAGGAAGCTGAGTCGCGTGCCAAGGAACCAAGGCCCGAAGACGTCATCCTCGGTCTTGTACCGCCACGCAAGGCCAAGCTGTAAGGAAACGAAATGTGTAATGTAGATTGAATACAATAAGAAACAGATCTTACGGACATGACAAAGGCTTGCGTAGAGCAGCTAGACGAGCGCACGCCGCTTTGAAGCTGTCGTCGGTGTGCTGTGACTGCCTCTAGATTCAAAGCATCGCAGCCAGGATGAGCGCTGCACAGACGGGCAGCATCGAGGCAAAGGATTTGAAGGGTAGCTGAATCGCCTGACCGCCGCTGTTGGCACTGACAGGGCTCGTGGTTCCGTCACCCTTCCAGAGCTCGGGACTGCGAGTGGAGTCGGCATTGATGGAAGGCTCGATCTGGGACATCCAAAGTAGCCAGCTGGGCAGGTACTGGTCGGTGGTCTTAGTGGCCTGGTCGGGCAGGAACTGCGGCGCAGAGCCACTGACGGAGGTGAGAGAAGAAGCGTGATACTGGACGCGAGCGCTCTTGGCAGCTTGAACAAAGCGATAGACTGTTTCGGGAACAGTGGTGCCAACGACGGTGGCTCCATCGTTACGCATGAGTACAAGGGGACGGAAGCCGTCTGTCTCGTTGATCGTCTGCACCGAAGCGTTCGCGGGACCGAACTTCTGAGCCAGACCAAAGCCTTTGACGGTGTTGTCGACTGCGACACTAGTCGTACTGGGCTCGGCGTCGAAGACGTCAAAGACCGGAGCTGGATGCGGACCCATGAAAGCAGTGCCGGAAGTAGCAGCGAAGAAAGCGGTCAGATCTGCCGCAGTCGCACTTGAAGAGGTCAGGCTGCTTGTGTTGGTATTGTAAAGCGACCAAGGGAGCAACTGCTCTGAGCGATAGAAAGCGACGCTGCTGACGGTGGTGTTGGGGAACCTCTGGTAGATGGAAGAATGGATAAAGATCTCTGCAGGTCGGAGAGGTGGATCATAGTCGCTGAGAGCAGCCGAAGTGATGACCGAGTCGTTGATCCTGACGATGGCGATGTCGGCTGGAGTGACATGGGCTGCAGAGCTACTACCGCCGGTGACAAGGTAGGAGGTATCGGGTGCAAGTGGATCGCGGACTGAAATATGGCCGAGAGAGTCGTCGGCAATGCCCTGATAGGCGAGGATACGGGAAGCGTTGACAAGCTGATGCACAGCGAGCTGACGAGGAGTAAGCTCGGGAAGACTTTGAACAGAGCAGAAGGTTCAAGAGAATGTCAGCATATCGGCGCCTCGGAGGAAAGACATGGAGGTATGCTCAGAGGGTAGCGGTGAGAGTAAGGGGAGGGCTTCCTGAACTCACGATTGGGCGCCAACGAGTGTGCAAGCCAATGTAATCAGCGTAGCGATTAGAGCGGAGATGCAGAACGGCATGATGTCGATGTGCACCGAGTGTGAGTTGAAAGCGTCTGATATAGAGGTGCAAGAGAGGACTACGACGTTCGGTCGGGGGGGGGAGGGGGAAGCAGGGCGAAAAGGATGCTGGGCGGAGGCGAGAGCAATACTTATACCCTCCGTCTTTCAACGGTGGCAAGAACGAGGGTGGCATGCCAGACAGAGCTAGAGAGCACCATTACAGTCTACTCTGTCAAAAGCGCCTCTGCATTTCGCTGCCAAGCCACTTGTTCCCACGCAGAGTTGTAGCTCAGTGTGACAAAGTGATGGTAGGAGATGATTCTGTTCGGCAGAGCCGTAGCAGCTGGTTCGGAAGGGCCGTCGGCTAAGGTAGAAGCACAAGGCAAGGCAAGGCAAGGCTGCCGAGATTGTGCGCGGTTCATCCGACTGCAACAGGCTGGGAAGAGATCGGAGCTGTTCCGACACGATGGAGCGGTCAACTGGCTGGCATGCATTGACTTGAACAACGTCGGACAGTCCGATCCATGCACAGACCTGTACTCTGTACAGTACACAGGCAGGGAAGATCTGGTAAAAGTGATTTGTCTATTGCCAACGGAAGAGATGCAATGAATGAGAGATGCGATGAATGTGAGATGCATCGTTGCAAGAGCAAGCCAAGAAGCGACCGGCATCTCGTGCGGGTATACAGAATGAAATCAACTGATCAAAGGCGGTGTTGAGAACGCATACGCCTTACGACCAATCCGCCGGCTTGGCATTCTGCTGAGCCAAACGAGCCTTGAGCACTGACCTCTGCTCCATGCGACTCCAGAAGGGCAAGGTGAGGAAGATGACGACGAGCCATGCCCACAGGATACCGAACCATTTGAGAATCTCGACAGGCTCGCCAACGTCAAAGATGACCTTGTTGTATACCTGTCGGATGCTGTAGAATGGCATCATATAGCCGTACTTGTACAAGCAGGGGCTCAACTCGATCGGGAAGTTGACAGTTGAGATATTCAAGATGATCCACAAGACCAGAGCGAAGCCGACAAATTTTTGACCCACAAGTGACATGGCGCACTCGGTGACAAAGCCGAGGACGCACATGCCCATAAAGGTGACCGCCCACCACATCATGAAGCCGGCGCCGTAGCTGAATGTGCGTCCAAATGGTACCTCGAAAGCGATGTTAAGGAGCGAGACCATGAGCGACATGAACAAGTACCAGACGAGCGGAGCAACGAGGCGCAAAGCTACCAAAGATCGGAACTTTAGATACGGCAGAAGGCCTTGGCGAGCGGCGAAGTTGGCCATGGTAGCGTTGAAAGCAAGAATGACGACGTAGATCAGGCCAACTACCAAGACGGCAATGGCGACAGGTACGTTATAAGGCCGCAGGTCGCGGCTGTTGAGCACGATCGGCGATGCGATGGTCTGCGGAGCATTGCCCAGATTGTTGACGGCGGTCGCGTTGCCAGCGATGGTGGCCAAGTATTCCCCTGCGAGCTGCGTGCTGAGTTGAGCAAGAGCCTTGTTCAGTGTAGTTGTAGCTGGGGAGAGCACCATAGAAGGAACCACCTGGAAGTTGCGTGAGGTGGCATACGTCGCCGAGACGAGCGATCTGGGATCCCAGGATGCATCGCCGTTCGCTCGCGCCTGCTCGAGCTTGGCGGTAGCGTGTTGGACAATCTCGACGATCATCCAGGTGGACATCGTGTTGGTGACCTCATAGTCGAGCTGTTCTTGAGTAGGGAAGCGAGCCGGATCGACAACAAGCCAAGTGCTGTGAGGCTTGGGTCCCTTGTTAGCAGCGAGCAAAGCTTCTTGCACGGCGGCACCGACCGCACCCGAGTCACGGTTAACGATCCATGCGGTGAGATTGGGCGAGAGATCAATCTCTTTCCAGACGGAGCCCCAGTAGATACTCATCACCGCCCAGATGACAATCGTAATGAAGAGGGTGACAAATCCCATGGTTTTGATGTATCCAATTCGCTGCTCGCGGATACGAGGAGACCAGAAGGACTCCTGACCCAACTGCGGCGGCTGACGCGCTGGTGTCGCGGCAGCGACAGATTCGTCGGCCATCTCTTTCTCGTTCATAGCGTGTGCTGGTGTGGTGTGCTGTAGAATTGGCTCCTCCCGTGCTGCTGGAATCCGAGCGTTGAACAGGCGACATGAAGGATGTCTGGGAGCTGCGAGGCGTGACTTTGCAGTGATGTCCGTCAGCTCCAGGGAGGGGGCGCAAAGGGATTGCGGATGCTGGTAGCTGCTGAACAGGGGTGGGTGGACGATTCTGAGAGCAGCTCATCCGGAAATGTCTTATATGGCTTGGACCGTTCAAAGGCGTACTCCAAGAGCACACAGACTGTTCGCAGCAATTGACCGGGTCGACGCAAAGTTCGGCCAGGGTGGCAATGGCCTTCCCACGGGGTCCGACAGACGATTGTTCCCGGGTTGTAAGATTTCCAAGAACCGCCGACGGTTCGGTTGCCTGTTCGGACTCGACTGTCACGCAAGATATGAAAGGCGGAGAAGGGTGGCCCCTTACAAACACTGGAATTGGCAGTGGCAAATGGCAAATACGCCGGCATTCTCGCAACGCATCCAACACAGAGAGAGATAGAAACAGGTCCAGCATCGCCGCAAGACATTCTGCCTTCTTCGTTGAAGCTTGCATCCCTTGTCGTTTCTTTCCGCCGCGAACCCTTCTCTGCCTTTAGCTGATGCGGAGCCACTGGCGTGTTGCTTTGCTTAGGCTGGACGCTTTTCAAGCTTCTTGCTGGTTTGTGTTTTGACTCGCTTTGCAACGTTGCACCTATCCACTTTCCTTGCTCCCGCCATCCGTCACCCCACTGCAGAGGAGATCGATTGTCGATCCAGACTGCAAAGCATCCATCATGCTCCCTACGGAGCTCTCTTCAAGGCAGGCGATCTTCAGATCAAACTTTCCTAGTGACACCTTGCTCCTTACTCTTCAAATCATTGACAGCAAGAAAGTCAACACATCCGAGTTGCGATAAGCTCAAGCTTTTGCTATGTCTCACCAGTCTCGCCGTACACAGTATACAGATCGAGGCTTTGTAGCGATCAGCTTCTCTATCAATCAAGCTTGTGGGCTAGCACGATGCGATCAAGGTTCGAGCCTGTCGCCTATCTGTCAAAGAGGGTTTGATCCTCCTCGACAACGCAAAAACAAGTCGTTGCGACAGGATCACTGTTCTACTTCTGGACACCACCCAGTTACATGTCACTGAGTCTGGAATCATGAAGGCACGGCATCATGTGCTCGGAATTTGTGCGGTCCCTCGCGAATAAAATTGCTTCCTTCATTTGGTAGGAAAAGGTTTGGTTGCAGACGGCGCAGACTTTCCCTTCCATCAACTCGGAACTCTGACGCCATCATGAAACTCGATTGCTGGGGACAGACTTTAGGCATCTTCGGGCTCCTTTGATCCTACGTGCTCTACACCCGTTCATTCGCACATGCGCAAGACCATGTAAGAGGTCGAGTTGATCAGAGGATGATCATGGACGCCTTGACACGCGCGACAGTTGAAGAGTCACCGGGATAACCAATATGCGAGAGAAGCGAGTAACTGACAGACCGATCCCCTGCATGCATACTGAGTTGAGTGGCGACCAATCAGGAGAAGCATATGAAAGGAAAATGCTGAGATACTACAAAGTGGGCATGACCCAAAGGAGAACAACAAGCCATCTCATTAACAGGATGAAGGTATATATACACAACCCTGTAGCAATAGTGCACAATAAAATACTAAGCATTACATCTACAACACACTAGTACGAAAGAGCTAGAATGTGGCTCGGACAAGGAGGTGCACAGTATAGCTTCAACTGATTAAGAGTCTGAAACCTCTACCAAAGCAAACCATGGTAGACAACACTGACCCTCAAGCTGGGGCCAGCAAAGCTGCCAAGAGGTCTAAAAGAACCAAGAAGGTGACAATTGTCCAGCAGACACAAACAGCAAATGATGACAATGAGATCGACGATGACCCCAAAGACAAATCGGATGATGACGATGATGGCAAATGATACAGCTTCCATATGTTAAGCAAACTCCTCAAACCGGTGCCAAAGCTCACCACCCAGAACTACTATAGCTGGAATGCGCATGTAAAGTCTTTCCTCCAATCAGTACCATATGCTATGGAACACCTCAAAGGAACATTTGATGCAAACCACCCCAGATGGAGTTGCTCATTTGATGACACATTAACAAACACCCTATGAGGGACCATCGACACCATGGGAGAATACAATGTAAACTATCTTCTTTTGGACATAATAAGAGAGTACCTCACATTTCATCAAGTCTGGAGCAAGATAGAAGCAAGGTTAGGCGATGATGCCACCAGAACCTCTCGCCGGCTCACTCTGATCACTCAGCTGGGTGATATCAAGATGTTCAATTCCAATGTTCGGAAACTCATACAGGAAATCAGGACCATCCAGGCCGAAGGAAGCATCCTGGGAAGACCATTTGCAGATGATACTCTCTTCTCTGCTCTCCAGAAATGCATGATTCGCCACCCGATGTTCAGGGAGACAGTTGCCACTGTCCACCAACTCAACTTTGAAGCGCTGGCCATGGCACTTAGCATACGTCAATTGGCATTAGAGAGCATTCCCACCCAGAAGCTTGATCCCCGGCAAGGTCATGCTAGGACAGCAGGCGATGGTGACCAGGGCGAATCGGCCCATGAAACTGATGATGATGATGACAACAAAACTGCCAAGACTGGATACAGATGCCGAAGAATCCGGTGTTTTGTGTGCAGGCGAGTCAGTCATGGTGCAGGCAAATGCGAGGCCACCATCACCATTCCCAAAGATTTGCTGCTCACCAACTCCAAATAGGATGCTTGGTGCTCCCTCACCCCAAGTTGGAAGAAGAACCCAGAAAAAATGACCTGTTGGATACTGGATTCAGGAGCTAGCTTTCACATGACGAACGACTATAGCACACTCATAAACCCAAGAACCTGCCAAAAATGCATCTACATGGCTGGAAAGGAGGTTCTGGATGCAAGTGCTATAGGAGATCTCTACATATCAACCACACATGGAGAAACATTACTCCAGAATGTCTTGTATGTTAAGAATCTCAATGTGAATCTATTGTCAACCAACTCATTAACGGACAAGGGAGCACAAGTGACTTTGGACCATGCCAGTGGACAGATACACATGGCAAATGGAATCTCATTCAAAGTTTTAAAGAACAGAGAGCGAGGCTTGCTAGAGTTACGAAGTGAGGCATGGAAGGAAAACGCAATGACTACATCAGCACAGCCACTCAATGATGTTGATGAAGAGTTTGAACCAACCACAAAGAGGACCACCATCTCCATACAACAACTTTGGCACGAGCGCCTTGGACATCCAGGAAGAGATAAGGCTAAGTCTATTATAAAGAAGATGGGAAGTACCACCCAAATGGATATAGACCCAGACACAGCTCTGACATGTGAGCAGTGTATACAGTCCAAAAGTATGGCTGCAAGAATGAAATGAGGCAGTGGCAAGAGAGCCACTGCACCCCTTGACCTCGTGCATATAGATCTGATCATCGATGCATCACATGTGACTGAACACACCTGCATATTGGTGCTCATCGATGATCATAGCAAATATGTTTACGCACAACCATTATTGTGAAAGAGCCAAGCTTTCACAGAGCTCAGAAGAATCATCTCGTTCCTTGAGACCCAGACCAACAGAAGCCTAAAAGCAATCCGATCAGACCAAGGAACAGAGTGGAGGAGCAACGAAGCTCTTGAATGGTCACAGGACAAAGGAATAGAGTGGCAAACAACAGTGGGATACAATAGCAAACAAAACGGCAGGGTGGAGCAAATGAACAGAAGCTTGAGTGAGAAGATGTGTGTCAGGGGTCTCGCGCCTGAAACCCAGGTCGGTCTGTCGAGATACTCGGTGACTATCAAACTGTGCGACAGCTATTGTCTCAGTATCGGTGACTATCAAGTTGCACAGTGACAGCAGGTGGCGTTCGTTGGATATACTATCATAGGTTTCGGCTGACCTCTGTGGACACTCTGTTCAGGGGTAGCTCGGCACGATCAATATCAATGTTATGATGACACCAAGGTCTGGTGTGAGTGTTGATGATGATGAGGTTGATGGTGTTGGTAATGAGATTGGTGGTGTCAATGATAATGAGGTTGCTGGTGTTGGTGATAAGGTTGGTGGTGTCAACACGAGTGTCCAGTGTGTTGACTTGATGCTTGAAGTGATCCCCGGACCGCAGTGGACTACTGCCTTCGGTTCTATCTTGATCCGGACTGCTAACCTGCTATGGGCGCCTTCGGACGTCAGGTAGTGGTGATACAACACACACACTACGATGAGGAGCAACCTTTAATGGATTGCTGCTATGCTGACTGAAACTAATATATACTTATGCTGAAGTGATAACTAGTTATGGTGAGTAGAGTGGATGAGGATCCACTCAACCTATGATGATGAGAAAGCATGGTTATATACCTCTTCACAGCATCACCAGCGATGCTGCTCCTGCTCTCTCTCCAGAGAGTACCCTCTTCATCGAGTACTGCTCAGGGGCCTCTCCTGCTTGGCACCCCTGTGCCTCTTGAGTGGTGTCGACTCCTTCGACACTGCTCCTCCTCCTCATGACCTGGTGTCGACTCCTTTGACACTGCTCCTCCTCCTCATGACCTGGTGTCGACTCCTTCGACACTGCTCCTTCTCCTTTGATCAGTGACAGTTCCTTTGGCTCTTGTCTCTCGAGCCCCTGAGTGGTAACCATCTGCATGCTCCTTGAGCTTGGTCCTCTTCGTGGCTGTGCCTGCTCCTTGAGCTTGGTCCTCCTCATGGCTGTGCTTGGCCCTCCTTTGCATGTGAGTCCATAGGAGTCCATGGTCTCCATGGAGACTGCACTACGACCATGCTCTCTACTGATCTCGACTAGATCTTCAATACCTGTTGAACCTGTGACCCTCCTGCTTCTTGAGCATCCAGGCCCATGACAATGTGCACTTTACTGGTACAATGTGGACTACCAAAGATCTTTTGGCCATATGCAATCAGGGCAGTGGCATTCAAGATAAACCTTACTCCAAACACCGACAATGAGCTCCCATACGAGATGATGTTCAACAAATCACCCGAACAACTCATGTGGCTTCTCTGTGTCTTTGGATGCCTCGCTTGGGTAAACATCCCAAAGGCAAAGCGAAACAACAAGAACTTGGACCAACGAGCAGTGGCAGCTATATTCATAGGATACAGCCTGGAATGGAAAGGTTGGCTATTTTATAGTCCAGACTATCAACCAAGCTTATTCTGGAGTAACTCAGCAAAGTTCATGGAATCCAAATGCTGGTCAGACCAGACCGAGTGGAAACCGATAAAAGTTCAATCACTGCAAACAATGACGAACAAAGAAGATGCTGAAAACTTGGGTTATTTGGAAGTGAACCTATTTGATGAAACAGACCAGGAACCACAAAATGAGTACATGGACATGGAAATGACTATGAACACAAACGAAGGCCAAGACCTTGAAGGGTGGACAAATGGTGAGTCCTTCGGACTCACAGCCACGGACAACAAAGGCAAAGGAAACCTAAACCCAACTGTCCAAGAGGCAATGGCAGGGCCAGACAAAAGGCTGTGGGAGGAGGCAATGCGAAAAGAGCTCAAGGGTTTAGAAGCTATGGGCACATGGGAAGTGACGGATCTCCCAATCAGCATGAACACTGTTGACACCAAATGGGTACTCAAAGTGAAAATGGATGCAAACTTGGTGCCCACAAAGTTTAAAGCAAGACTCGTTGCAAGGGGATTCACTCAGAGAAAAGGTATCGACTATACCAAAATCTTCACGCCAGTGGTGCCAATTCAATCAATCAGAGGAGTGTTGGCTGTGGCAGCTGTGCAAGATTGGGAGGTAGACTCAATCGACGTCAAACAAGCATACCTAAATTCAAACTTACAGCATGACGTGTACCTGAAGCCACCAGTCAGAACAAAGATGCCACCGGGAAAGGTTCTCAAGCTAATAAAGGGATTATACGGTTTAAAACAGTCAGGGCAAGAGTGGAACACTGAGATGGACTCACACCTTCGGAGGATGGGCTTTCATTGTATGCCAAGCACACCTTGCTTGTATGCAAGAGGAACTGGAGACAACATCACAGTCATCACAGCATATGTTGATGACATGATGATAGCTTCACCAAGTCGCAAAGAAGTAGATTGCACCAAGAAGGAGATCATGAATAAGTGGGGAACAGAAGATAATGGGAAGATCAAAGAGTTTATTGGAATCAAAATCACGAGAGACAGGACCCAGAAGAGCATATCTCTTGACCTAATGGCATATATTAAATCAATGGTAAGCAGATGGTTACAGAAGGAGACTGAGAAATCCTGGATCCCGATGCAAAGTGTAACTGCAAGTGCAGGAGGAGAGAGATGCTCATCATCATGAAGCAAAGAATACCAGGAGTTAGTAGGACAGCTATTATGGGTATCCAACACAGTGCAACCAGATATCTCATTCACAGTAGGAGTTTTAGCACGACACATGATGACTCCGGTTGAAGGAGCATGGCATGCAGCGATCCACACTCTAAAGTACCTAAATCAAACAAGTGAATATTGTCTCCAACTAGGAGGGAGAGAAAATATGGAGAAGGAGACATTAACAACATATACTGATGCAAATTGGGCATCAGACCCCACGAACGGTCGGAGGAGTACATCAGGAGCAATCACATATCTATATGGGAGCCTGGTGAGTTGGCGATCTCACATGCAAAAATGCATGGCCCTGTCAGCCATAGAAGCAGAGTTTATTGCCACATCAGAAGCAGCACGAGAGGCACTGTTCTTCTCATACCTGCTGCGAGACCTGGGTATCGATAACATCAGACCAATGCTCTGCACTGACAGCCAAGGATGCATACAGGTGAGTAAAGACCCAGCCAAACACTGGAAGCTTAAACACATCGACACACATTATTACTTCGTCAGGGAACATGTGCAGGAGGGAGACATTCTGATTGAACATGTCAGAATGGCAAACAATTTGGCAGACATTCTCACAAAGCCATTGAAAGGAGGAGAGACCACATGCCTAGCTCGAGCAATGGGTTTGGTCATGCTGGCGAGGGGGGGAGTTGAAGAGTCACTGGGATAACCAATATGCGAGAGAAGCGAGTAACCAACAGACTGATCCCCTGCATGCATACTGAGTTGAGTGGCGACCAATCAGGAGAAGCATATGAAAGGAAAATGCCGAGATACTACAAAGTGGGCATGACCCAAAGGAGAACAACAAGCCATCTCATTAACAGGATGAAGGTATATATACACAACCCTGTAGCAATAGTGCACAATAAAATACTAAGCATTACATCTACAACACACTAGTACGAAAGAGCTAGAACGTGGCTCGGACGAGGAGGTGCACGGTATAGCTTCAACTGCGACACAGTTTTCGCCGGCAAAAGAAAAACAAAAGAAAAACAAAAGAAAAAAATGGCACTGCAGGTTATTGTCAGGAACACAGATGTCGGATTCCGAAGAGAACACCCTTGTCCAATACGCGATCCTACCAAGGCTGATACATGACCTGTCTAGGCAATCTGACGGCGACAATGAAAGATGGCAGACCTTCCTGGTCACTCGACCGCAGCAAAGCACAGAATCCAGCTCGAAGCAGACCACAGCTTTCAGTAGCCGCCACGGTGTAGCTCGATAGCTCCGAGGATGAGCAATGCAAAGCCGAAAGGCAGGACAGCTGCGAAAACGACGACATCCTGGTAGATGCGCTTTCCACGTGTTCTGCGTTGAAGCTGACGTTCCTTACGTGCCAGAAGGATGGTGGTCGCTTCGTCCCTATCTTGGTTGGTCTGTTCGGTTAAATGACTTGGAATCGACGGTGAGTCCCGATCCAGCGTCATGGAAGCACTGTGTCGGCTCGAACGGTGCGAGTGTAATTCTGGAAGTTGGTTTGCTGCGAGTTGCGATGGCGTTGTCCCTTCACCTTGTTCATCCTCTTCGACGACTTCTCCTTGATCACCCAACAATGGCTGCCTCTCAGCCACCACTCCTTGACCCGAAGCTCCCCTCGAGCCAAACAGGTACTTACGGTTGCGTGCCAGCATCGAGAGCGGTCCGGAAAAGTAGGCGGACGCTGTCTTGCCGATATCGCTTGCGAATGGCGGCAGTATTGCACGCGGACGTCGGATGTGGAACAGAATCATCCACACAAGGCCGGGCATCACAAAGCCGACACCGGCACCGATGAGACCCAGCACCTCGGACGCTCGCGTGAACCTAGCTTCCTCGCCTTCCTTTTCGCTCCTTCGAAACCCGCCTGCTCCCGACAGATAGGCGCTCGAAGCGGTGATGCCCCATAGCAAGAGACCCGCCAATGCATTGCGTGCGGGCTTGCCCCACCTGCGCTTCCACTTGCCTATTTGAGAACCATCTTGTGCCGCGTGGTGTCCGGTTTCAGCATTGGAAGCTGCAATCTCGGCGCTCATTCCTGCGGCAAGCGAAGGGGTTGCTGTTGGCTCATCGTCAGGAAGCCGGATGGGCGGTCGGCGCTTGCGAAGCGGGTTCAAGTTGAGCAGGCGTAGCAATCGACCCCACGATGAACGGGCGGTCGTCAAGCAGATGGCTAAATGGGTGGCCAGGATTGCCACAAACAGGATGCGCGCCACATTGATCCAGTGATCGTCGTTCGGAAGCGATGCAAACAGATTTGGGTGAACCTCCTTCCGCAGCCGGCCTTGAACACCATTGACACCTGCCACAACGCCAAAGAGGATGCCCATGGTGATGATGAAGATGACCTGTCCAGCTTGTGCGCCAAGGAAAGCTTTGACATTGGAGCGGGAGGTGCCAATCCGACGCAGGCTGCGTTGATGTGCCAGGATCTGCAAAGGGCATGCACTGAGCGTCATCAATGGCAGAAGTGAGATAGGCGCCCAGATCGAGGGTGGATGCAAAGGGTTGACATTCGGCCATCGATCACTACGACCATAGTTGGCTCTCTCGGAATAGAATGCCTGTGTGGTGTGTGATAATGAGGCGTCTCCTACTGACGGGGTTCTGGCGTAGATCTTGACGAGAGTGATGGTAATGATGATGGGGTAGAACGTTAGAGAGAAGAATGTGTTGAGGCGGATGACGTTACGCTTGGCGAGCGGAAAGATGACAAGCGGCACCGAGATGGCACCGCCGACGACTAGCGTTACAAAGGCGCGGTCATGCAGAGGTACGCCACGAGGAGCGTAGTTGAAGAACACCTGTAGGAGAAGATCTGCGAGGGCAAAGTAGCCGATGATGGCGCTTCCCGTTGCATAGAGGGCGAGCAGCAGTCCCGATACGACTCTACCGAGACCTCCTTTCCAGGGTGTATACCTGCCAAAGCTAGCACCTACAATCGCTTCTATTGAGCTGCCATTGACGTAGCGACTGAGCACAACCCATAGACCTCCACCGACTCCTCCTAAGCTAGCTACACCAACCAGACCGATAGTTCCGAGCAATACACCAGTGCGTGCAAAGTAGTGGGGCATTGAAAGTAGCACAGCGGGATGCAAGCTGGCTGAGAACAGGTTTGCTGATACGTGGGGAGCTGAAAGACTAGCAGGGGTGCTAGGATTGGTGAGAAACTTCCACCATGCTTTTCGATGCTCGCGTGACCGTCGCAAGGTCTGCAACACCGATTCTGGACGGTCTTTCCTTGCTCTTCTTCTGCCTCTCCGTGCGGCACTGCTTCCAGTCGCTGACAGTGGCAGTGTGCGATCTTGATGCAGAGGATAGCCGTTGTCGTCTTCGTCGCTGCTGTCGTCCCACGCTTGGCCTACATCGATCCGGCCTTGGCGCATAAAAGCATCGAATTCGGAGGCTGCGTCGCTGTCCGCTTCTTCCGGATCGTCGGCATGTATGTGTTGCGATCGGGAGCGATATGAGTTGGCTTTTGAGCTCTGAGCAGGCTGACCGTGGTTCGGTGTGGTGTCGAGTTGGCTTGCCGAGGAAGATGAAGCAGGTTGCTGGGTATCATCGTCATCATGAGGGTCGGCATGGTGGAGGGAGAGATGTGACGGTTGTGTCGAGAATGTCGGATACTGGGCCTCTTCTGTCCTCTTCGGTGAAGGCGATGTGGACATGCTGAAATGCCCTCAGGCAAGGTATGAGACGGAAGTTGATTTGAACAGTCAGTCTTTCACTTAGCCCTTGAGGACGACTGTGGTCGTCGGGATTGCTCGTCAGCCGCTGCGAGCTACTTGACAAGGAAAGGATATGAGACAGAAGTTCAAATGGATGGATGGTGCGTGTGATGATGGCGGTGACGGTCGACTTTGGCATTGATGTGGAGGGCTGCCATGGACTCACGACTGCAGACTGACACAAGTGGAGCAGCCCTGAATTGGATTTGCCGACAGAGAAGGATCTAAGAAGAGGTTCCAAAACAAAAAGCATGGGGCCAACCCGGAATCGAACCGGGGACCTCTGTCAACTTAGGATCGAGACTGCTTCACAGCAACCGTATAACCCTAAGACAGCATAATAAGCCACTATACGATTGGCCCATCAATGTGTTGTAGTAGAAATAATAAATTACATATACGCATTAGGAAAAGTCGGCTTCACTTATCTAACGTTTTCAATTGTCTCTCCTTGATACGATTCCTCTTTAGCTAGACGACATCGGCCACAAGCTCAAGTACACTGTCCGAAACGCACATGATGACGACGATGAGTTCATTACGCACAGAGAACAGTTGGATAGTACACTTATGCAGAGACAGCTGCGACTTGTTAATTGTGGAAGCATGCAAAAGGAAGGTAGAGATGATTCAGACAAATAGATGCTTGCTTCAATGTTGTTTCGAAAGAAGGCCACATAGAAGAGTCTGCTGGACCACGCTGCTGGTGTGAGTATATGCTGGTCGAGTCATGGACCGAAGTTGGTTCGATCAGCTCGAAAGGAGCATAGCGTCAACGACTGCCTCCTCCTCGTGATCTCCCGAGGCAAAAGCCGCGTCTCTGCTACCTTGTTCCCAGGTCTGGTCGCCATGGACTGGCCCAGCCAGTTGCGGAGCTTTGTTTCCGGAGTCCACCTCTGGCATCTCCAGAGGCGAAGCGAACTCGTCGCTGACGGCACAGGTATTTCGGTCCGCTTGAGGCGCAGCTAGGGAGGTCTGCTGCGCAGAGGAGTCGGCAACAGGACGCTGAGGTTTGCGTCGGAGCGGCAGTTCGGCCCAGCACTCCTTGCGACAGGCCGGGCAGGTGACCCACTTGCCTAAGGTGTCACGCTCATCCCCATCCTCGAGAAAAGATTTCGCTATTCCTGCGGCGTGCTGGCTGGATTCGCCGTCAGCGGCATCGTCCGAGAGGCCCATGATGGCGTCGAAATCGTCGGCGCTGCGGAGGTCGTTCTCAACACGCATGCTAGTGCAGAGACAATCAAGATGAACCTCGTGTCGACATGGAGTAAGCTTTACCAGGTCGGTCGTCATTCTGTCGGTAGTCTCAGGAAGATCAAGATGACCGTCTTCACTACGGGATGAAACGGGGTAGCGTGGCAAGCAGGCGGGGGCATCGCATCTCCAACCGCGCTGGCGCTCGCGTGCTCGAACGTCGTCTCGAAGAGTAGAGCGTACAGGAGCAGAAACGGATAGTTTTGCCTTGGGAGATGTGCGAGAAGAAGTGGTGCTAGCACTTGTACTGGAGGAAGTCTGCGCCGGACGGTGAGATGAATCGGGACTAAGGGTCGCTCGACAAAAAGGGCATGTCCACTGAGAAGGAGGTAGCTTCTGGAGCCACTCGCGAAGACATCGAGCGTGTAAAGTGTGATGGCCAGGGCAAGGCACAGCTACGACGGCTTCATCTTGACTCTTGGGACCGTCAATCCACTCTGGTCGGTCCTCAGCCTCGTAGTTGTCGAGACAGACACCGCATCCGATCAAGGCATCCTGATCGTCGCTAGCTGCAGTATCTGCAAACCCACCGATGCTGCCCATACCTAGCCTGGCCATACGAGCTCGCAACTCAGCATCGGCACGCTCGAGCTGCTTGACGTACTTGGCAGCCTTTTCAGGATGGGGCTGTTCGGGCTCGGGAGGGGCAGCAAAGTGGATGTCGAGAAGGATGCGGAAGGGTGGACCAGCAACAAGACGTGGCTGCTGCGACTCTGGAGCTTCTGGAGAAGGTCCGCCTGGAGGACTTCCTGGGGTGAGTTGTGCTATTGGCCATGCGAGATCGGTATGCTGATCATAGAGGAAAGAGAATGGGAGTGGGGACGCTCCAAAAGGTACGAAAATGGGCGAGACGGGGACATGGCCGTCAGGATGAGGATGCGAGCCTGGTCGAGCCTGGTCTTGAGTGGTATTAGGAGCGGTACCTGGCAGACCAGTGGGGTAAGTATGGGACTGAGTAGCGCCCTGTTGAGAGTGAGAAGATGGCTGCGAGTTGGTAGCTTGAGAAGATGTGGTAGGAGCAGCGGTCGAAGGGGGTGCTCCTGGCTGCACGTCTCGCTGCGACAGTGGCTGTGGATGGAAGGCGAGGAGTGCAGGGTTGCCATCGGGTCCGCTGAAGGGCAGACGGAAGTATACAGGCGCTCCGCTAGCATCTGGAGCAGAGTCAGAGGACTGACGGGACATGGCTTGCATTTGTGCTGATTCGGCTGAGTGTGAGGCAAAATTCGATGCAGCGGTGGAAGGATGAAAATGAGTGTTCGCTGCGGAAGGGGAAGCTTGTGTGCCTGATTGAGATGCAGGCGCGGCGGGGTCTATGGAGCTGGATGACTGAGGATTCTGTGCGGATGACGCGGGATCACGTTGGATCACATTACGGAAGCTGGCGGTGAAGTTGTCCCATAGCGTTGTTCCGGGAGCTGGCTGGATCTGTGGTAGTGCGGAAGGTGTCTGCTGAGCAGTCGAGGAGCTTGGGGCTGCGTTAGTTACTGCATCAGAGGTCGAAGATCCTTCAGACGTCGAAGCGAAAGCGTCGGTATAGGATGTGTCTGATGTCGTATTCACTGCTGTCGGCTGCGTCGTGGAAGCAGAGGGCTCGGAAGCAGCGTCGTTCAGCTGGCTCTCATCGTTGTTTGACTGGAGGCGATCGCTGGGGTATGAAGAGGAGGTGGTGTTCTCCATCTTGATAGTTCACAGAGTACCGATGATAGGAGGGGAAGTGTTCAGATGTGATGATGGTTGAAAAGAGAAGTGTGTGGAGTTGATCAAGAGCAAGGTGTGGGCAAGGTGAGATCCCGAAGCAGACTTCTGTCTTGGCTTCGACCGGCATCGAAAAGCTTCCACACATGTTTAATTCCGTGGAGTCAGCCAAATTGATAACCGAAGCTAACTCTCTCAGCTGCGTTTGGACCCTGAATACGACAACCTTGCTCACTCTTGCGAAAGAAAGCAAGTAGGTAGCAAACAGCAGGATGCTCGATCGACGCCGAACATGGACGCTCCGGGATCGAAGGGAGCTCTTTGTCGAACAGTGCGCAAGGTACATAGCTGCCTATGTTGGTTGCAGCTAATGAATCTGTGTACACAGCGTTGGCGTGACATTTTTCCATAACCTTCTCGCACAATCGATTCGAGACCTTTTTTTTTTTTTTTTTTTTTTTTTTTTTTTTTTTTTTTTTTTTTTTTTTTTTTTTTTTTTTGATTGGAATGTGAGATCACTACCAGCAACATATTTTCCAAAAACAAAAACAACAACTACAACTACAACACTGAGACTCGAAAAGGCGCGCGCGTATGCAGACAGGGTCCAAGTGGAGAGGGGCAGCTCGCGTTTGTATTGACTGCCCCTGTTGGTGTAATACAGCTGAAGAGACTGGCAATACAAAACTGGATCCTGCTGCAGATCATTCGCTTAAAAGCCATTTATTCACTCAGGGGTATCCCGCTTCCTCCTCCTCCTCCTCCTCGACCCCCTCCCACCATCAACGACAGACCCCTGGCCAACACGCTGACGCTTGATCGAACTAGGTCAGATCTTTCAAGGATTTCGAACACGATGATCCGTCATTAGCAGCTGCCTCAAGATTACCTCCATCAATCTCCCCCTATTCGGACAGTCAGCCAGCATAGGAATAACCTCGATACCCACCTTCATACGCACACCCAAGACAAGGGTCGGTTAAAGCATACTTGAGATCAGCAAAGAGCCAACATCTTCACATAGCGAGAGGCGATACCGCCATGGCCTCTTCGACGACACGCTCTCGTCCGGGAGGACAGCACCGGTCACTTCCAACTCTGACCCTCTTCAATCATCCCGCGGCCAGGCTGATCAAGACTATTCCGCCGCTGAAACCTCCAACACGTCTCAACGGGCATGTGCCAACAGATTCTTTGGGTGCTGGGCGCATCTCGAACACAGACGTTGTCCTCACCGATGTTTATGGCCCATTGTCCGTCCTCATGGTTCCCGACCCGCTTGATCCGACCATTGCAACACTCGTCTTATCTGTCGGAATCCAAGACGCAAAGCTGCAAGGGGCCGCACGTCGATTCGTTCTTCCATTCCGCTCTTTTCAACGGGATCCTGTCTCTGGACAGCTTATCTCCCAGTCTCAGATCAAGGGCTTTGATGCCGCAGATCGCACCCTCTACCCGGGTCTGGGCGCTGGCTTGAAAGGCTTGGACGGCGGCAGTTTCTGGTTCTTTGAAAATGTTGGAGAAGAAGGCGCCTTCGACAGATACAGATGGGAGAAGGATCGTGTTGGTCGACGCGCTATCTGGACCGTGTGGCTCATCAGTACCCCCGCTCCCATCGTTCTTCACGTGCAGAACCTCTTGCAGTCATACCCTGCTCCTGTCCCGCCACTGCCGCCTTGGCTGGAGGAAGACAGCGGCTATCCATGGAGGGACACCTTTGTTGCCCTTCCGTCAGCATCTGCTCTGACGCCTACCATTCTCAAAGGGCAACTGCCCACTGATGCCTTCGTCGCTATCCAGTCTACCTCCCCTGCGGCTTTTTCAGTTGCAAGACGCCTGCACGCCATCCCGCAGGTCCCTGTCGAGCCAGAGCATCTCCGTGGTGAGAGCTGCATCTCCACGAAAGCAACTTCTGCAGACATCGACGCCTTGGATGCTTTTCAGGACACGCTCACTTCGTCACAAGACCAGAGTGCCGACCCAGCACTTAAAACCTATGTCGATGATGGCGCAACTCCAACAACATCACAACTCACAGTACGCTCAAGACACCTTCGCCATGCATCGTCTTCTGTCACCATCGGAGACGGCCCAGAAGTGATTATGCACAACGCTCCTCGTACTACAGCCATCTCCGAATATAGAAACAGTCTTATTGCTGTTGATAACCTCACCGGTCAGATCATCGGTGTTCTCGCTTCTGACATCAATCTACACTCTTCTTCGACCGGCATCTCACAGCCTGTTGACGTGGCTGCCATGACCAGCAGTGACCAAGTTGAAGCGAATGCCGAGGACAAAGAGGAGATTCAGACTCCTCTCGACGAACACACTCGCATTCTACATAGCAAGGGCGCTGAAGACCTTCTCGGCATGCAGACCGCACCTGCCTCAACACCGGAAGAGCCTGAACTTCCAGAAACCAGTTCAAGCGATCGGGACATAACGACTCCTCGGCCCAACACGTTCATACATCGCCCTGCCCCCGTTTATCGAGATGCCGCCGTTGCGTCTTCTACCGTGGCCGCACCTACTCCTCCCGTCGTGATGCCAAACATCCAGACGGAACCACGATCGATCCTCGATGTCAACACCTTTGCACCCCCTCCCTTGCCGCTGAAACAGCTAGCACTCCGAGCTGCTAGCAGACCCACAGATATCACTGCGGACACTCCTCCCTCTCGATGCACTAGCACAGCATCAGCGGCTTTCTTCAGCGCAGAGTCCGATACCGAAGCCGTGTCCAGCTACGACTCGGATGCGCTGGAGATTGATGCTCGTAGCATTACACATGACAATCTTCCGACTAGCTTCATCTCAATGCGAGGCAAAACAGCCAAGAATATCGAAAGACATCGACCCGAACTGCTCCAAGACCAAGGCAAGGCTCGCCGTATTGACGACGATGATGTCGAGTCTGACGCTAGTGGCAGCACGGTCGGAGGACCTGCTGTCCGAATGTGGCGTAAAGCTCGAGCCAAAGGGAAGAAGAAGCCGAGCGCCAAGTCTGCTGCTGCGGCTCAAGTCACACAGCCTAGACAGGGCATCAAGTCCCGACAGGCTAGTGAGATGTCGGATCGCACGAGTAAAGCCGAGACTGCTTTCGAGGCTCTCTCCGACAATGAAGACTCCACAGGAGCTGGAGATGACGCACCGCCGATCGCCTCTTCAGCTACTGCGGAAGGCGAAGCTGACAACGTCGCCCCGCTTCTGATTCGCCCAACAGGACCTGGCCACCACCTCCCCCGCTCAGCTCTACGTACCGATGAAGTGCGTTCCATCGAAGACCGCGTCTGGCGTGAAGCCCTGGATGCCGGTCAGCTTCCCATCGATGCTCCATACACCCATCTCGCCGCTCGTGGTGATGCTGGCTTCTACCCCTCCTCGATTCTGTCGAGTCCGCCATCGTCTGTCGATGGATCTGCCATCGAGCTTCTCTCAGCCCAAGACAAAGCTCGCGAAGCGCAGAAGAAGAAAAAGAGGCTGCGGCAACAGAACCAGCGCGCAGAGAGGATCATGAACATGCAGGGTGGAACGGTGCTCATTGAGTTCCTTGCTGGGTCGAGTCGAATAGGCGCTAGCTTAATCAGAAGTGCAGGGCTTGATACCGGAGCTGCGGCCGATCAAGACAGAGTCATAGAATTACAGGCTTCAGCCAAGACGAGCGAAGTAGCTTCGAATGTTCTTGGCTACGTGCCGCTTCTTCCTCAGCATTTGCTCTCCTTCTTCGGCCTGTCATCAACTTCCCCTCAGTCGGCGACAAATGCTGCAGCGGCCGCATCGAAGGCAGCTGATGCCCCTCCTTCGAGTTCGTACCTCTCTGGCCTCCGTCTACCTGCATTTGGCGGCCTGCTCAGTGATGCGTCGGACTGGGTCACCAACCTGTTCAGCTTCAACTCTGCTCCGGCCACTTCGCCTACTAACGCCGATAGCCTTGGAGACCCATCTAGGGCAGAAGAATGGGAGTACGCCATCCCTGAGTTCGACCCCAACAGTCTCAGCTCAACCCCTCGTCCCGTCTATCGCCGCAAGCGACCAGTTCCTTCCGCTGTGAATGGCTTCAACATCTCTGCTCCTCTCTCCGCGGCCAGCAAAGATGTAATCGCCGAAAGTGCGAAAGTCGAGCAAGCAGCAGCGCAGCCTTCGACTTCGTCCAACGAACAACGCTATTCAATTCTCCATATTGACAGTCTTGGCATTGGTCGCAGAGCCTTCCTCCGTGGCGTTGCCGGAGCTTGAAGGTCTCGGCTTTTGAACGGAAGCGAAGGCCTCTGTCTGTGAACGGAAGTCACGTCTTGGACGTCTTCTAACTGCCTCGTTCTCTCGCTACATTTGATTCTTTATACCATTTCACGCCCTCACGATTGTTCGTCAATATACCTTTTCATGATCAAATACCACGACATTGCCATCGACGAACTACGAGTCACGTTGTTCGTTCTCGCATGCTTGAAGCACGTTTGGCACGCTGAGAGGCTTCGAAGCCTTGAAAGGCTACAAAGCGGAAGAGGGTGTGGTATCTTGGAATCCTATCATACATGACATAAATACAAAAGTGGACGAGGATCTTCCAGAAACGAGCATCACTCATGCACTTCGTTCGGGAACATTTGTGCTGCGCAGGTTGCCGCTGTTGTTGAATGCGCCGGCATTATCGCCGAGTAAAGGATCCAAGGTGAGCGAAGAAGTGTTGTAGGGTGCTGCGTTCGCATCGCCCGGTCCAGGCGTGACGGTCTCATCGCGCGACAAGTTCGAATTGACACCAATGCTGGGTCGCGGATCCTCCGAGAAGCGATGCGTGTCTCCTCTGATGGTTGATGCTGGGACCGGGGACGAGGTAGAGGTGCCATGCTGAGCAATAGCAGGCTCAGGCATAATCATGCGACTGACGACGTTGCCAAGACCTTCCTGGTGCGCGGTGGGGACAGTGGCCATATCTGGCGAACCAATGATGGCAGCTGTCTCGCTGTCGATCGTCTCGCTGGCACTGATACGGTGACCGTCGGCTGCCAATCTGCCCGTGTTGGCGCCGGCAGCAGCAGCCTGAGCTTGGTTGGTTGACCTCTCGTCGATAGTGGTCTCATCCGCCTTGGCAGCGTCTTCCTCCGCCTGCTTCGCTGCAGCTTCCATTGCCGCCTTGCGTTCGCGTGCCTCGTGAGCGCCGGTGACCAGTCGAATAAGCTCTGAGCGAAGCGGCTGATATGCTTCCACAATACCTGAAAAGGGCTCCCTTCCGGTAGCGGCATAACCAGGGATCCGAGTGAAGATGGGCACGCTGGCTGTACCGAACACGAGCTCTGGCAACTCTTCCTCGTCTTCATCGTCAAACAGGGTGCTCGGAAGGTCATTGGCAGCGACGTTGCCTTCATCCTCGGTCATCTTATTGAAGAAGGCTTCCCGTCGTGCATCAGCTATGCTCTTGGCGGAAGCGGCTGTGCGGAAAGTCTTGATACTGGCCGTTCGCCTGAGGCTGCGCGACTCTGCTGCTTCGGCGCTCTCTTCGGACTCATCGATCTTAGCAGAAGCTACATTGTCGAGGTTGAGGGATTTCTGTGACGTGAGCGCCGCGGTGCTGTATTGAGTCTGAGTGCAGGGGAAGACGGTTCGCTGTGATGGCATCGCGATCAGCACTGTCACATTGACGGAAGCGGGTGTGCTTGTGTCGTCTGCGGGCCGTTTCGAATCGCGATCGGCTGCGTTGGAAACGGTTTCATTCCCAGGGCCATTTGGGCCGATGCCGGTTGCGTCATCGTGTGCATGCCCGTCGTGTCGCAGGAAGGAGGGAACGTGCAAGCGACGAGCCAGGCCTCCAGTGTGTGAGGATGTCGGCGGATAGGAGAAGCCATTCTGAGCGCCAAGGTTGCCAGACTCAGCATCGCCGCTAGCAGTAGCCCCGCCGTTCTCTTGGTTCCTGTTGTTAGGGAAGAGGTCAGAGTAGAGCACGGGAGGCACGGCCGCTGAGATGGGCATCAGGGCATCCCATCCTCTGGCTTTGACTTCAGCATCGTACGCTGCTGGACGGAAGTCATGGGCGATGCGAGCTTCGAGAAGCTTAGGTGGAGTGAGGGTATCCTCAATCTCGCGTGTAGGGCCGAGGAGTCGATCGAAGGGCCCGCCGTCAGGAAGCAGACCGAGACGTCGGAGTCGGCGATTGCGCATGACGATCCTGAGGAGAACAAAGCAGACAACAATGACGAAGAGTGCGATGGCTGTGACGGCGAAAGCAAGAAAAGGGACGGGAAGATTAGGACCGGAATACGGGAAACCGTTGCCATTCTGGCGCTTGACGAGTCGTAATGTCACAGTCAAGGTCCACTGGGGCTGCGGGCGCTGCTGGAAGGGCAGAAAATAAGAGGGTAGGATGTACTAACCAATGATCAGCGTCTGTGACGGCCAAAGAGCAAGGAGAGAGGTGCGAGGAAAATGGGAGAGATGAAAAGGAAGGAATGAGCTGCTGAGCAATGACCGAAGCAACGGAACAACATGGACCACAAATTGCAGCAGGGACACGCATCTGAGGTCACAGAGACAAGACGAAGCGACCGAAAGGCCGTGGCGGGCGTGGCTACCTGCGAGCTGTTGGATGCCACTCGTGTTCGCGGCAATGGGGGTGTGGACTGGCAAGAGAAGACAGTGGAAGGGACGAGGCTTGAAAGGTCAATACTTACGAATACGCTGGGCGGAGTGCTTGAGCCTGAAAAAGGATTGTTGAAGCCGCCGCCGTCGGTGACGGATGGAGAGGATTGACGCTTAACAAGCCTGCTGGCGGGCTGCCATGTGGTCTTGCTTGCCATCCTTTCGATGTTTGACTTGGCCCCGGCGTTCTTCTTGGACCAAAGACGTTGAATCTCATTGATAAAGTCAGCAGGCTCATGGCCAAGGTCGCAGTCCTTCCAGGCGTTTCCATCACGGACGCATTTGTTGCCGCCCTCAAAGAGGATGGTACAGGATCTGGTCAGGTTGGAATGCTTGGAGGCCTTGATGCTGTTTTGGAGAAGCTTGCGCCCTTGCTTGCCATGTACGCATTTAGCGATTCCGTCCTTGTGCCATTCAGGACCATCGACGAGACGCAAGCATCTTTGTGCGAGCTCTTCGTCGCCAATCTTGGAGACGCCGGCATAGTTCTGGCATTGGAGGAAGTTCCACGATCGCTTCTGTGCAGCGCTTGGACTGAGGTCGAAGTCTTGGCCTGCGCGGCCTGGGTTGAGAGCATCTTGAACACAAAGCTGCTGAATGTTGCCTTGACACTCCTGATCACCGTGCATGCAGGATGCGCCGTACTTGCTGTGCTTGTCGTTTTCAATGGAGCCAATGTAGCTCATAGTGAGACGAGTCTTGGCGTTGACTCGATCGAGCACCTTGTCGAAAGCGGCCTCACATGCAAGAGCGTCTGGACACCTAGACATGACTGCGAGTGTAACATTGACTCGCTGCAAGCCGAGAACATCGTACGACTCTGGTGATGCTTCATGTGTGAGGAAGGGTATTTGAGAGCGCGGTTCCAGCGTCTGCTTTGTCGGGCTTGCTGTAGCTGGTATATTGGAAGATGCGAGGATGCTGAGAAGGATGAATGTGACAAGGGATGACGCTGTTGCGCACCATCCTCTTGTTGTGGTTAATGGCAGCATCGCTACAGAGGCAAGTGCTCTATCCAACACTGGAAGCCAGCGGCAAAAGACCGGTTATCTGCGATATTGAAACGGCTCAGGTCGCCGAAAGATGCATTACGAGCTCATGTGAGCTGCGACTGGGATTGAGCAAGGGCCAAAGAGAAAGGGAGACGTCGAGCTGCGATCAGAGGAGAGTGGATACACGCTCCGTGTCCGAAGGTGAAGAGTTGGCAAGGTGTCCAAGAATTGATGCAACGCTAGAGTATCGAAAGGAATTGTCGATCTTCGAGTTGAGTTGTGGGTCGTGGGTCGGTCGACAAAGATGAAGTGTGTGTGGGGAAGAGTGGATGTAGGAAAGCAGTGACCAAGCGAAGCAGTATCTATCGTCGCGACGTTGGTGTCTGCGGAAAGATCAAGCCGAGGGGCTGTGGCATCAGCTGTGGCTCTACATAGCTAGTAGCTGCTGCTTTTTGACTGAAATTGGCTGATCTTTCGCCTAGAATTGATTCGCGGCTGAGTCAATACCAGGCTTCTTTATATATACAGCTCGCACATAAACTGTCCCACAAATTTACATGTCACCATACATCACTCTAATGCTCAATAGCTATAAGTTGTATTGTCACACTGTCTGATATCATCTGAAATCCCTGCTTCTTCTCTCCAAGACTGTGCAAATGATATTGACATTGACTGAAAAAATTGTGCTATGAAGAAGAGCTGAAATTTTTTTTTATTGTGGGACAGTTTATGGAGCATGCTCCCAAATAGTGACACCACTCCATTCCTGACCTTGTGGGCTTTTGACTACAATGAAACTTGCAATGTAACTTGGTGGGTGCCTTCATACACATCAAAAGTAGTGATGTGGAAAGTTTCAGCTCAATCAGATGACTGTGAGCAATCTGGCAGCACTTCCAGTCTGACACCATCATATCTATACCATCATGCCAAAAACCACCACAGAGAAGTGCCAATTGGAAATCTTTCACCTCCAAAATGGGGAATCTACCCATTCAGTTGCCAAGCAACTTGGTATGAGCAAGTCTACTGTGAATTGCATCAGCAAAAGCACCTCCACTGATGTTCCAAAGTCAAAGGGGGGCCAGCCAAGAAAACTCCAGCCTTGTCATGTTCACTTCCTGGACCACTATTTTGAGCTCAATTCAACCTCCATGGTCAGGAAAGCATGTCATGCACTGCAGGAGATGTTTCAAGTCAAAGCATGCCCAACCACAGTAAGAAAAGCACTTCATTACTGTTGTTACAAAGCATGGAGGTTAGTGAAAAAACTGAAGCTACTCAAGAGACATTACAAAGCCCATCACAAATTTGCTAATGAGCACAAGGACATGACTGTTGAGGATTGGAAGAATGTGGTATGGTCCAATGAGATGAAGATCAGGCTGTATGACATGGGAAGGGGTGGGAGGCATGTGCTTGGTGCTGGGTACAATGAATTCAGACCAATACATTGATATCTTGAATGACAAGCTTGTGAAAACAATCTCAGATTTACAGCTTCAGCATGCATACACTGACATCACATTTCAGCAAGACAATGACCTGAAACACACATCAAAGAAGACAACAACATGGTTGGAAAGCAATAGCATTAAGGTTATGCAATGGCTGGCACAGTTGCCAGACTTAAACCTGATTGAACACCTCTGGCACCATCTCAAAATGCAACTTTCATGGTATAGTACAATTGCAAAGTCCAGGAATGAACTGCTCAAGAGATGCAAAGCTGAATGGACAGTGATCACTCCAGAGACATGTAGGACCCTAATAGAGAGTATGCCAGACTGCATCAAGGTGGTTCTGAAGGCCAAAGGAGGGAATACAAAGTACTAAGGTGTTGTTGAGGAGCACTCCATAAACTGTCCCACAATTAAAAAAAGTCACAGCTCTTCTTCATAGCACAATCTTTTCAGTCTATGTCAATATCAATTACACAGTCTTGGAGAGAAGAAGCAGGGCTTTCAGACAATATCAGACAGTGTGGCAATACAACTTATGGCTATTGAGCATTAGAGTGATGTATGGTGACATGTAAATTCATGGGACAGTTTATGCACGAGCTGTATATATATATATATATATATATATATATGAATGTGTCCATCAAGGATCTCACATGTAAATTTCTGATCCCGCCTCTTCCCTGAAGCCTTGTTTCTTGTTCGGAAAGAGCCGAAGATAGTTGCGGAGACAGCGCTAGGATTCGAGCACGGCTGATCCGATCGTGTCCATTCAGCATTGATGTCTGTTTAGATATCTTGCCACGCAGCTCTATGCTTGACTGGAACCATCTTTGACTCGAACGAGCTGACGTCGGAACAGCCGTACTCGCATTTACAGGCAACGACAAAGAGCGCGCCTCACCTCGAGAACTTTGCGCTTCGGACCGCTGCACAGCAACAACTGCAACACCAGCAACCATGGCATCAAGCTCGTCCTCTTTCGCTCGGATCCTCCGACGTAGCACTGTGAAGCCGAGCTTAATACTCTCGCGTGAGCGAACACTGACTCAGCAGGCATCTCCACTGCAAGAGACCACTGCTGTTCGCGAGATTCACAAGCTCATGGCGCAAGTTCGAGGAGTTTATCCTCAAAAGCTCAAGCGGAGCATGCCCAGTGAGTCACCGTTCGGCTCTTCCGTATCTTTAGGGACACTTGCGGTAAAGTGCACTAACAGGATCTCTTTCTCTCCTTGCCTGCTGCTTGCTGCTTTTGCTGCTCGCAGCTCGACTGGCTCCACGTAGGAGTTGGATGAAAGAGATGGAATCGCAACAACGCCCCGAGGCTCCTTGCACCTCGTCAGAGCTACCCGAGTCAATGCTCAAGCCAAAGCGCATGCAAGACAGCTACGTAGAACTCTACCTTCCCTTTACCCAAGAGCCTGAATTGCTGGAAAAGTACATTGCAACCTCTGGCCTAATCCGACTCGGCAAGGTTCTCGAAGATCTCGACAGTCTGGCAGGCGCCATCTCCTATCAACATGCTCTCGGCCCTCGTCCAGGAGAGGTTTCGGCTGCCATCTACATCGTCACCGCCTCCGTGGACCGTCTCGACCTGCTCGCTCCTCTGACAGCAGATGCCAACTACCGCCTTTCTGGACACGTCATCTACGTTGGCTCCTCCAGTATGGAAGTCTTTGTCAGCATCGAAGAGCTCACTGAGCCGCCTCAACCAAACAAGATCTGTCTCACAGGTCGATTCACTATGGCCGCACGAAACGCACATACACTTGGTAGCCAACGCATCGCGCCACTCCTTCTCGAGACGGACGCAGAAAAAGCACTCTTCGCCATGGGTGAGAGCCACAAGAAGCGCAAACGCATGGATGCAGCTTCGTCGCTTGAAAAGGTACCCCCGAGCAAAGAGGAAGCTTTCTTGTTGCATAGCCAATACATCCGTGGTCTGCACGCAGGCATGTTTGCCACCGACGATCTGCATGGACCCGCCATGAAGATGGAGCCTGTTCATCAGACTAGCGGCCCCACATTGGTGCCTGTCAGCAAGACGAGCTTGAGTACCACAATGCACATGCATCCGCAACAGCGCAATGTCCACCAAAAGATCTTTGGTGGTTTCTTGATGAGGTCGGCATATGAGCTTGCTTGGATGGTTTCCGGTATGCAACTCCTCTACAATTCAACCTCTTGCCCCTTCGAGAGCCTACTGACATTCCAGTTGCAATGCTTGATTCTTTGCGCACAGCTTCGCTCGTGAACCGTCACGTTCAGTTCCTCTCGCTCGATGCCCTCTCCTTCCACGCACCCGTGCCCATCGGCGCTATGCTGCAGCTCTCCTCTCAAATCGCATACACTTCCGAACCAGACCAACATCTACAAGGCCACACCATTGCCAGTGTCACCCTTCTGGCCCAAGTCGTTGATCTCGAGACTGGCGAGCGCAAGAAGAGCAACACTGTAAGTCGACTCCTCCAGGGCTTGCTTCCTTATCCGCGCCCTCAGATCGTTGAGACTGACAGATACCCAACCTTGTCTCCGGCTCGTATCACTACAGTTTCACTTCAGCTTCGACCTCGGCAAAACCGACTGTCAGGTCCTACCACAAACTTACAAGGAGGCAATGGAGTTTATCGAGGGCAGACGAAGAGTCGAGATCGGTGCTGAAATGCGTCGTCTCTACTCGGGCGAGTCGTCAGGGTCACCGCAAGCTTGATCGCAAGTTCATTCTTACGTCTTTGTGAATTGCAAGAGCCGCGCACATCCTTGTTCAGACATTCGATCTCATGTGATGTCTTCTGGATTGCCAATGTACGATGCATGTGCGTGTGAAATACGAAATGGTAGCATGAAGTCAAGCTCTGTCCATTACTGACACAGGTGTAGCAGATGGCGACGGATTCGACAGCGGCAAGTCAGTTCTGCTGCGACTCTCAGCTGCATCCAGTCCACCTGCACTCACGCCCGCTTGTGACCCTGCCGCTCCACCAGCACTGGCTGCAGCTCCGCTTGCAAATTGCTCTTGCAGCGTGCTCAGCCGCTTATTGATACTCCTGACATACTTGTCAATCATCAGGATGCTTCCCTCACTCAAGCTGAGGGCCTCCTCTCCCGGATCCAAGAGAGATGATAGCATCGAGCTTGCTGTCTCGTATGCCAGCAAGCAGCGCGACGGATCCCATCCGCTTCCGTCGCGATTGTTCTCAAGCTCGTCCGTTGCTGCAGCTCTCGCCACGTCGACGGCTTTGTCAAAGATGAGCTTGTCCACCTGCTGAGCAGATTCAGGTAGCTCGTTGCATCGCGAGCGAGCAAAGTCGGCCTTGTCGTACACTTCGTTGAACCGTGCTCGAAGCCACTGTACCACCTCGTTGAGTTCAGCACTTGTAATAGCAGGTGCGCCAGGTCGCGAGCGAGAATCAATGTGCTTCTTGGTCAAACCGATGGCACGTTGCAAGAAAGCGAGACTACGAACATAGAGCATCAGAGCCTCTGCTGCTGCAGATTCTGCCGCGACTGGATCCAGAGCCGACGATGAGGAAGACGAGATAGATCCCACGCGCCTTGCTGATCCGCTGTTCTTGTTGGGTGATATGCCGGGTGATATGCCGGTGGTTGCTGTCGAAGCATCGAGGTCTTGTGACAGCTGATGCGGGCCATCCGGGAAGAAATGAGCGAGCTTCGAGTCGGCGAACTCTGACAGGACAAACGCTTTCTGTCCAAGATCCTCAAGTGTGCTGAGCAGGCTCATCTCGACTTCGTCATAGGTATCAGTTGCTCGCAAGAAGCGACGCTTCTGTGCACGGCTCCTCACGAGAGCTGCTGCGTCTCTCAAAGAAACGCCCGATGAGACCCCAAACAGACGCAAAGAGGCCATGCTGATAGCCTTGGCAAGAGCGCTTGAGGGGCCTCCTGCTCCGCCGCCCGGTAAGCCGATGCCCGCGAATTTCTGACCAAGCACGCTGACCTCCTCTTTCGGTTGAGACGATGATGTTGCTTCCCTGCGCGATGACTGCGTGCTTGCAACTGCATCGCCTGCAGTAATGACCTGGCCGCCCTGTCGAATAGAAGGAGAACCTGAAGAGGACATGCTAGTACGGCGACCGACCGAGGATGGCCTAGCGCCTGGCGGTAATGCAAAGGCTCCTGCATTGGTGGTGGTCTCTGTGTTGCTAGCGATGCGGATAGGCTTGGTGCTGGAAATTGCTGATGCTCCCATTGGCGGAGATGCGCCAGGCGAATTGGAGAGGGCACCAGATCCTAAGCGTGAAAGTCGTGAGGGCCTGCGAGAAGCCAGTGCCATCCTGTTCTGAGGTGAAGCGGCCAATTCGTCCGCCAGCGCATTGACCTCGACGTTGCGCTTCTCGATCATGACGTACTCTTTGCCGAGGAAGCTGTCTTGGCCTTCGCGGGATGCTGCAGGATTGTTGACGCCAAACGAGGACTGCTCTTCCATGCGCTCGAGGGTGAGAAGGGACTTGTCTGGCATGCCTGGCGAGCTAGGAACTCGTGCCATCGCTGCAATCGGTCGTTTCTCTGGCTCTTCTTGCCGTGATGGCGGCTCACCAGTGACATATTTTGCGGCGAAAGCGCGCGGTATCGTTCTTTCAGGCTTGGCTGGCTTGGGGAGCTCCAGAGCTTCGCTTGCAGTTGGCTTCGGACTCTCTACTTGTTTACTTTGACCGGACTTTGCCTGTTGGGCGTCTTGGGGACGAGATGTCTGGGCTGCAGCCTTGGATGTACTACCGCTTGTCTCCTGTGGTGGCGCTTCGACGATAGTCAAGGATGCATCCTTGAATCCGGAAGAAGGGAGAATGAGGCTGCGTTGGCTGTTCTGCAAGTCTTGGTATCGTTCGACAGCCTCTGCTTCGGCATGTGGACGGATGAAAGTCTTGAAATCGCGGATGACGGGGCTGCCGAAGAAGTCGTCGAAACTCATACGACTGACGGGCCGTTGACGTAGAAGCTGACGGATGAGAGTCTTGACGTCCTCCGAAACAGGATGCGGTGGCGGCAAGGGTCGGCCACCAAGCTCTTGTCGGCGTGCTGCTTCTCGTGCAAGAGATCCTGCTGATCGCTCGTCTGGAAACTTGATTCGGTCTTCGCCTCGCTCGATGCGTTTGAGCAGCTCGATGTGGTTGGCTGCCTTGAACGGTGGCTTGCCGACGGTCATCTCGAAGAGCACAGCACCGACAGACCAGAGATCGGCCTTGGCATCGTACTTTTCGAAGCGTAAGATCTCGGGAGCCATGTAAAGCGGTGATCCACAGAGAGTCTCTGCGAGTGTGTTGACGCTCAAGTGACGAGCAAAGCCAAAGTCGGCGACCTTCATCTGAGGGATCTCGCGTGGGTTGCCTAGCGCCAGAAAGGCTACATCTGGAGGCTGGAGGAGGAGATTCTGTGGCTTGATGTCACGGTGAACAATGTCGCGACCACGCATGAACTCGAGTGCTGCTGCAAGCTGAGTCAAGATGGAGCGGACGATGGTCTCGTTGAGGCCAGCGTCGAGAGGATGAGGATATTTGGGCTCCTGCGTCCTCGTCATCGATTGCTCTGACATGCCAGCACGCTGGTAGATGTCAAAGCGCTCCTTGATGTATTGCGAGAGATCTCCGGAAGCACAGAAGGCCATGACGAGGTAAATATGGCGCTCTGTCTTAAGACAATCCTTGAGCTCGACGATGTTAGGATGGTGAATGGCTTTGAGAATGGCGATCTCGCCTTCGAGGTTGTCGAGCAGCTTAGGAGTGAGCTTCTTGCGTATCACGATCTTGATAGCTACGGATTCACGAGTCTGATGGCGGTGGGCCTTGTGGACCACGGCGAATGCGCCTTTGCCGATCTCATTCTCAATAACAAAGTCGCCGATGCGTGCTTCATCTCGACCGGTTGAGGAGCTGGACATGGGCGGTGGTGCAGTAGGGACTGTAAGATTTGGGTTGAGACTAAGACAGCGGCAATGGGAGGAGCCGCTCGGGTTCCAGCAAGACGGTGTACTGGGCTGATGAGCAGTTTTTTCTGCGCTGCGGGGACCAAGCTGGAGCTCAAGGGAGGCAGAGGATGGCCGTGACAGCAGAAAGACTGGATCCTGTTGGAGCGTTTGAAGCTCTCAGTGCAGTTGAGCGGATGTGCTGAGGGTCAATGATCCGGCCTACAGTTGGCTGTTGCAGTGAGTACGAGTGCGAGTCCGGCCTACAGTTGGCTGTTGCAGTGAGTACGAGTGCGAGTCCGGCCTACAGTTGGCTGTTGCAGTGAGTACGAGTGCGAGTCCGGCCTACAGTTGGCTGTTGCAGTGAGTACGAGTGCGAGTCGATAATAGAGCTCCAAGCGTCGATGGTAATGGGAGGATAGCGAGGACGAGGTCTTCGCGCACGGTGGGTGTGTTCGAGTGTAGAAACTGGCAGATGCTCGCGACGGAGGACTGGACCTTGGTGAGAGAAATGATGCTGGCTGGCCTTTGTACTGCCGGGGATAGCAAAGGCGAGCCGATGGACAGGATCCGGGAGAACGGGAGAGCTGTGGTGTGAGGTGTGCGAACAAAGATAGGTGATCCGCTCTGTGTAGATCGAAGTGAGCTGAAGTGGTTGCTGAAGACAGCGAGATGATGATGATGGGTGGTGGGGTGGTGGGCTCGAAGCAGAATCGAGGACAGTGCGGAGCGAACGTGGAGAGATCAGGTGGTGGTGATGATTGGTTGCAAGATGGATAGAGGACACGGTCCAGACGCAATATCGATGCTGAGTCGGCGCTCTAGTCACGATTTGCTACGAATTGCTGTGCCTCGCTCTGATGTGATATGCATGCATGTGTGTGTGCATATATGCACAAAGGTGCAGCTCTGCTCCACTCGCTCTCGCACACAAACTAACTTAGTGTGGAGACTCAAGGCGAGACAATGCTCCTGTGTATCAAAGCAAGCCAAGCTTAGAATGCTGTTGGCTCAGCTAGCGGCTTTGCTTATCTCTCTTTCTCCGGTTTACATCGAGAAGAGGCAGGAGAGCACAGTGTCGCGTCCGGACAAGGAGTGGATTCAGGGTCCTGTTGTTGATCTCGCGATGCAGCAACTAAGCGATTCAGTGCGGATTCAAGCTGTTTGAAGACCCCTTTTTTTTTTTTTTTTTTTTTTTTTTTTTTCCCTTTCCGGACAAGCGTTGGATTTCGATAAGCCAGTTGGCGAGTGAGTCGAGGCTTTCTTTGATGATCTTGTGATTTTTTTTTTTTTCAGGCGACACAAAGCACAGCGAACCAGAAAAAGGTGGCGTGGCTGAGGCTGAGTTTATTTTGCTTATGCCTCCACTCTCAGGTAAATTCTCTGAATCAGAATGTTACACCATTGACATGCACACCGTTTTTTAAAATAAAAAAAAACCCCCCGCTGAACAGAACCACCAAAAAAAAAAAAAAAAAAAAAAAAAAAAAAAAAAAAAAAAAGTTCAAAGCGTCGACTGCGCTGGAAGAAATTTCTTGTTGGTGTGGAGAGTTGCTTCTTAACGCCGGCTAGGGTTGCATTCTTGTGGATACATACTGTAAGCCTGGCTCATCCGCAGCAGCACATCAAACTGAGTTCAGTTCCTCTCTCTCAAATCTACAAAAGGCGGCATCGTCGTTCCACCAGCCCGTCATCGCTCCTCAACCACGAAAAGACTCACAGGCAATCTTAACAGCTAGAACGATGAGCGCGACACAACCACAGCAAGACCATCAGGCCATCGAGGAGCACGACGTCGACTACGGCTCCGACCTTGCCAACGACGACATTGACGAGGTTGTTCCAGAGCACGATGAAGAAGGCGACATTCCCATGGACGATGACAGTGACGGCGAGGATGTGCAGGAGCAGCAACAACATCAACAACATCAACATCAACAACAACAACATCAAGAAGAGTTTGTCGACAACTCGATAGCCGCTTTCTACTCTCACCGCAAGTCGGTCTTCTCGGTTTCACTTCACCCTTCTTATCCTAACCCACCATTGGCACTCAGCGGAGGTGAAGATGACGGTGGATGGATTTGGAACACCCAGGATGGTTCCGAAGTCGTTCGGCTCGGCGGTCATTCCGACAGTGTCACTTCGGCTCTCTTCAACGCTGCTGGTGATCTCGCTGCCACCGGTGGCATGGACGGCAAAGTTCGCATCTGGCGCAAGAGGAGCGAGGATTTTAAAACATGGGAGTTCCTCGCCAGTCTCGAAGGTCCCGATGAGGTGGTCTGGATCGATTGGCATCCCAAGGGTAGCGTCCTCGCTGCTGGTGGTGCCGATGCCACTGTGTGGATGTGGCAGCTTCCTAGCGGCAACGTTATGAACGTCTTCTCGGGTCATAGCGACCTTGTCTCTTGCGGTAGCTTCTCTCCTGACGGCAAGAGGCTCATCACCGGCGCCGAAGATGGCACTCTCATCGTCTGGGACCCAAAAACTGCCGAGGTCATCTCCAAGGTACAGACACATCTCGATGGCGGCCTCACACAACTTGCCGTCTCGCCCGATGCTCGAGTTGTCGTCGTTGGTGGTGCTGCAGGTGACGTTCGCGTTGTCAACATTGGTGCGCTCGACAACGGTGGAGCAGCCTCGGTCGTCGCTTCTCTCACTGCTCACGCCGAGGGCGAGTCAATCGAAGGCATTCAGTTTGTCGACGTCGGAGTTGGCAGTCGCACCGGTCACGTCATTACTGCTTCCACTGAAGGCAAAGCTATCGTCTGGGATCTCTCTCTCGCCAAGATGCGTTGCGAGGTTATGCACGATGCTGCGATCACTGGTGTCGCTTTGCATCCTGGCACCACTCTCTTCTCCACCTCTTCCGCTGACCACACCATCAAGACATGGGATGCTAGGACCGGTGGCTGCGTTGCCACACAACAAGGCTTCACTGATGGCGTTCTCGCCCTCGCAGTCGGCAAGGATGACGGCTTCACACAAGGTGCCGAAACAGGCGGAATCGGCGCCTACGCCAACACTGCCAACTCCAGAGGCTGGAAACTCGTCGGAGCTGGTGACGAGGGTGTTGCGCTTGTCTTTCGCGTTTGAGTTTTGCAATCTGTCATACCCTCATCATGTAGTGTTTCTCCTTTCAATCACACTCTTTGCTGCATTTAAAACACACACACACACACACACACACACACACACACATACGCACTTGTCCGGTTTTGCGGCGCATCCGATGGATGATGATTCATGAGAAACTGAGCACAGTCTGTCAATTGATCGGCTGTTCCGAAGCGTGAGAACCATCTTTGGCAAGCGTGAGGATCGCTTCGGATGTTCCGATGGTGCTGTCAATGATATATAGAAAGGGCCAGACTTGAGTCGCTAACGGATTCGCCCCTCTTTCCAACAGCAACCCTCCGAGCTCACCAATACTTGAGAGAGATGCAATTCAACAACGGCACTGGCTGGCAACTGCCCCAGCTTGGACAGGGCCAACAATTAACACCACCAAGTCGCTCGCCATCTTCGGCTTCCCTTGCGGCTTTCACTTCAAGCTTCCGCATTCCTGGCATCTTGCCTGCCAACAGAGTCAACCGCCATGAGCAACAACCAATGGCTCAACCTGTTGCTTCTAATACTTCATTCGTTCGCCTCTTCGCACCAACACCACAGCAAGAAAGTACCAACTTGTTCCTACAGCAGCATGGCAGGGACACGGACACGACCGTCGATTGGCTACCTAAAGGGGGTCCAAACCCTAGAGAGTTCATCGACAATTCCCAAGCCGGACTCGGGTTCGAATTTGATCCTCGACCAGATTCGCGATTAGACAGGGAAAGCAGAGACAGGCCTCTGATTCGCTACACGCCAGAACCACGACAATTTGATGCAGCTCCAATGGAAGAGCCGCCTATCCGTCCATTCACCGCTTCATCTTACCATCGCAGTAAGCTGGTCACCGCGGATGGCTTTGTCGGTAACTACGTCTGCGCCGTTCTCGAGAACAGAGGTACCGGTCGCGAGGTCGGCATTGCCTCGATCGATCGAGAAACGGGTAATTTGAGCTGAACTGTTCCAAGACATCAATGTGGCCATCAGAAACAGAAACAGAGGAGTACTGATCAGATACGATTCTTTGATCAAACGCAGGACTTTGTGTGATCACACAGATTGCCGACACACCCACGTACGTTCGCACCATCCACCACATTAGCATATATCCTCCCAGCATCCTTCTTGTTCCCGCTTCTGGTCAGCCAGCCTGGAAGAACACCATGTCTGGCTTGACCTCTCAAAGCAGCAAGCGTCGCAGAGCGCAGGACGACGTTGATGACGAAAATGAACAAAGAGAACAGACGCAGCGTACTAGTACGTCTATGCTCATCAAATGCCTCGAAGAAATATGCGGCATCCAGGCTTCTCCCTACCTTCGAAGGCACTGGAACTACCATGAAGGTAAGCATACGTCGCTATCATTTCGAGCTCACCAATATTAGCTCAAATATAGAGTGAAAGCTGAGCAGAATTGTGAGACCAAAATCCGAACAAAGGATAGCTGACATAGAGCGATTTGGGCCTACAAATGTTGGGTACAAATTTGGCAGGGGCACGATGGTTGGACAAACTCTTGGTCGACGATGCAGAGGACGTCAAGGACAACAATGAGCAGTCTGCGCCCCGACCTTCACAAGATGGTGCCTATCACATCCAGCAGTCCCAAGACCAAGCCCCTTCGAGGCCTCAGACAGCTTGGACCAACCGAACTTCGCTCGATTTTAGTGCCAAAGCCTCAACCAGAGCAGCCATTCTGGTCGCGGTCGCCGACAAGTATTACTTGCTCTCTGCTGTTGCTGCTCTGTTCAGGTAAGTCATTGCTGAGAGAACCTTTCGTCTGTAGTTCGTTTTGGCTGATCACCGCGGCGAACATTCCATTTTGACTTACTCAGCTACTTTACAGATCAATTCAGTCGAGTGTTCACATCAAAGTCGCTTCGCATTCGCTACGTCGTACCTGAAGGCAAGTCTCGATCCGTCATGGTCCTCTGTTGGAGTTTTCGTTCTAATTGGCATTCGATTTTCCCCTTTGACCCGCAGGCACTGTCTTGATTAACAGCAATACGGCTCACGATTTAGAGCTTGTTCGTAATAGTATCGATCCAAGGTCGCAAGACTGTCTCTACGGTGAGTCTTACTAGTACGCAGCCTGTTCGAGCCACAAAGAAGACACTGACGCTTCAATTGGGCCAATTGACGAATACCAGGTTTGTTGAACCACTGCGCTTCGCCGATGGGCAAGCGCTTGCTGAAGATGAACATCCTTCAGCCACTGACGGGTAAGAGGAAGCTGCTTTCCCGCTGTAACTGCTGCGGAGAACTGAACCCCGTTCTAATTTTCGCGACGCAGACCTTCAAACACTCGCTGCTCGGCAAGAAGCGGTGGCCGAGTGTGTTCGCTACGAGGTACGCCATCCTGCCTAGTATCTGCCAAGTGGTTGAATCTGGACTCACAACGTTTTCGCAATCGTCACGCGTCCCTTAGGAGCGATTCTACGCTATTCAGCAAAGCTTAAGGCCGATCCGCGATAAATCTATTGATCTCGACAAGCTCATTCATATCCTGTCCTGCCCGCCAAAGCGAGGCAAAGAGACGAGGCTCGACACCGAACGCAAGATAGAGAGCATTCTCAGCCTTCGTACTCTCCTGAGCTCACTTGGACCAGGTACGTTGGTGACCAGAACTATCGAGAGGGCAAAAATGTGATCCTAGAATTTTGTTGGCCTTTCTGGTGTCTTGACTTCTCTGATGTAGCCCGAGCCGCTCTTCAAAACGCTTCGAGTGGTCTCCTGCAGGCAATCTGGTCGGTGAGTGGGTTGATGCGTCGGTATGCTTTATGTGCCGAATCGATGCTCACTGGTCGGGTGCTTCTTCCTTTGTCCGTAACAGTTTCTCGACTCAGAGCAGATCGACAGGATCAGCGAATCCATCCACCTCACGATCGATGAAGACATTGCGCACGCGAAAGGAGGCATCACATCCCGCAACGCCAAGATGGTAAGTGGCCAGTCTTGTTGGTCTCAACACCATTTCTGAGTGTCTGGCCTGTTAATAACTGATACCTTTATGTTGGTTTCGGCAGTATGCCGTACGAGCCGAACGCAGTCCTTTGCTCGACGTCGCAAGGCAGACGTACAGGGAAAACTTAGAGTAAGTTTGAAGGGAGGCCTACCTTCAGAAAGTCTATATATTCGAGCCTTGCAAGTGGCTTTCCAACAGCGCTAACCATGATAACCCTTCCAAACCCCTTCCTACTCTGCAGAGACATTACTCGTCTCTGTGACATGGAGAAACGTGAGTCTATCATGGAAGCTGCAGCATCGAGGTCACGCAACAGAAGCTGACCATCTGCATCTTCCTCGACGCTCCTTGTGACGATCTCAGGCGAGACTGGGCTTGACCTTAACCTCAAGCTTGTTGCGAATGGCTTTCTAGTGAGTGTTAACTTCATGGGGCGCGATGGTTTGAGCTGGAAGCTGACTGACTTACACTTAGCAGTTTCAAACAAGGTTGGACAAGACCCAGATGCACACTCTGCCAGAGCGCTTCAGGAACATCACTAGAGCCAAAAGTGGCAAGATCGTCACCATGACGACGATACCCTTGGTGAGTGGTCCATCATCTGCCTCAGCCGACAATTGGCAAGCTTCACTGACACTTTAGTGTTGCTATATGCAGAAGCAGCTCAACGCCCGACTGGTGGAAGCGATGAACGAGGTCTGCACCATGTCAGACCTGATCATCGAGCAGCTGATCGAAGAGATCATTGGTCAGGTTGCGTCGCTCTACAAGGTGAGCTGATTCCCTCCTTCAAGACTTTGCTAGAGGAATACTCGCAGACTGACATGCTGACTGTCTCTCTGGGCGCATATCGACAAACAGGTATCAGAAGCACTTGCCCTGCTGGACATGGTGGTCAGCTTTGCGCACGTCTCCAAGTGCAATGATTATGTTCGGCCTGTTTTTGGCGAGACTCTCGACATTCGCAACGCGCGTCATCCCATCCTTGACCGCGTCGACATCCCTACGATTGGTCCTCCCAGCGCTGTCTCTCGTCGACGACAGCCCTTCGTCCCGAATGACATTTATCTCGCTCCTGGTGAGCGAGTTTGCCTCGTCACGGGGCCCAACATGTCCGGAAAGAGCACATTCCTCCGCCAGATTGCACTCATTACTGTCCTAGCTTGCATTGGATGCTTCGTACCGGCGACACGAGCAACCACGCCTATGCCTGATGCCATTCTCAGCCTCCTAACGCATGAAGACGACCCGACCCAGAACCTCTCCACCTTTGCGGCTGAGATGCGCACTTCTGCTTTCATCCTCAGTGTCGGTACACCACGCTCGCTCGTCATCCTCGACGAAATGGGACGAGGCACTTCTCCTGACGAGGGCTGCGCCGTCGCCACAGCCATCATTGAAGAGATGATCAACGAGAACGGTAGCAAAGTCTTTTTCGCGACTCACTTTGGCGAGCTCGTCGATGGTCTGGACGGCAAAGAGGGTTTCGTATGTCAGCATCTCGAGGTCAGCACAATTCAGCGGAGGGAGGACGTTGGTCTTGTCTTTCATCACAAGCTACATCTCGGGCCCGGTCTCAACACACATTACAGTCTCCAGGTTGCCAAAATGATGGGATGCTTCAGCAACGACTTTTTGGAACGAGCGGAGGAGGTGGCGGTGGCAGAGCAGGCAGCGAATGCGGACAGGGATAATGCCATGAATTCAGAGACGAGGGAGAGAAGGAAGCTTCTTCGCAGAGTCGTGCGTGACCTCTGCCGTCTCATTCAAGCCCCGCTTCAGAGTGAGGTCTCAGAGGGTGTGGAAGAGAATGCGATTCGAGATGCAGAGAAGCTGATCGAGAAATTGGCGACTTTGCAGATCAACGCAGCCAACGAACTCGATGCCACATTTGAGGCCTAGCTCCCTTGCGTTCCTGCTTCCCCTTTTCTCTGCCTATAGGGAAATGCCCAAGCGAGGTCAACCAAGATGCGGGCCAAATGTACAAAGAAAATATGTCGATGTTGAATGCGAAAAGTATGCTAGTATTACAGATGCGGAGATGGTGAAAGGAACAGACATGAACGGATTGCGTCCAAGCCGGCCGCCCAGTGACCGCGAGCGCTGCCTGCAAAGCGTTTAGATGAGAAGACGCTCGATCTGTAGTAAGGAGAAGCAAGGAAGAAAGAATGGTACGCAAAGAGGTCAGTACTTGCGACTAAGAGTGGCATCAAGCTTAGCTGACGAAGATGGTCTTGGAAAGGGAAAAAAGAAAAAGAAAAACTTACAGCAAGCTTGACGGTCTGGATCTGGCTCTGAAGCTCCCTAGCCTCGTTGGTTGTGACCGAGCACGAGACGACAGGGCGCGAAACACCACAGGCCCTACCAAGAGCAGTCTTGCTGGGAACAAAGACATAAGGAACGTTCTTGTCCTCGCAGAGCAAGGGAAGGTGGAGGACAATCTCGATGGGCTCGACGTCGGCAGCCATGACAATGAACTCGCAGATACCACGGTTGAGAGTCTTGGTAGCCTCGTTGGCACCCTTTTTGAGCTGCTTGTAGTGGGAAGCCTGCTGGATGAGATCGAGGATCTGGTTGGTGAGGGTGGCATCAGCCAGAGGGAAAGCCTTAGGGTTGGGGGCCGACATGGTTGCGATTCGTAAACAAAAGAGAAAGTTGGACGGAAGTTGGTGGTATAGAGACCTCACGCCAGATGCGAAGCAGGGATCACGGGTCTGAGAAGAAGTGATGCGCGAGTGCGAAGGTGAAACAGTTGTTGGTGGTGAGAGAGACGAAATGATGTTCAGATGAAGCGGGAATAGTCTGTTGCTGCAGTCCTTCCAAATGACGACGCAGAAAGAGCGGGTGCGGCTGCCGGTTCAGACTTTTTCTTTCCGCAATTAAGCGGGAAGCTGTGGAAATTTTCGCTTTTTTCTAGACAGTGAAAAGTTGGATTAGTCACGCTGACCAGCTCAACATCGATCTGACATTGACTCGTTTCTCTTCCCGATGTGAAGGCATCGGGACGCGTCATGACGTAGCACAAGCTGTCAAGAGACGAGGCTGCAGACTGCAATGCGGGATGATCCAACGCCTCATCATACAGTCATGTGAGATGCGCTCGGACAGTCAGACTATTGACATGACATGGTTGCAGCCAGAAGCGCAAAAGTTTGATTACCAATCCCCAGCGTGCCTCGTATGTGAGTAGCCCCACATGTTTGATCTGCTGGCAACTTTGTGATAACTTGGCAGCTCTTTCCTCCACCTTTTCGTCAGACAGGGTTTGATGTCGCACTCCTGTTTGAACAGATTGATTGCAACGTATCCACCATCTTCGCTTCACGAATCAACAACGCTAAACATCGTCAATATGGTCGTCAACACACTTCTTATCCGCAGGGCTGCCCTGCAGGCATCCGCTGCCCCATCGCGTCTGGCCGCCTTCTCCACGGCCTCGCGCCTACACAACCAGACTCCCCAGTTCAAGCGCGAGGGTCCGGTTGCGCCCAAAGACGACAAGAGCAAGTTTGATGATGGTCGTAAGTGCCAGCTCTTCTCTTGTTTGACTGACCTCCCAAGTATACTGACATCTTATTTACTTGTGTTTGGCTGTCGACAGGCGATGACCCTCACTATCCCGGAGTGCAACAAAAGCTCAAGTCATTCTCCGATCCCTACCCGAACCGACCGAATGCTGACCGCTCACACCCTGAACCCGAATCTCCCAGAGGTCACGAAGGGGCCTTCGCCGACCACCGTGGCCGAGGCAGCCGCGCAGAGGGCGAGCAGCTCAATGGCTCCGAAGAAGCCGCCGAAACCCGTACTCACCAGCGTGTAGGCCAGATGGCCAAAAACGCAGCTCAATCCCTCTTCGGGAGCGGTGACAAGAAATCTTTCTCCACCTCGGCTCGCTCTTCCGTCCAAGAGGCCACCCAAACCAACCGCTCCACGCCAGCCAGGACCTCTAAGGGCAGTTTAAACGATCACCCTGGCTACACCACCGAGGAGGCACCCATTGATTCACGCCCTCCCTCTGAAATGCCTTCCCCAGCAGAAGGTGCAACTCCAAGCTCAACTGTAGTCAATGCTAGCACAAAAGCAGCTGCATCTCACCCTGACGTAAAAGCTATGGCAGATGGCGCCAATCAACCTGGTGGTGGTGCTGACGCTCTTCACCCCGAAGACAGAAGTCAAAAGTCTTGGGGCATGAACGCTCGATCCGCTCAGTTCAACCCAGAGGAGGGTAAGAGGAAGCCGCTCTATGATGGCGGTAGCAACGAAGGAGGGTTCAAAGGTAAGCCTGATGGCAAGTCTCGTACCTGATTGATGCCGGATCTAGTCAAAGCGATGCTCGTCAAAAGCCATGTTATTTGCAAATCGACCTCATTTTCAATCTCGTTTTCCCTCGCAACCAAGTCCGATCACAGCCTATGATGATGATATATGTGAACCATGACAATTGATCATTGAGAAAAGCCAGGAGGCAAAGGGTATCTTGCGGCAAGCCGCGTTCGAGGGTGCCGTAGTGTGCCAAACTGACGTTCGTCACGCGAGCCTAGGCATCATAAGACGGCGGGTGGGGTGAAGTGCCGTATGCAGGCGGCCGATGATCAGCCCTCTGTATAGCCGAATGTTCGTGAGCCGCCAGAGTGAGAGGTAGGGGCGGATCGCAAAGCGCTCCTCTTGCTTGTATGGAGCTTGGAGGCACGCTGACTGCGCCACTGGCACCTGCGCTCGTGCGTCGCATAGCTTGATCGAATGAAGGCACTGCTGATCCATCTGCATACGGTGGCGGCTCATGCCTGCCTGACGCTGCGCCGCGGTGAGCTGCATCTCCCGAGACAGCAGCCTCGTAAGATGGATGCGATTCATCTTGGTCATGTCCGTGCTGCATTGTTGTAATCGATGCTGAGGGAGGTGTGGTCACATTGAGGTTGGCGGGATAGCTCTGCGAAGAACTGTGAGGCGGAGGAAGTGGAAAGTCGTCGTCGTCCTCATCGAGCTCCGCTGGACTTCCGACATGGAGTTCCGTGAAGCCACCAGGCATGTGCAAAGCCTGTGCTGAGGGATCCCTGCTGTGTTCTCGCATCTGACCAGTTCTGGAAGATGAGCGATCAACAAGCGGAGATAGCGGTGGCGGGGGATCATAGTTATGTTCAGTGGGCAGATGTAGGGCGCGGTTTGAAGAGGTCGGAAGCAAAGCGTATGAGGAAGTTCCCCCGCGTGAGTCCGAATGGCCATCATCGATAGGAGGTGGAGGTGGAAACGAGCCATCGTCAATTCCGTCTATGTTCGGGTAGGGGTCCGCAGAATGCCGAAGTGCTTGGCGAGGCATGGCGAGTCCTACACCTTCAACTTCCACTTCCACCTGCAGGTCATTCTGGCTCTCGAGCAGTGAGGGCGGAGGACCATCATTATGGGCAGAAGGATCCGAGACTTCTAGAAATTGTCGCAGCTGCTCCAATCTTTCGGCATGATCGGTGATCTCTGAGCTACTTGCAGCAGCATCAGATCCATTGGCTGCATCGATCAAGTCATTCAAACTGCGTCCTATATCTTCGTAACCGTCATATTCGTCGTCCATGCCAAAGTCGAGCAGGTGATCGACATTAGAGCCGGCGTTTTGCGAGCCGGAAGCCGCTACCTGTTCGTCCTCAGCGAGCATGGGTGCCTTCTCTGATCTCTTGAGCCTTTCCTTCTCTGATAGCGTGCTCGAGGCTGGCGTTTCTTCTTGATGCAGATTTTCGAGTGCGCCCGCTGCACCAGGAAGGATTTTGACGAGACGCTTCAAGGTAATGTCTCTGCGCTCGCTGCGACCGCGTTGGATGGCGATCTTTATACGCACCTCGAAGCTGACTTTGTGCATGAGTGTCTCTTGGCTAATGCTCTCGCAGCCCCCGCCTCCGCCTCGGCCAAAAACAGGACCGGGAGCGAGTGCATCGTGGTCAGGATGAGGGTGTGGCATGTTGGCTCGATCAAAGGGTGGATGAAGCGTGAGTCGGAGGAGAACGGGACGCTGCGAGTGGAAGCGACAGAGCTTGCCGCTGTGTGCTAGAAGCGCTTCACGAAGGTCAGGGTGACTGACACTCGGCTCACCCAGCGTTTGACCTCCTTGAGCATGATTGCCGGCGCCATCCGGTCGCTTGACGTGAATGATGCGGACGAGATCTGCTTCGACTGCACGCAGCTTGAGACCCTTTTCAGAGACGCTTGTCGGATCTGGTGGAGGGATGCGTACGCGAATGTCGATGGGTTCAGCGCGTCGGAATATGGTGCGGTTGATCTGGGCATAGACCAAAGTAGGTGCCTGTTGGATCCAGCTGTGTGGCTGCAGTGTGTACTCTTGGTTGGGTAAGGCGGCTCCATCGATGTCGGCGAGCTCGACCTCGTTCAGCGGGCCAGGTCGAGTGTAACGGACGAGGTGCACAGGGACCGTCTTGGTAGCATGTGGCAGCTTGCCCGCATCCTCGCTGAAGAGCTGAGCGGTGATGGTGTAGGTGAGTGAGCTGTCGCGGAGATGGACGCAGTGCGGAAGATCTTGAGTGAGAGGGAAAGAGAAGGGCATAGTGGACGGCGCTGTCGGAAGGCTGAGGCTAGATAACGTTGGCTGCTTGTCAGCATCCCACAGCACTAGTGTGTGGGAGAAGAGCTCGACGACATCGTATTGAGGCGAGCGAGTTGCTGCTGAGCTAGCAAAGATGGCGGATTGGGAGCGTGCAACCTGCTCCTTTGCTTGAAGCTGTACAAGACAGCGTGTATACCTGCCCTTGCTTTTTGTTTCTGTATCCAGTTTGACGAGGACGTCGCCTTTGAGCCATGCCTGGAAGCCTTTGAGACCGAGATATCCGACCTGGAAGGAAGTCGAGTCGTTTCGTGGCGCAATATCGAAGAAGCTATCAGAGCCTGGTGTAATGCCAGACGACGGAAGCGCTTCAGAGGATGGGCCGGCTACTGAGGCTGATGAGGAGTGATTGACGTTGGCTTCCGAGTAGCTTGGTAGCGCGTTCTGCCTGGATGCGTTTGAGGAATACGTCGATGTCAGTGTCGGTGTCGGTGTCGGTGTGCTGGCTGATGATGTTGTGGCAGTCGAAGGAGAAGGGTTGACAGCTGCGCCGACGGTTGCAGGTGCTGTCCGGATGTTGCTCTCCGTCTGCTGGTGGGCCGACATTGCTATGATATGGAGAGAGCCCTCTTTGGTTGCATGGGTCTCGTAAAGGAGATCGCTTCCGCCTTGAAAGAAAAGCGCACAAGCCGATGAAAGGCGTGGCTGTGTCGCCAGTGCGCCACTTTGATGGCTCATCCGATATCGATCCAGGTGGCGTCTGTGATGTCAGGTGGGAGAGAGGGAGAGAAGGAGAGAAGGAGAGAAGGAGAGAAGGAGAAAAGGAGAGAGGGAGAAAGAGGGTGTCGGATTGATGCCGATGTGATGAATGATGTGACAAGGAAGAACATGGAAACTGTAATCCTAAGTCGGCACGGCACAGCTGCCGAAATTTATGTGGAGCTGCGCACGGACATTCTCCGAAAATGAAGCCTGTAATGCGATCCAGCTTCGGGCAGGAGCCGACATGTTTTTCTCATGCCAAGCTTCAGCAGTGCCTAACTCAGCTGAAATCTCTCAAGCGCCAGCCATGGCAACCTAGCTTGGCGGTAGTGTAACTATTCTTTGTATTGGCGAAAAAGTAAAAGTACAATTTAGTCTCTTGCAGCAGGGAAAGGGAACGGCGGGTTGTTAGCTCGGGGATCCGATTGACGTTGATGGTCGAAGGGGAAAGGGTTTTCTTTGCGTGCTTGTCCGATCAGATCCTCCAGTCCACGCTCTGTAACAGCTTTCTGCAAGCATCGAGATAAGAGCCAACGTGAGAAAAGAGAGAGACACCAAGTTAGCAGGTTTGTCCGCCATCGCCAAAGTAAAAAAAGGGCCCTTAGCTATCTGAGAGCCCTGGGAGAAGCTCGCGCAGCTTTGATCCAAGTCAACATGCCTTTACACAAGCCTGGTAGTCCTTGAAGAGCTTGCCACAGTCCTGGTCGTAACGCTCCATGATCGCACGCTTTCTTGTCTCGAGATCGGATTCGGCTGATGAGGCTGCACTTGTTGAGGCCGACCAAGACGACGAAGAATCCGAGAACCAGCCAGATTTCTTCTTGCCTGCAGAGCTTTCTGATGCTGGTGATGCTGTACCACTGGACGATGCCTCGCTCTGTCGCTGCTGTTCTCGAATCTGGTCGTCGCCTATTGCCAAGTAGTCCTTGAACCAGAGATTGAAGCAAGAGTCGTACCGGTGCTTGAGAGGTGTGCATTCTGGTGACATGGACGAGATGGCACCCAGTCCAGCAGCACCTTTCGTCTGCCATTCAGCTTCATTGTAGCTCGACGAAGCAGGAGCCGTCGGAAGAACGTGAGCGGTTTCGGGTGCGGGTGCGGGTGCTGCTGATGATGTCGATGCTGATGATGTTGGTGCCTTAGTCGCCGCCGAAACCGACTCGTCTTTGCTTTTTGAGAAGAACATCCTTATGATGATTGCAGCAGTGAAGGATGGAAAGGAGATGGCGGGGACCTTGAAAGCGGATCGAGGTGTTGGACGGAATGATGATGAGGACCCTGACAGATGGACTCGTGGAGAAGCGTCTACAGTAATTGAAGATAACAATTAATACACGGCGTTATTGGGGTCACGATCAGACTCCCTTTACAACAGCCATATATTCTATGTAATGCTTGGTTTTTTTATTAGAGTAAACCTAAATTACAGACACATATATATATACTCCATTCACCACTCTAGTGATATCTGAAACAAGATGTGTCACTTCATCCATACCCCTGCTTTGCTATGATACCGGGTGCCACCGGACTGTTGTCATGATGACTACCACTTACTTCATTGTGTTCCTCGCTTATGTGAGCTCCCTGCACCTCAGTGTCTCAGCTGTGGTACATGCATATTGCTTGAGATGCCGATGCATCTTCAACTCCCCCTTTCGACAGGATCTCCAAGCCTATCATCCTGGCCAATCATGAAGTGTTGAGACCCTGCAGAGGCTTTGTCAGAACATCTGTGACATTGTTTGCTGTTCTGGTATACTTGATCTCCACATCACCCCCTTGCACATGGTCGCAGATGAAATGATACCATGTGTCGATATGTTTCAGCTTCCAATGTTTGGCTGGATCCTTACTCACCTGTATGCACCCCTGACTATCTGTGTATAGTACAGGCCAAATGTTTGTGATCTCCAAATCCCAGAGCAGGTATGAAAAGAACAATGCTTCTCTCACTGCCTCGGAAGCAGTGACGAACTTGGCTTCAACTGCTGACAATGCTACACACTTTTGAACATGAGACCTCCAGCTTACTGGACATCCATATACATATGTTATCGACCCTGAAGTACTCCTTCATCCATTTGTGGGGTCAGATGCCCAGTTTGCATTGGTATACATCATTACCAGTGCATCCGAGTGCTCATTCGTCAACCCTCCTAGATGCAATTGATATCCACTTGTCTGGTTCAGGTACTTTACCACATGGATCGCTGCCTTCCATGCACTGTCGATTGGGGTTGACATGTATCACACCAATGGCAAAGGCGATATCTGGTCGAGCTGTGTTTGATACCCATAACAGTTGACCGACTAACTCTTGATATTCCTTTGCTTGTTGAGGTTTGCATCTCTCACCTCCAGGAACATTTGCTATGCACAACATGGGTATCCAAGATTTTTCACTTGCTTCTCTTAGCCATTTGTTCACCATTGCTTCAATGTATGCTGTCAAATCCAGAGATATCCTCCTCCATTCTCTATCACATGTGATCTTTACACCCAGAAATTCTTTGATTCTTCCATTGTCTTGCATCTCCCATTTGTCCATGATTTCCCGCTTGGTGCGATCTACTTCACCACAACTGGGTGATGTTATTAGCATGTCATCCACATATGCTGTGATGATCATAATCTTGTTGCCTGTCCCTCTTGAGTACAAACATGGTGCACTTGGCATGCAGTGAAACCCGATTGTCCAGAGATGTGAGTCTAACTCAATATTCCATTCTCAGCCCGATTGTTTCAGACCATACAGACCTTTCACTACCTTCAGAGCCTTTCCGGATGGTATTTTGATTCCTGGTGGAGGCTTGAAGTATACATCATGGTGTATGGTAGAGTTTAAGTACACCTGTTTTACATCAATAGAATCTATTTCCCAATCCTGTGTTGCTGTGATGGCAATCACCCCTCTGATGGATTGGATGGGTGCCACTGGTGCGAAAACCTCCATGTAGTCAACCCCTTTGCATTGAGTGAAACCTCATGCCACGAGCCAGGCTTTGAACTTTGTTGGTACAAGGTTTGCATCCATTTTGATCTTGAGTACCCAATGTGTGTCGACGGTGTTTGCACCCTTTGGGAGGTCAGTGTCATGGGCCTGGATGCTCAAGAAGCAGGAGGGTCACTGGTTCATATGGAAGGAGCACAGGTATCAAAGACCTAGTCGATACCAGTAGAGAGCATGGTCATAGTGCAGTCTCCATGGAGACCATGGACTCCTATGGACTCACATGCAAAGGAGAACCGAGCCACATGCGAGGAGGGCCAGGCACAGCCACGAGGAGGACCAAGCTCAAGGAGCAGGCACAGCCATGAAGAGGACCAAGCTCAGATGGTTACCACTCAGGGGCTTGAGAGACAAGAGTAATAGGACACTGGCAAGCAGGTCCTGAGGAAGAGGAGCAGTGTCGAAGGAGTCGACGCCAGGTCATGAGGAGGAGGAGCAGTGTCGAAGGAGTTGACACCACTCAAGAGGCACAGGGGTGCCAAGCAGGAGAGGCCCCTGAGCAGTACTCGATGAAGAAGGTACTCTCTGGAGAGAGAGCAGGAGCAGCATCGCTGGCGAAGCTGTGAAGAGATATATAACCATGCTTTCTCATCATCATAGGCCGAGTGGATCCTCATCGACTCTACTCACCATATAACTAGTTATCACTTCAGCATAAGTATACATTAGTTTCAGTCAGCATAGCAGCAATCTATCAAGGTTGCTCCTCATCGTAGTGTGTGTGTTGTATCACCACTACCTGACATCCGAAGGCACCCATAGCAGGTTAGCGGTCCGGATATAGATAGAACCAAAGGCAGTAGTCCACTGCGGTCTGGGGATCACTTCAAGCACCAAGTCAACACACTGGACACTCGTGTTGACGCCACCAACCTCATCACCAACACCACCAACCTTATCACCAAACACCATCAACCTCATCATCATCAACACTCACACCAGACCTTGGTGTCAACATAACCTACATATTGATATTGATCGTGCTGAGCTACCCCTGAACGGAGTGTCCACAGAGGTCAGCCGAAACCTATGATAGTATATACAACAAACGCCACCTGCTGTCACTGCGCAACTTGATAGTCACCAATACTGAGACAATAGCTGTTGCACAGTTTGATAGTCACTGAGTATCTCGACAGACCGACCTGGGTTTCAGGCGCGAGACCCCTGACAGTCGGCAATCTCCCACATGCCCATTGCTTCCAATCCATCCAGCTCCTTTTGCATGGCTTCTTCCCAGTGTTTTCTATCCTCTCCACTCATTGCTTCATGTATGGTTGGATCCAGGTTCTTCTTTTGTTCTGGTCACATTGCCATGAGTCCCAAGAATTTGCTGTCAATTTGAGTTTCAGTGATTGGTTCTGGTTCCATCATCTCCGCCATTCCTTCGCTTGATCTCTCTTCTGAACCTGTCTCCATATCTATGTATTCTTGCAATGGTTCCTTATGTGCTTCATCAAATATATTTTCCTCGTTGTACCCTAGGTCTTTGAAATCCTCCTCTGTCATCATTGCTGGAGGTGTCTTCATGTCAACTGGTTGCCACTCCATCCTGTCTGACCAGCATTTGGATTCCATGAATTTAGCTGAGTTGCTCCAAAAAATGTTCGGACTGTAGTCCAGGCTGTAGAAAAGCCAGCCCTTTCTCTCTAGACTGTATCCCAAGAAAATGGATGTGACAGCTCGCTGGTCTAGTTTCTTATTGTCCCGTTTGACTTTGGGTATGTTTACCCATGCCAGACAACCAAACACTTGTAGGAGTCTCAAAATGCGCTCCAGTGACTTGCTGAACATTGCTTGATAGGGGAACTCATTATCAACACTTGGAGTGAGGTTGATTTTGAATGCTGCAGCTCTGATCGCATATGGCCAAAACCTCTTCAGCAGCCTCCTCTGCATTAGCAATGTTCTCATCTTCTCTCCAAGGGTCCTGTTCATTCTCTCCACCTGTCCATTTTGTTTGCTGTTGTACCCCACAGTGGTTTGCCACTCTATGCCCTTTTCTAATGACCATTCTAATGCATCGTTGCTTTTCCATTCAGTTCCTTGGTTGGATCAGATCGCTTTTAGCTTCCGATCCATCTGTGTCTCCAGGAATGAAACGATCCTTTTGAGTTGCATGAATGCATGACTCTTTCGCATCAATGGCTGTGCATACACATACTTGCTATGATTGTCAATTAGCACCAGAGTACACATATACTCCATCACATGGGACAAGTCTATTATTAGGTCAACATGGATGAGATCCAGGGGCCCCACAGCTCTTTCACTGCTACCTTGCCCCATCTGGGCACTTGTGCTCTTGGATTGTACACACTGCTCACATGTCAGAGCAGTGTTTGGATCCAAATGCATGGTATGCCTATTCTTTAATTTACTTGTGATTGTCCTGGCTTTGTCTCTTCCTGGGTGTCTGAGGTGCTCATGCCATAGTTGTTCCTTTGAAACTTTTGGTTCATTCTTAATATGCTCGAACTCCTTGTCAACACCTTCAAACAGTGATGCTGACATGACCATCATGCTTTCTTGCCATGTGTCACCTTGGAACTCCAAAAGTCCTTGCTTGTGATTCTTTGCAATTTTAAGTGTCATGCCATTTGTTAGAATGATCTGGCTGCTGGTTGCATCCAATGTCACTCGTGCTCCTTCATCCATTAATGAATTCATTGACAGAAGGTTAACATTAAGATGTTTCACATATAGTACATTTTGGAGGGAGATTTCCCCATAATCTGTAGATATGCTTGCATCTCCTATAGCCGCTGCTTCCAAAACCTTGCTTCTGGCAGTAATTATCCACTTTCAGCAGGTTCTTGGGTGGATGAGCATGCTATAGTTGTTCACCATGTGATAACTTGCCCCCGAATCCAAGATCCAATGAGCTGTTTCCTTGGTGTTTGGGGGGTCTTGTGAGAGGGTGAGGGAGCACCACACTTCCTATTTAGGTTTGGTGAGGGGGGAGTCTTTGGGAATGGTAACTGTAGCGTCACATTGACTAATCCCATGTCCTGGTTGCTTGCAGATCCAGCATCAGATTCAGCATGATCTTCCTGCGTTCTTCGGGCTCGTGGGGCTATTGTCGGCTTCAGCTTTGGTCTCTCTGGTCCATTCGCTTTGATCATTGTTGCCAGCAGTCCAGGCACTGGCTTGGCAGGGGTCAATCTTTTGTGCAGGGATGCTCTCGACAGCATTCTGTCAGATGCTTAGTGCAGTGGTGAGGGTGTTGAAGTCAATTTGATGGACTGTGGTGACTGTCTCCTTATACACCAGATGCTGGATCGTGCATTTCTGCAGAGCCGAGAACAATGTATCATTGGCAAATGGTTTGCCAAGGAGGCTACTTTCAGTCTGTATGGACTGGATCTCTTGAATTAGCTTTCTGGCATCTGAGCAAAACATCTTTATGTCATTGAGCTGTGAGATGAGTGCAAGTCTGTGAGACATCTTGGTGGCTTCATTTGTGAGACTGTTTTCGATCTTTCTCCATACTTGGTTGAAAGTAAGGTACTCCTTGATCACATCTAGAATGAGGTAATTTACATTGTATTCTCCAGTAGTGTTGATTGTTCCACACAGAGCATTGATTAAAGCATCATCAAGGGAGCAGCTCCATTTTGGGTGCTTCTTGTCATATGCTCCCTCGAGATGCTTCATCGCATGGGGCATGGATCAGAGGAAAGATTTCATGTGAGCACTCCAGCTATAATAGCTGCATGACATGAGCTTTGGCACAGGTTCAAGGAGCTTTGCTAGGGTGTGAAAGTTGTATTGCTTGTCGCCATCATCGAAGTCAGAGTTGGAATTGGTGTCTTTGTCAGCTTCATTGTTGATGGCCTCTGGCTTGTTCTTGTTCATGGCATCATTGTTGACTTGAACCTGGGTGTTCTTGCCTTTTCTGCTTCCTTTGACCCTCATTTCAGTGTCTTCTACCATTGTTGTTGATGAGTTTCGGTTAGCTCGGTGATAGCTTCTTCAGACTCTTAATCAATTGAAGATAACAATTAATACATGGCATTATTGGGGTCACAATCAGACTCCCTTTACAACAGCCATATATTCTATGTAATGCTTGGTTTTTTTATTAGAGTAAACCTAAATGACAGACACATATATATATACTCCATTCACCACTCTAGTGATATCCAAAACAAGACATGTCACTTCATCCATACCCCTGTGTTGCTATGATACTGGGTGCCACCAGACTGTTGTCATGACAACTACCACTTACTTCATTGTGTTCCTCGCTTATGTGAGCTCCCTGCACCTCGGTGTCTCGGCTGTGGTGCGTGCATATCGCTTGAGATGCCGACGCATCTTCAACTACAGTTCTTCCACTTTGTGCCCTTTCACAAAATCACGTTGCGCCGGCGCAGTGAGAATCGTGCGTCTCATCTGCTCAGAATTCTGCGTGTTAGGTTCAGGCTTCGCTTCTCAACTTGTGCGTGCTCGAGATTACGATCCAGTGAGATGTTAAAGGATGACGCAGAGCCGATCTGATCGGAGATCGAGAATAAACCGATATCACTAGAGATCGGGTACAACCAAGTCCTGCTCGTTGTCAAGCTGGACCTTTAGGTATAGCAACTCCCACATTCGGCATGTGCCACCCATATGTATATATATCAGGCTGAGAACACTAGGTTCTCACCACGTTCTCTTAGTCAATTGAGTATATTTGTTTCTGTCTATAACTAGCAGTGACATCGTACTCAGACTCTACCCGATCGTCAGTTATCGGGACCAAACTCCAACAGTGTCAGGGCAGCAAGCGCCTTTCTATAAACTCATCTCGACACGAAACAGAGGACACATGGGCCATCATTCGGTCGACCAAACTAGAAATGAAACTATATTTCGCCACACCAGTAGCAAAGCCAAGGATCTACAAGCGATAACGAAGAAAGAGTTAGCGTCAGTACGATGATCCCAATCTTGAGTGTGTCACTGTGGAAATTTTGCAGCAGCAATAGTGGCAGACGAGTCTGCGCTGCCTGACAACGTTGCCTTGTCGATGAGCATGGCACCAATGCCACAGTAGCAAGAGTGGTTCGGCCTCAATGTCCATCATATAGGAGCGAAAGACGTTTAGATGGAATAGGTGTTCGCATTGAGCCTGCAAGGGCTCTAGATTTGAACTATGCTATTGTTTTCTTGGTATAATCCTGTGGATTTGAGCTTTTTCGCCTTGCCTGACCCTTGACGGCGCCGGTATAGCGTTTTGTCTACCATGCTGCTGCTGTTTGGAAAGATGACTTACCTTCTCAGTTGAGCAAGGGTGGTATGTGCTTCTCAGCCGAAACAGCTGAAAAGCAGAGCCAGACGCCTGGAACGTTGATGTGGTCGGGGTAGAAGTCGAGACTGTTCTGAAGCAAAAGCTCTTTTTGATGCTCAACTTGCTACCCTTTTTTTTCTTTTTCTTTTTCTTTTTCTTTCGCGCCTTCGCAAAATTTCCACCGCAGCCAAGCATCGCGGAATCGGGATGAGCAACTACCGATAGCGATCCATCTCGCACACTCCACAATCTAATCTGTTGCAAGTCGACAGCTTGCAAAATGTCAAGGTTGAGATATTCTTTATGCCATTCCGCTCTAGCGCTGCTTCTCTTCGATACAGCTCATCCCGATCGCCGCACATTGCAACATGACAGGATCAAGTACAAGCTTGAGACCGCGCATCGTCGTCGTAGGGGTGGGTGGTGCCACATGCTCAGGCAAGACAACGCTGGCCAAGCATCTCCTCCAGATCCTGAACCCATCCCAGAAAGGCACCAGCAGCGGCATCACGGAAGCATTTATCTTGCATCAAGACGACTTTGCTCCACCAGAAGCATCATTGCCCGTCAATGAGGAGTACGGTGTCACCGATTGGGACCATCCACCAACAGCAGTAAGTCTTGGCGCTCGGCGGAACACTAGCTGGCCCGGTACTAGTTGCTGATGCTATCGTCTCATCGATTAATCCTACTTGATGCCTCAGATCGACTACAAACGTATGCACCGCACCATCGAGCACATCAAATCAACGGGCACTTTGCCTCCAGACTTTTCATCTCATGATCACCTCAACTCCCAACCAGACTGCCCCATCGCCGAGCAAGTCTTCTCGACCTGGAAGGACAAGTTCGCTTCACTCGCCTCATCCAGTAGGACACCAGCATCGGAAGGACTTCGCGTGATGCTGGCAGACGGCTTCCTCCTGTACTACGACCCAGAAGTGCGCTCAACGATGGACGTCAAAGTGTTCCTCCGCACACCAAGGGCGGTACTCAAGGATAGACGAGAGCAACGCTTTGGATACGCAACCGCTGAAGGTACAGTGTGGAAGGATCCAGAAGATTACTTTGACAACATCGTTTGGCCGGCTTACGAGTTGGCACACAAGGCAGTGTTCAGCAACCAGGATGTGGAAAAGGGAGAAACAATCCGACCAAAGCATGGCGAGAAAGCGATACCTGGCGGACCAGTGGAAGGACTGCATGTGCTGGATGCAGATCCGATAGAAATCAACAAAGCACAAGGCGAAGGACAGGACACCGGATCTTGTTTCTCTAGAGAGATGACGCTGCTGGTCGATGAGACGTGTGCAGCAATATGGGACTATCTATCCAAACAGCTGTGATTCCCGCATGATGCTCACAAGACACATTTTTGATAAAAGTAAGGGCCAGCGCAAGTTTGCAACTGCTGTCGATGAACACAAGTCTCAAGGTTGAGCTCGCAGGTTCAGAGCATCCTCGTGAAAGGCGGAGATGGGATCGGGTTGAAAAGATCCCGATCTGCCACAGGTTTCGATGGTTCAGCGTTGGCTGTACGTGTGAAATTGAGCGCGGCTCTCTTCCCTTGTGCTGTTTCTGACAAGTTTGCGATCAAGCCGTGAAATCGGCTCTCTGAAACCAAAGACAAAGAAGCAAGCTAGCTAAATCGCGAAGAACCGACGCAAGCACACACGGCCGAGAGGCACTTGAATAATCAAACGCACGCGCTTGTGATTTGATTTTGATTGATTTTTTTTTGGCTTAATTTGCAAGATATTCCAACGAGGCTTCAGTCGCAGTCAGCCAAGTCAAGGTGGCCACATCGATACGCAACTGCCACGCTGCGCTTGGTGTGAAATAGTGCGTCGAATTCACGCTCAGCATACTGTAGCGTCGTCTGTCCACTTTCAACGAGTCTGCTCGTCATCATCTACATCGTTTCCTACTACCCTCGCCATCGGATCAACTTGACCGTCTCATTTTTGCCGTCTCATCTTTGCCGTCTCGTTGTTGCCGTCTCACCCTGGCCGACACCCGCATCCTCGAACCCCCACACACAGTCAAAGGCAACATGTTCATCATCAACTGGTTTTGGGTAGGTATCATCAAGCTGGACGGCGAAATGATGGCTTCCCGTACACCATGGCGATGTTGTAGTCTATCGAATAAATGCCGTGTGCTTTCCGACGGCTTCCGAGCGTTTGTCGCATCATGCGTGTCCAGGACAGCAAGTGCTGACCACAACATCAATCGAACCTCTTCGCACCTTTGTCTTTCATCGCATCGCTGCTGCAACATGTTCGGATGCTTGGCTACTACAGGACATCCTTGCCCAGCTTGGTAAGTATCGACACACCTTATTTGACACGGTTAACTCTTTCGCGTCCTCTTTGCGCCTGCTCGTCCATCGAATGCACCCTTTCGTCACACTCTCTCGTGCTGAGGCGGACGTAGGCTGATCTGACATGCCATGAAGATGCCCAAGCTGACCCTCTTGATCTCATCATTCCGCTTTCCTGGCTTGCCGCTACAGGTTTGGCGCACAAGAACGCCAAGATTCTCTTCCTTGGTCTTGACAACGCCGGTAAGACCGTACGTATTTATCAATCATTCGCAGCATCTGCTTGACCCATTGATGCGATTTCGCTGACGTCTACCCTCCACCTCTTTGTTTGTTCTCTTTATATCGGACCACATCCTCTCATCGTTCGCCACCTCCAACAGACCCTTCTTCACATGCTCAAGAACGACCGTCTCGCCACATTGCAGCCCACTCTTCACCCAAGTATGTTCTCATGCCCTCTCATGCTTCGCCGCAGCCTGTCTCGAGCCCCAACTGACCATTCGTCCTCTTGCTTCTCCTGATCCTGTCCACTCTCCCGGCTCCTCATGCACCCGATAATGACCTGTCCTTCATCTGCTTTCGACACAACTTCATCCACCATCTAATCCCCTTCTTGTACATTCCCTCTCGTTCGCGCGCGCCACTGTTCACTCACCACAGCTTCCGAAGAGCTCGCAATCGGCCAAGTCAAGTTCACCACATACGATCTCGGCGGGCACCAACAGGCACGTCGTCTGTGGAAGGACTACTTCCCCGAAGTTGACGGTATCGTCTTCCTTGTCGACACCCAGGACCACGAGCGATTCGCCGAGGCCCGCGCAGAGCTTGACGCTTTGCTCTCAATCGAGGAGCTCTCAAAAGTTCCCTTCTTGATTCTCGGTAACAAGATTGACGCTCCCGGTGCTGTTTGCGAGGAGGAGCTTCGTCAGGCTCTCGGGCTCTACCAGACCACTGGTAAGGGCAAAGTGCCGCTCAAAGACATCCGACCCATCGAGATCTTCATGTGCTCCGTTGTTATGCGTCAAGGTTACGGCGAGGGTTTCCGATGGGTCTCGCAGTACATCTAGGACCCTCGCACCCAACAACGATACAACACACTTTCACGCACAATCATTCGTGAGACCTCTTCACGCTCCTCTCCTCGCCCGAGGCGAGACAAGATCAAGCTTACTCAGTACGACCTTGTCTCAAGTCATCTCCTCACCCACTTACGAACCTACCACGCCACCACGTTTACCCGAAATGACAAAATGATCTCGATACTCGTCATGAGGCGATGATGTTCGTTTGTGTGTATGGAACGCTGCTCATCCGGAAGCGGTGAAAGGTTGAACTGCCTAGCAAGCTGCTACGATTATCGATCATTACAATACTTCAAATGCAGCGATGGAGAACAGATGGAGAGGAACAGAGGTGTCTCGTGTCTGACACAGACACGCAATACCTGCATCGGCCGTAGATGATAAGCCAAAGTGGTTGGAAGTGACATATGTACAAAGTGATAAGCGATCATAGCTGACTAGCTATACAAGCAAAGATCTTCTTTTGCTATGTGACCTATTGCTACTTTTGACCTCTGCTATGTGAGCTATTTCAGTCCGAAGGGAAGATACTTAGACAATAGTCTTCTTACCCTTCTTCTTCTCACTCTCCTTGTGACTCTGGAACTCGACGTCGCTCGTCAAACCGGCTCCGATCTTGGCATCGATATCGTAACCCAAGACGTTGACCTTGAACTGCTTGCCAATATCCAACAACTTTGCTGCCAACTCTTCCGTGTCCTCTGCTTTTCTTGTCCAGATTGCAATTCTGTAAAAGTTGGCCCTAGCGCTCATGATAACACCAGTCACCAACTCGTCCTCCGCACTGTTGCTGGAAGGAGGAACACCGTCGGGGAAGGGAGCTTCCAAAGTCTCACCGATCGCAGCCAACATGGTGTACAACCACAACCTGTCGATAGCTGCTCGGGTCTTGTCACGAGGCAATTGAATCGACCATTTACCACCGTTTGTGTTAGCCGGATCTTCCCAAGCAGGCTTGACGCCTTGTTTGAACAGATAGTAGTTGGCTTTTTGTGGAAGTTCAGAGGGAGGAACAATGTTGTTGTACAGACCCCAGAACTCTTCGACGCTGTCCAAGTCGACGACTTTGTTCATGTCATCACCCCAGGATTCTTTGGTACCACGAGCGGAAGCCATTCCTTTTTGCGACGGGTTGTCGAACCAGAGCGTCCAACGGTTGTAGAGCGGGTGCTTGACGTTGAAGTTGTTGGCGTCTTGGAAGACGGTGCGGTATTCGGATGCGTTGGATGCATCCTTGTTGGAGCAAGTGGCGACATCGTCAGAAGAAGCGCCAGCGTCTGTGGTGCCATTGACTGTCTGATTGACGGCAGAATCAAGAGCGGCCTTCGAGGCGTCCGCCGGGGCCTTGGGAAGATCTGTGGTGGCCGACATTTGGGTGGATGCTGAAGGAAGAGACGGATCGAATGCAAGTAAGAACGGGTGCGAGAATAGCCGTGTAAAGTGAGCGCGACTCTGCTACCAGATGTACGACCTTGATCAGATGCGGGACGCTACCTTGTCGTGATGCGGAAAGGATCGAGGCCTGAAACGAGTCGCTAGTCGAGAACCTCCGTGAAGAAAAGCGAGTCGTGACGGATGAGAAACCACTGAATCCGAGTCGAGAAGCTGCAGCAGTCTTGTCTGTAAGGGCCGACTGTCGCGAACGAATGTAGATAGAGAGTTGCAGCAGATTAGAATGACTGCTAAGTAGATGGTGTAGACGATGGTGTAGACGATGGTGGAGATCAAGCGTTGAAGGTGGTCGATGCCGGTGAGAAGAAATGAGACTGCAGAGAAACGGTTAGGCAAATCTGCTTCGACTTCCTCTAACGCACGAAAGGCGCTCAATCTGCGCTCTTTGAGAGAAATCGCAAAAATTCGCGCTCAAGAAGCTCAGCCTTAGATTCGGGCATCAGATCTCATCTCAGATTTTTTCTTTTGGCTAGGATCGGGCTAGGATCGGGCTAGGATCGGGCCCGGCCCGATTTAGACAAGTTCGAGCACGGCCGAAGTGAACTGCATTTGCTACTGACATCCTTCGACATCATATGGTGGAATGTGACGGCGACATCATCTTCATCGCATCGAAACTGTAGCTTACGAAGCCTCTACACCTTCCACTTGCGCATACGTTTGACTGAGTGTGGGTGATTGCTGCTCGAAGAACCCGATTTTGCACCATGACCGGACGTCGCACCGCCAGCAAGCCCACCACTGGCAATGGTACTTCCTGGAGCGTACCACACGTTCTTGTAATTGACAGGTCCTGGCACTCTGACACCGAGCTTGTCTGCTCCAGCGTTACCGTCTGGCCCGTTCAGCACACCAGCATATGAATCCGCGTTTGCAGCCACAATTGATTGAGACCTTGACCTGTACCCTCCTGGCCCACCTGTTGCAGCCTGAGAATTAGATCCAAAGTAGTGTCCGTACACTCCTCCTGTTGTCGGCGGGTACGGCGTCATCAGTCCCCCACCAGCTCCCGGATTGGCCGACATGGGCGTCAGCGGCGACATCAATGGCTCTCCACCCCAGCCCATCGACATGCCCGTTCCCAGCGGCGTCCCAGGCACACCACTAGCACTTGTACTTGCAAACACAGCTGTAGAAGCTCTTCGACTCGCAGTCGGTGTCGACGGCTGCGTTGGCGAATTGAGCGCAGAAGAAGGCAGATTGAACTTATTTTTTAGTCGCAGCGTCAAGCCGCTTCCACCACTGCTAGCTGGTGTGTTGGGCACCGCAAAGCCTCCACTACTGCTGCTAGCTGGAACGGTTGCCGAAGGTGCTGATGCAGGCTCTGCTCGAGATTGCTCTCCACTTTCCCGTCCGCCTGCTGTCGGTGTCTCTGCGCCGCCACTCTTCGCCGATGCTGCATACGCGACAGCCGCGGCTCCATCCGTGTTCTGAATCAACCTCTTCAAAGAAGCCTCTACCAGCCTTGCATTTGCCAGCTTCCTGTTCACGAGCATCAAGGGATCCTTCTTCTCTTTCACCGTGCCATCCTCGTCCTCCTCGCCGCCAAGCGATAAACCGTACGCATTGGTTGGATACGCTGGTGTCTGCACCCAAGCATGTCTTGGAGGCATCCCTGGCAAGTGTCGTGGCACGACGTGATCTGCAATCTTTCGCCATGCTTGTTCACCTGATATGAGTGCGCGGAGATCTTGAGCTGAAGTGGATGATGTAGAGGACGAGGGGGCGGTTGGGTCTGCAACGTTGGAATGGGTTTGACGCAGCTTTGCCATACGGCGCTCCCTCTTGGCTTGGGCTCGGGCCAGGTCGTGCTTGCGTTTGGCCACACGCACTTGCACAGCAGCACGGCGGTTACCGTACTCGTCGTCCGATTCACTGCTGACCGACCATGCGTCCAGTTCTGAACCATCATCCGAGTCTGAGGGCAAGAATGCGTTGCTACCCTCCACCCAGGCCTTGTCTTGCTCATCACCGATTTTTATACTCTGTTCCTGATCGCGTAGCCTCGACTTTCGCTTCGCTCTGTAGGTCTCCGGGGCAGCAGCATTCTCTCTCGCTTTGCCCCTAGCCTTAGCACTGGCTTGATTCCTCTCATCCTGTTCCTCGCCGTCCCGCAGCTGCTGAGGGTGAAAGTCGCGTAGCTCTCGAATGGGCTGTCCGTGAGTTTCGAGTGCATATATCAAGTCTCTCGCAGATGGCTGATCACGGCAGGAAAGCTCAGCTGCATGCATCGCAGCTGTGAACACGGAAGTGAGAAACTTCTTGGTCAGCTGGCTCACTTGGTGCAATGCGGAGGCAGTCGTTGCATCATAGCCGGCGCGCTTTGCTTGCACGGCAATCAGTTGATGCAGCGACTCGTTGGCACTTTGCTCGTCGACGTAGGGTATCGAGTAAGGGATGCGACGCGAGGAAGAGGAAGATGACGGGGAGGAGGAAGCAAGCGAGGCGAGGGGAGGGCAGTGTGTGATGGGTCTCTGCTTGCGTTTCGGCTCATATGGCTTCTCGGCATCTGCCACTGGTGGCGCTGTCGCTATCGACAGAGATGCATCCGTCTGTGTTGGCTGTTGCAAGCCTGATGAGGATGCAGGGTTGGCCTTGTCGGCAGAAGAGACGGGCTTGGCGTCGGCAGCTGCGGATGTTGCGAGACCATTGGAAGACTTGGGGCCTTCACCGAAGAGGGCTGCCGAGGAAGAGGTCATGGCCCAGATGGGAACGCTTTCTGCTGGCATTGTCGCTCTTGGCTGCAGCCTTGTTCGGCAAAGCTGTTGAAGGAGGATGAAGAGATGGCTTTTGGTGAGACGAATGCGAAGCAGAGTGTATTGAGATTCAGAGTTTGCGTTCGAGATCCACATCCGCCGAGATGGATTTTCCAGGCAGGCAAAACGTGTTAGAGCGATGTTGTTCACATATGATTAAATCTATGCCTCCACCTTTCAAAGTGGCGCGAACGGATCAGCTTTTTGTGTTGTTCCATTTCTTCTTGGACACTTTTCGTTCTCCCAGTCAGACCACATCCTCGCCTCTGAAGTACAACTTTATGGCTGAAAGGGGACTTGCTGTCATCTGTCGTACAGCCTCGATCCGTGCTTCTGCATTCAGTAGACAAACAGCCTTCGCTTCTCCTTCCGCCGCCTCTCGCTTCGTGTCCTCGACTACCACCAGCGCTTGCGAGGCACAGCAAGCTCGATCTCAACGTCTCATCCAGCTACGTCGCAACTTTTCTGCACCGCCATCACCAGAACACACCGCAGGAATCATGTCGTTCAAGCCACTCTACAGCTATGTCGATGGCGACACCCTCGCCGAAACAGTGCGCAAGCATGCTTCTGACCCAAATCAAAAAGAAGTTGCGATCGTCGATGTTAGAGGTAAGGCCACCAACTCCCCTCATCCTTGGCATGTCTCAGCCGAACTAACAGCTCTATTCTTCCTGCCAAACATTGATTGTTCAACAGACGACGACTTTGTGGGAGGCAACATCGTCACGGCCAAGAACCATCCCTCTTCCAGGCTCGATGATGAGATCGAAGATCTCGTTTATGGCCCGCTCAAAGACTACAAGCAGGTCATCTTCCACTGCCATCTCTCGCAGGCGCGCGGGCCAAAAGCAGCAGGCAAGTATGCGCAGGCAAGACAAGAAGCTCTCGACTTGGGCAAGTTGAAGACAGGGGAAAGTGAAGCGCAGCCAAAGCAACAAGTGCTTGTGCTTAGAGGCGGATTTAAGGAGTTTCAAGACAAATACAAGAAAGATCCCGAAGTCATCGAAAAATACGACGCTTCCGCATGGGAGTACCGCGACTAGATAACATTCTCACTTATACCAGTTACATAGTACAGTAACGATCAAGAGGTAAAATCAACGATCCAGGCTTCAAACAAGTGCGAGAGAGTTACAAAGACGCAAGTGTGCAGTCTGAGCTACAGGTTGCTGGCACGAGACTTGGCCCTATCAGTCTCGCGTTGTTGTTTGGATCTGTTCACAAATGCACCCACCTGGCCTTCCTCCGCCAACTTTGCCAGACTCTGCAACCCCAACTCAAACTCGATTTCCATCGCCTTTCTCAGACCACCCTTAAGTCTCAGATCCACCCCTCCGCCCGTCCATTCGCCTTCCCGATCCGCCTCACCTGGATAAAGAGCATTGAGCATACTACTCCTGTCATTGAGCATGCAAGTCTGCGGATTAGCCGCCAGATTAGCTGCAATCCTCAATGACTTTTCCACAACTGCTGAGAAACCGCTTCCCACTGCTCTTGGTCCCCGAGATACCGAAGGAACCACATAGTTGACTAGTCCGATAGAATGAGCCTCAGTCGCATTGACTAGTCTTCCCGTCAACGCCAGGTCCGCAGCCCTGCTTCCTCCAACCAGGGCTGGCAATCGAACGGTGCCTCCATCAATGAGGGGCACACCTCTCAGCCTACACAAGATACCAAAAGCACTGTCACTGCTAGCCACCCTTAGATCAGCCCATAATGCCAGCTCCATTCCTCCTGCAACGGCGAAACCGTCTACGGCTGCAATGACAGGCTTGTTCATTGCCAGACGAGTGAGACCCATGGGTGCGATGGCGTCCATGTTAGAGTCCAACAAGTTGCTCTTAGCTTCCTGTACGCCTTGGTCGCTCATGAGGGAAGACTGAGAGATGAACTTGAGATCTGCTCCAGCGCAGAAAGTTCCGTTCGATCCGGTCAGGATTGCAACTCGAAGGTTGGGATCGTTGGCGCAAGAAACAAAAGCAGAATGAAGAGCAGTTGCCGTCTCACGATCGACAGCATTCTTGACTTCAGGCCGATCGATCATACACACCATTGCTTTCGCTGACGGTGTGGCCGAATTCGCGAGACGTGGGGAAAGCGCATCATCGTAAGTTGAAAGGTCGACGTGGAAGACTTTGACTTTGCCGCCTCCGAGGAATTGGGTTGGCGTCGGGAAGGGCATGTCTATTGTTCATTGGCTTCACTCTGATTCGGTGTTGATGGGATCGTAGTAGAGAGAGAGAAGGTAGAGAAGAGCCTTGCAAGGCGCCGGTAATTGGTTGCCGAGTGAGCCGTACCACAAGTACGGATGCACTAATCGGGAACGGTGCCTTCCTTTCACGTCGAATTGTGCCATAACCCAAACAAGTTGAGGAATCTGATTTTCTGCGTAGATAATGATAGTCTAACTACAAGCTCGAGTCCGGGCATTTCAAAGTCTTTGTAGCTCGTGTGCATGCGCGGGGCTGCAGCGGGAGTTTTATCCCGGCCGGGATCCCTGCTTTGTCGCATCTCCCTCAACTGCCTCCCTCAGTGGCAAGGCAGGAGACTGCCAGGCCACTGCATCATGCTGGGCCTTTAGGCCCAGTTCCTGTCGTGCGCGCTGTAGTATAGTCTTTCCCACCAGTTTGGTAAAGAGGTCTGCCAAGTTATCTGCAGTGTTAATGTACTTGATCCTGACCTTTCCATCTTGCACATTGTCTCTGATGAAGTGGTATTTGGTGTCAATGTGCTTTAACTTCCAGTGTTGCGCAGGGTCCTTGCTAACCTGGATGGTGCCAGTGTTGTCTGAAAAGATTGTAGGGATACCAACATCAATTCCGACGGCCTTGAAGAGGTGTTTGAAGAACAGGACCTCTCGTGCGGCTTCTGTCGCAGCTACAAATTCTGCTTCCACCGCCGATAAGGCAGTGCAGTGCTGTAGGGCTGATTTCCATGCTACCAGGTTACCACACTTGAACACCGCTGAACCAGATGAGCTTTTGCATTGTGCTGTAGCATTGCTTGCCCAGTTTGCATCGCTGTGCACCATCAGAAAGTCTTGTTGCTTGTTGCTGCCATATTGCAAGTGGATATCTCGTGTGTGGTCCAAATATTGGAGTACTTTCTGTGCAGCATTGTAGTGCTCCCTTGACAGTTGTGTCATATAGCGTGCAAGGATGCTGACGGCTTGGCTGATGTCTGGACATGTTCCATTAGACAGCCACAGGAGTTTGCCGACGATCTGTGGGTACTCCTTACGTTCTGCTATGCTTGCTGCCGTTTCTGGGACTGGGATGTCTTGGAGTGGTACGCTAGACTTCCTTCTGCGCTTGTCCAAATGTTCATCCAGAAGCTGCTTAACATAACTGGTTTGCTCGAGGTCCATGGTTTTCGCTTCTCGATCCCTGGTGATTTTAATCCCGAGGAAGTGGGAGACATTGCCACCATCCTCCATCCGCCATCTTTGGCCTATTTCCTCCTTGATACGCCTTACTGTTTCTAGGGTTGGAGCTATAATTAACGTGTCGTCAACATAGATGACCACTATTGCAAAGTTATCCCCTTCTCCTCTGGTGTAGATGCATGGTGCGCAGTCGAGCCTGTGGAAGTTTGAGCGTCGCAGGAACTTATCAAACTCCATGTTCCATTCCCATCCTGACTGTTTAAGGCCATACAGTCCCTTGATGACTTGGTAGGCTTTCCCTTTTGGCACCTTGGCACCTTCTGGTGGTTTCATGTAGATCACATGGTTGAGCGTGGAGTTGAGGTAAGCCATTGTGATGTCAAGCTGATGGACTTCCCAGTTGCGCTCCACTACCAAGGATAACAGGGCTCTTATTGCACTGAGTGGTGCCACAGGCGCAAAGGTTTCTTCGAAGTTGATACCCTCCCGCTGTGTGAAGCCCCGTGCGACGAGTCTCGCTTTGTGCCAGACAGGTATGCCATCAGCATCCAATTTGAGCTGAAGGACTATTTTGGAGTCGACAAGTCTAGTGTTTGGTGGAACGTCCACAATCTCCCATGTTCCCATTGCCTCAAGTCCATCCAGCTCCTTGCATATGGCTTCCTGCCATTGTTGTGCATCGTCGCTGGCAAGTGCCTCCTTTAAGGTCGGCGTGAGGTTCAGGGTGGCTGTGTGTGCTTCTCCAATTATCTCTTCAACATCGAGCTCCGACCTGTTGTCATCTGTAGGGTCAGTGGGTGGTGCAGTGTGTATCTTGGGAAGTGGGTCTTCCATGTCGAGTACTTCCACCTCCAATTCAGGCTTGTCGCTATCTGTCTCGGGTCTAGTACCTTCTGCTTCGAGGCTCTCGAAACCGAACTGCAGTGGGCTTTGCACACTGGGGTGATCATGCCAACCTTTGGCTTCATGGAATGTGGCTGAGTTGCTCCACCGTATAGATGGGGTGTGGCTGGGGGTGAAGAATTTCCAGCCCTTGTGCTCGTCATCGTAGCTGACCATGATTCCTGGGATTGCTCTTATGCCATGCTTTCCAGTATGATCCTTCCTGGGGAGGTGGACCCAAGTGAGGCAACCAAAGACACGCAGCTGCTTGGCCAAACCATGTGCCGACTTGTGGTGGAAGTCCTCGTATGGAATCCTATTTGCTTTGGTAGAGGGTGTCAAGTTCAGTGTGTGCCCTGCAGCCATGATGGCATAGGGCCACAGCTCCTTTGGTACTGATCTCTGGACGAGCATTGCATGCATCTTTTCTTGAAGGGATCTGATCATGTGCTCTGCTCTCCCATTCTGGGCACTGACATATGGTGTGGTTTTCTGCCATTTGAACCCTGCTTCTCATTTCCATTCTTCTGCTCCAAAGCTGGACCACTCTGTTCCGTTGTCGCTGCGGATGCACTTTAGCGTGTGGTCTGTTGCTATCTCTGCTGCCTTGATCCATGCCTTTAGAGCGGGGAATGCTTCGGCCTTGCTGAGGAGTGGTTTCACATATACATAGGATGACGAGTCATCTACAACTACCAGTGCATGGTGGTAGTTGGGATGACCTTTCAGGTCCATCATCAAGTCAATGTGTACCAGCTCCAGGGGTGCCTGGGCTCGCTCTGTTTTGCTACTTGTCATTCTTGCGCGTGTTTGCTTTGCTTGGCTGCAACAGTTGCAGTCCCTTGCATCATGTCCAAGCTGTGTCTCTTTTCCTAAGTAGTGGGCCTGGATTTGCTTGGTCTTGTTCCTGCCAGGATGACCGAATCGTTCATGCCATAGTTTGCTTGTCGTGTGGCTTGCGGGTTTTGCTGGTGTTGTGGTGGCATCAATGCCCTCTAGGGGATCATTGAGCTGTGCTGCTAGGGAGTCACCGTAAACCTCCCATCTCTTCTTGCGCTGGTTGGTCTTGCTCTTGACCATGCTCCCATCATGCTGGAGGATAGTAGCTCCAGATTCTTCAAATATCATGCATGCACCATTTTCAGTCAATGCTGGGATGGACAATAGGTTCTTGCTAAGGTTGGGAACGTGAAGTACATCAGTGAGTGGTATCTTAACGTCTCTTACTCGCAGAGTTGCATCACCTATTGCCTGTACTCGCAATCGTTCATGTCCAGCAGTATCTACGGATCCTTGCTTCGGCGTCAGGGCAATGAGCTTACCCTCATCACGTACCATGTGATGTGTAGCTCCAGAGTCGAGAATCCACATACTGTCTTGGTTGCAGTTGCCAGTGTTGCTTACGAAGAAGGTGCACCCGAGTCCCTATCCTTGCTGGGTAGGAGTTTGCTCCTGACTGTTGGTGCAGTTGATGGCAATGTGCCCGGGTTGCCTACACTTATAGCACTTGGCCGGTTCGTTAGGGTTTGTGGGGTTGCGCCTGCCCCTATTGTAGCCCTCTTGGTTAAGAATCTGCCTATGCTCGCCAGCTTGGCCTGTTGAACTTCTATTGCTCGCGACTCTGGCCGTGGCTTGGATACGACCTGAGAGCTCGGCTTCTTGGTGCTTCTTAGCTAGTGCATGATAGGCATACTCATAGCTGCAACCAGGTTGAGCAGCTTTGAGGGAGTCTACTGTCTGGGTGTAGAGCCAGTCGTCCTTGATGCAGCGGTACAGGGTAGACTTCTTGAGCTTTTCGTCCATGCGGCTGCCGAGCCTGGCTGTGTCATTCCAGATTTGATCGAGCTCCTTACCGAGGTTGACAATGTTGCACTGGGCTAGCTTGACTTTGTGTACCCGGTCGTGAATGGCGGAGAGTTTAACTTCGTCGTTTATTGTGAGAGCAGCTTTGAGCTTCTTGTAGAGTGTAGAGCCGAGCTGCTCCTCCTCACCTTGCTCCTGCACTGTGTAGGTGTTGATACGGCTGGTGGGTCCGTGGTCACAGGAGGACAAGATGAGACCCAGCAAGTGGCTGTCCAGTTCCTCATCATAGTCGGTATGGCCACTGGAAATCTCCTCAGTGAGGATCTGCTTGGCATTCTTGATTGGGCGGATACAGTCCATGAACATCGGCTCCCAGATGGCCCAGTTGTTCTCGTTGAGCTTGACGATTTGCGAGATGATGCTGAGCACCGACTTGGGGATCTTCTCCGCTTGGTTGGTGTTGGGTTGGAGGTTCATTAGCGAGAAGGCACACTCCAAGACTTGGTCTTCATCCCAGTTGGCATGAGTTTCCCTGATCATCTGCATGGTGTGTTCAAGTAGCGCTACACTATCTACTCTTGGTGGCATCCTGGTGGCGAGGCACTAGAAGCTGCTGAGCTTCAGACTCTTAATCAGTTGAGGAATCTGATTTTCTGCATAGATAATGATAGTCTAACTACAAGCTCGAGTCCGGGCGTTTCAAAGTCTTTGTAGCTCGCGTGCGCGCACAGGGCTGCAGTGGGAGTTTTATCCCGGCCGGGATCCCTGCTTCGTCGCATCTCCCTCAACTAAACACCACGCTCTCACTCACTTCAAACATTGCGCTGGCCAGCTTTTTTTATTGCACACCAAAATAAGAATAGGAGAAAGGAATCATCGGGCTTGCTCATCCTCACAGAGGCCTTGAGCCCTTATTGACTACAGATGTAAATCTACTTGCCTTCTCTGCCAGCACCACGACTGCCACAGCACTGAACGAATCTGCCAAAGTTGATGCCATTATCGAGGCGGAGTGCATCTTCACACTCCTTTTGGTTCTCATTGAAAGCAGTAGAGCCATGCTCTCTGGCGGAAGCACAGCAGTCCCTGGTGACCTTAACGTTGGTCCCACCAGTGCCGTTAGTGTTGTTCGTGCAGATAGCCCAGTGAGCGCCCTGCACCGAAGCGGCAGCGGTGATGAGGCCAAAAACGGTGAAAACGAGAGTGAAGCACATTGTGAAGCTATGTGGCAAGAAATTTTAGATTATTCTTAGTACTTTAGAAGGTGACAGACAGTACAAGGTAATTGAGGAGATAGGACTGTTGTTGACGCACTGTGAGACAGGGAGGAAGAAGCTTGGTTGTAGTGAGTGACTGAATGTGAATAGGTAGGGCTCCGACAGACGGTCCAAATATACTTTCACGTCCACAACTCAGATTGACAACGTCGATGCTGTAAGCTTGCTTCGAAAAGGTTCGATACTCACTGAAGAGGATGCAACGTTGGACTCGCGCCTCTACCACACGACCCTCCCTCCGCCTCGCACGGACATCCGCTGAACGATTTGAGTGTTCGTTACCAACCTCGTCCTTCAGCAGTCCACCTTCATAACATTTTATTCGCCTTGAAAGGAAGTTTCAAGCATCCATTCCCATGATTCTGGATAGCCCACTCCGACGTACGCCTTCATCCGTCCCGACTGCCGTCCAACTTCATTTCACCCAATGTTCTACTGGACCCTGAAGCCTCGTCAGGTGTGTCATCTAGCGACCAACCCAAACGCAAACAGCTTTCGACTTCGCTTATTCACATCCAGCACCTCGAGACGCAGAGGTTACCTGCCACCGCATTGTCGCCCCCCGTAGTAATCGTGTCATGTTGACACGCTATCCGCGTTGTCTGTGGGAAAAGTTCTCGGACATCGATGACACAGCCCCACACTCAAAGTCAGACCCGTCTGAAGGCTGACTTCGAACACGTCGCCCAAGTCAGCGGATCTAGAACGCGAGCATGTGAGACGCTGGGATGTATTGCTTTGTGTGAATCTCCGCTGAGGTGGGTATGGGAACACGAAGGTGTCGTCAAAGCTTGCATCCAGGTACCAGGGCTGGCAAGTTTGTCAGCGGTTAATTTCCTCCACAGCAAACAAAGATTGTTGACGCTCCGCAAAGCGACTTCGGTGTCAATTCCGGGCTTCGAACGTCAAACCCAAGACACTGTCCCTTACATTTTGCGATTTTTGTGTAGTGGCACTCTCGCAATGATCATGCACCAGCCTCATGAGCTGTGAGACTGATGCGCACCCCACGATCGTGTGAACGTGTAGCGTGTTCCGGAAAGAACGCATTCACAGACAATGGCGCCATGGTTTTAGTGAGAGGCAGCTGTACAGCTGTGAGCAATCAGGTGTCACTTCGCATCGCACGTCTACGCTGCAAGCTGCAAGAGTTCTCTTCCTCGTGCCTGCCCTCTCTTCATCCCCAGCATTCGGAACTAGCATCGAGCTTCAGCTCATCATACAAACGAATACACAAACAGCTTCTATCGCTGGCCAGCATTTTGTATTCGAATCAGAGAAAAACAAACAAATCATGGGCTAGAGGCCCAGTCCCTCTTCTCCCTGGCAACAATGGGCGAGCCCGAAAGGTAGAAGGGTGCGAATCCCGGCAAAAGCCTCAACTGCCAGAGCTTCCAGCGCCACGGCTACCGCAGCACGCAACGAATCTACCCAAGTTGAGTCCGTTCCCAGCGCCAAGAGCGTCTTGGCATTCTTTAGCAGCTTCGTTGAAGGCAGTAGACTTATGCTCTCTAGTGGCAGCACAGCAGTCCTTAGTGACCTGGACGTTGGTCCCACCAGTGCCGTTAGTGTTGTTTGTACATATGGCCCGGTGAGCGGCCATGGCGGGGGAGAGACCGGCGAGAGCCAGGACGAGGAAGGTGGCTGTGAAACGCATTTTAAAAGAGCTATGAGAGGGAAGAGGGAGAGTGTGTCAGCGAAGCGTCAAAGGTAAGAAGTGGAAGGAAGCAGCTTCTGTGTGCCTACTTGTGTGAGTGGATGTGAAGGCAGGCTGTGATTGTGATGAGTGATGAGAGAAGTGGTAGTTGAGAGCGGAGACGGTGACGCTTATATGTCTTCTCCGGTCGTGATGGCGAATATGCAATGAGCTCCTCGCTCGACGCATTTTTCTACTGGACATTTCCTCTAGCGATGCTGCATACCTTTCCGCATCGCTCAGAGACACAGAGCCTCTCTCTGCCACCCAACGGCCCTTGGCAAGCTTTTACCAAGAGAGATACAGATGCTGCTCTGAACAACTGGCACAGCCTCCTCGACTCTGCCAAACTTGGCTATTCTCGGCGGGTTGACAAGGAAAACTGACGTCCCGTCAGGTTGTCACGTCAACATCCAATGCCCGATGTCCACCTTCATCCAGTGAGGCCGGAGCTCTTCGATACTTCCCACGCTAATCGTAGACCTCAAACCACTTGGCCCCCCCGCAGAGCCAATTTTGGAGCCACCATCGGACCGACCTTGTCCCAATTCCCGACATTAGACGTGGTATACCTATTCCCGACTTCATTACCCCCGTGTGTAGCCCAAACAGCAAGACGAACGTCGCAAGCGGTGACTCATGCCGAACTTCTGCATCAAAGGCCGAGCAGTCTTTGTCGACAACGCACCAATCAAGATGAGCGCCACGCACATATCTCTCTCCTAGAAGTCGAGTCAATGGTGAGCTACGACAAACATATGTTGCTTCGGAGCGACAGCTTTCCGTCATATGAGAGCAGACTAAACCTAGGCTCCTCGATCGTCATGAGCATGATCGTATGCTAAAGCACCTCTCCTTCCATCGAATTGATCTCAGAGCAGAGACTCACGGTCCACACTGTCTCTTCTTAGCTGAACGACCAACCTTGGCCTGAGGCTACGTCCACGGCGCGACCGTTCGATTTCAAAGGCACAGAATGTGCTCCTGAAGCGTCGACTCTGGCTTTGGACTAAAGCCGAGCCGTGTCATCCGTCAACGCTTGATCGATTCGTAGTCAATAATCGTACTATACATGTCATGACCAGCTTATCTGTGTATATGTGTATTTCTACTTGGCAGCATCGAAGAACGCCACTCTCTCCCTTAACGTAGCCGTATGACCAACCGGCTTCACCTTTGCCAAACCACTAAACGCAGTCGACGTCGGTGCAGTACTTGCATCCTCCAAGGGATAGCTTGGTGTTCTGCTGAGCTTCCCTCCTTGTCTAGCACTAATGACGGTAGTGACACCCATCATTCCACCCTCTGTCGCCGCTGCCGTGGTGGCCGAGGTGGATGGTGCGGGAAGAGTGAATCTCTTCTTCTCGACCAATGCCAACTTGACACTGGCCTTGGGGCTACCAGTTGAGGCGTTGGAAGTGATGCTGGCCGTAGCTGCCAACTTATGTGCAAACAACTTGGTCGGGGAAATTCGACCCGAAGCCGAGCCCATGGAGGGTGAGGTGAAATGACTTTTAACAGGACTAGCAGGTTTAGAGTCAGCGAGGTAGGGAAGCGCACTCGACTTGGTGCTGATTTCCGAAGCTTCGGCGGGGTGCGAAGCGAGTTGTTCGAGAGTGGGAGTGAGAGGTTCGATGAGTGCCTCCGCTGAGTCTGCGCTGGAGTTGGATGCGGATTCGGTGATCGGCACATGGTTCTCAACCTCCTCCCTCTCCTTTTCCATCTCAGCAGTAGCGGGAGTGAATGAGGTGGCATCAATAGCAGCGAGTGCAGCAGCAATGTCATCGCTTACACTCTTCTCTCCCTCTTTCTCTTCCTGCTCAAACTTGTCCTGTGTTTCCACCTTGGCCTCCGTCTGCTTAGTGGGAGTGGCGGGGAGCAACGCCTTCAATCGATCCTCCACCTTCACCCCCTCGACCGGGCTCACTGCCGCAGGACTGGGACTCAACCTACCACCAACCATCGGTTTCCCTAGCACATCCGTAAATCTCGGCCTAGGATTAGGACTGACCGATCTATCCCTCGCACTTGCTTTCTTCTGCTCCTTACCACTCTCTGAAGCAAATCCAAAATTGGCCTTTGTCGGCGAAGTGGCCTTATTTCCCCCCACCACCGCTGCTCTGGGAATAGCAGACTGGAAAGTAGAACTAGACACATTTGTCTCCCTCGCCTTCTCCACCGGCTGCTGAACCGAAGCACTAGGCGTAATAGCAACAAGACTACCAAAGGAGCTTACAGAATTACTCAACCCCATCACCCCAGCTCCATGCTTTGCGATGTTCGCAACGAGTTCCCTACTCTCCTTGATCTCCCTTGTGGCAGCCTTGAGTTGACCTACTTCGTGCTTCATAAGCAAAGTCATCTGTGTGACCCATCGATCCATCTCTGCGCTGTTGTGCGAGGAAACAGATGCAGAGCGAGCTTGAGCATTGTTGGCGAGCATCGAGTCTCGTTCGATGTCGAGCAGGCGAGTTTCGAGAGAACGGATGAGGGGGACCGAGTAGCGTTCGAAACGGTAGAATCGGATCATCATTTCTTGGAGGGCGGAGGGGAGGGGCATGTTCAATGGCAAGGGACCGGAGCCTGGGGCTAGGGTGCTACCTCCACCACTCTGTTGGCTGCCAGCGGGTGCAGGGGTGGGGGTAAGGTTGGAGGCCTTAGCTGACTCGCCAAGTGTTTGGTGCGCTCCACTGGGGAATCGCTGCCCGTGACCCGCCGGAGTAGCAAAGTTGGTGTTGGTCTTGGGAGGTGTAGGAGGAGCATTAGCAAGTTGCTCCTGTTGAATGACGGTCTGTTTTCGCTGCGCTTCGATCTGCTCCCTGGCAAGCTGCTTCGATCTCGTCTCCTGAATGATCTTCTGCGCTGGAGTCAAAGGCTTCTCCGGTGCACGGACAGTATCCCTCAGATCGCCCTCGCCACCCTGCATAATGGCAGCAGGCAGGTAGGTAGGCACTGGCTTGCGTCCAGGAGGAGACTTCTTCCTACCCAACTCGAACTCCAGTGCCGCATCCAAACCTGCATCTTCTGCATCGCTGTCCACAACCTGTTTGGGTCTGAACTCCCTATCATGAGCCGGATCGAAGCCTGCCAAGCCCTTTGCTCCAGGAGCGGTAGGGGTAGTAGGCGCCATAAAATGTCTCTGTCTCTCCTCGTCGACAATGTGACGAGCTTGTCTCATCGAAGCGAGTTTCTGTGCATACGCCGCCTCGTCCTCTACATCCCTAGCACCACTCGGGGTGGAAGGGTACGGATCAGCTGCATAGTTGGCATCCTTTTCGTCTGTACGAGGAGAACGACCAAAGACGCCTTTGAACCATTTCCCAGCCAAGTTCGAGCCAGGGATTCCGCTAGGGGAACAGCTGCGTGGAGCTCGGTCGTCGTGGTGCGAATTGCGTCTTGCTTCGCGCTCCTCAGCTGCTTGTCTGCCCATCAGAGTCGAAAGGAAGCCAGAAGAGTGAGGGCTACCGCCAGCTTTAGCAGGCGATACAGAGCCAAAAGGTGAATTGGCGCGAGAGTAGTCGGTGTCTGCACCATTGTCGTAGCGCAGAGGAGAGTTGGGTGAGCGGCCGAATGGGATGTCTACGGGCGAGGGCAGGCCGTCCAGAGGTGCAGCAGCAGGCATCATTGGTGGCTGCGCACCTGCGTCACTGTCTCGGCGGAGCCTGTTAACGATGCCGAAGGAGAAGCGACGCGAGCGGGATGGCGAATGGTCTTGTGCAGCAGGCATTGTAGGGGGGAAGTTGTTCATCATCATTCCGCGCTGGTCGAGGGGAGGTGTACCTGCGCTGTGGTTGCGTGGTGCCTGAGGGTGATGCCGGTGCTGTTGGTATTGCTGTTGCTGTGGGAACTGCTGTCCAGGGAACTGATGGGGACCAGACATCGCAACATGTCTAGCACCAGCAGGACTGGGACCTCTGGAAGACCCTTGCTGGTGCTGCTGGTGCTGTTGCTGAGCAAGACTCTTGGTTCCAGCAGTGATCCTAGCGACTGACTTCTTACCACTGCTACTGTTGGCAGCTGAAGATTGAGCAGAGTGCGCAGAACCCGAGCTGCCCTGTTGCTCCATTGTGGGTATACCTGAATGTCCAGAGTGGCTATGAGAGCTGCTGGTGCCCGAAATCGATTTTCTCGGCGAACGACCTCTCTGCTTGGCGCCTTTTTGAAAGTCACCAGCTTTCATACTGCCAGAAGGACTAGCAGGGCGATAGTAGGGAGAAGGCTGGTTCATTGCATTGGCAGACTCCGGTCTTCCATCGTTGGAGCTTCGTGCAGTACCATATCCAACACCTCCACCCGGACCACCAGCAGGAACGCTAAGACTAGCAGGTGCAGCACCAAGCGGCTTACTCTTCGATCGTCTGTACTGTAGCCGCTGCGGTTGACCCATGATATCATCGTCCGAATCTTCGAGTGTCATCCGCCTCGCTGGAGAAGCTGACTGTTGGCGCGAGCCTTGCGAAAAAAATGGCTGGTTTTGCTCACCCGAAGGAGAGGTAGGGAGAGAAACACCACCAGGACTACGCACAACACTTCGGACAACAAAGCTCGAAGCAGAGCCGGAAGGGCTCACGGCATCGTTGTTCGACGACTTGCGCGATCGAGTGGTGTTGAAACTGGTATCAAGGTTGAGGTTGGGCTGCTGCTGCTGCTGATGATGATGATGACCTTGCGTGTTGGGGCTGGAAGAACGAGAGCGGTTGAAAGGCCAGAATTTGCGTCCTGGGGAAGGGGAACGATCGTGTTGTCGATGATCCATGGCGAGATATTCTGTTGTGTGTGGGTCGGGTAGAAAGCTGTAGTGGTTGTTAGGCGAGTGTGCCATCTTGTTACGCTCACTACTCGCACGACTATGGAGGAGGTACCAATTGACGATGTCAGCTTGATCCGCGGTGGGAGTAGTGGTGGTGACTCTGATAACGAAGAGCACTTACAGTTGCTAAAGGTGGGGAGTGTGAGATGGAGGGAGTGTGAGATGGAGGGAGTGTGAGATGGGGGAGTGCAGAACTGAAAGAGAAAGGTGCAGGGGAGAGTGGAAGTTGAAACGAGAAGAGAAGCGAACAGAGCGCAAAGGTGGGGCTGGTTTAATATGCACGGCCAAGCGGCAGGTGCAGCTGGACGTTTCACTCCCTTCTTCCCTTGGCTTCACTTCACTCTGCGCCATATTGACGAGAACATGCTTTCACTCGAGCCCCTTTTTCCTCACACCGCTCTCTCTCTCTCTCTCTCTCTCTCTCAATCTCAATCTCTGCTGACGATGAGGGAAGAAGCGAATGCGAAAAGGGGTCGCACCCCTCGTACAAGAAACAGAAAAAGCGGCGAGAAAGGCTCTCGTTTTTAGGGGCTCAAACGTCAAAACTCCACACAATAAGATTACACGCCGTAGAAGCTTTATTCTTTCGCGTGTTGGCGCCCAATGTCACGTGCTGCCGTCTGAGATAGGATCTAACAATCCGACCTTCAATCGGCGCCTGTTGTCGTGCTTCTTCGCCGAGTTGGAGGGAAGCAAACCGTTCTTGACGACTGTCTGAATGCTCGTACTGTGTCGGCTTGCAGCCTCAAAAGACCCATGTCTTGATCGCACCTCACACTGATCACAAAGCAATCTTCGTCATCATCAAAACGAAACTTCTATTAGCGCAACATCGATACAAAACCGCCCGGTATTGCTGGAGAGAGACAGCTACTGCTCATCAGTAACACTACCAACCCCCATCAGAAACCAAAATCTGCCCTAATCCGCTCACCGACACGGCAACAGGGGAGTTTTCTTGCTCCGCGGACACCATCATTCCCACCTCGACATGCACAGAAGGCAACCGAACACTGGTCTATGTGTTATCAAGAGAATGTAATTTGACAACGCAAAAGCTATCTGTAACTAAAGATCCAAATCATCATCTGGATCTTCATCATCCTCATCGTCGTCCGCTTCAGGTTCGAAGAAGATTTTCGCATTTCCTGTTGTACCCCTCAACGCCGCTCCTCCTTCTTCCCCTATCGCCGGCTCTGCTGGTGCGTTCTGGTGATAAGCGTAGGGCAAGGGAACAGTTTCGCGTCTGGATCGTTGCTCCCAAGTTTCGTTGAGATTGAACGAGAGATTTCCGAGCATGGAGTTGTGTTTATCTCCTCCCGCGTCTGCTGGTGCTGAAGCAGAGGTGGAAGTGGAAGGGGTGGAATGATCGACCATGTCCAACGGCACCAATCCTAATCCTTTGTCACTGATGGAGTTGATGAGCCCGATGATCTCCTCGTACTTCTTCCCGTTCCTCGTGTAGTGGCATTCCAAGATCGCGTAGCCAGTGCGAGAAGGGTTGAGCAGGTCAGTGAGAGTAATGCAGCTCATCGCTTGCCCTCCCTCACTCTCCCCACTTCTTCCACCTTGGGTAGCGATAGCGGAGAGAGACTCGAAGGCACATTGTTCAGCAACCCACCATCCAGGCACATGGCCACCAGCTTCGTATCCCGCCACTCCCATCGGTCCACGACTGGCGACATTGCGAAGAACATCCCAGAAGCGGACATCAACCTCTTCTTCCTGCCCCTCGTCAGCAAAATCGAGTGCTCTACGGACAGCGCTGCTTGAGGATGGAGGTTTGAGTGTGTACTGCTTGAAAATGTGACGTAGCAGTGCTGGTGGGTGGATAGTAGTGGAGAGGACTGTTCCACCTGCTCCTCCCGCTGCAGCAGAGGTGAGAGAGGAGGAACGCCAGATCAATGGAGAATGCAGTGCGGAGATAAGAGCTGCACAAGTCGATGTTTCCACACCACCCATCTGCAGCCCAACGATGAATTTGCCAGATGCGCCAATGAAGGAAAGAGCCTCGCCAACGAGCTTGCTTGTTCCCGCAACACCGTTTTGCTGTACGTGCGAGACGAGGTTGAGCGAGTCAATGATGACCGTTGACTTTGTCGTGCTTGCGTTGAGGGAGGAGAGCTGGGTTTTGATACGTTCTGTAAGCTCGATCGTCGATTTGATCGCATCTGGGTCGTAGGCATTAGCCAGAGTGGTAGCATCGATAGTTGCAACTCGCCCAGCCGCGATGCCATCGAGGTACGTCTCTGGTCTGCGCAACGTAGATACTAGCAGAACAGGGTGGTTACGCTGTGCACTGCGAGCGATCAACTCCCTAATCAGGGGGGTCGAGGACTGCACCAGCGAATCTTGAAGAATGACCAACTGCTTGCCATATCGATGCGAAGAAACACTCTTCAGCCCGCTGGAAGATCGATCAGCAGGAGCAAACATGATATCGTCCAAGAGACTTTGCCCTAGAGAAGGCGTGCTTGCAACTCCACCTCCACCACCGCGTCCACTGGTCGCCCTACCACTTGGTACACTTGACGATGTTGCTGCTCCGGTTACTGCTCCATGACTGGAATGCGAACTAGCCTTCATCGTATCGCTCCTCGAAAGCGGTTGCTGTTGCGTCGGAAGGCAAGTCGTCTCACCGCCTGCGCCTGCTGTGTACTGATATTCAACCAGTCCACGCGCCACGGTAAGGACTTGATTGGGCATGAAGACGTCCCCCCTTCTCGCCTCCTCGAGGGAGAAGGGTTGGAGAAGACGTCCTTCCGCTTCATGCCCTAGCCGAAAAGACGAAGGTGGCTTTCGTAATGCTTTTCCTTGCTCCAGATGTTCTGGGCGGCTTTGGAGTGCAGTGGACATTGTGCATGATGCTGCGTTGTAAAGGCGCGGCGAAGGTGGTTCGGCTTCGTCTGCACTAGCGCCAGAAGTGGAAGGAGGAGTGTGGATGGAAGAAGAGGAAGCAGTGTCGGCAGGAAGATGCCCTGATCGAGTAGAAGCGTCGCAGGAGAGTGCGCCATGGTCGAGGAGATCGTCGGAAGAATTGTGGTGATGGTCGTGATGGGAGAGGTGGGACTGCGCAGGGGCATCGGCGTCGACTTGGCCGCGCTGCTGGTGGTCATGCGCTGTTGTTGGCTGGTCGACGGCGTCATCTGCCCGCTGGACGTTTCCCGAGTCTGCTTTGTCGGTGATGTTGTTCTCCGCATTCTCGTCTAGGTGGTGAGCGTCACGGTTAGCGTTGGCGTTGGCATCGCCGGTGGTTTGCTCGACTTGCTGCTGCTCTTGCGGGAGGTGACGATCCTGATGGGCACCATTAGCATTCCCCGCATTAGCATTTCCCCTATTAGCATTCCCCGCATTTGCAACTTGACCTTGGTCTGCACCACGACCAAGACTCTCGATCTCCTCCCTCTCGATTTCTTCCAACTCGATCCTCATCTCATCGGCCTCCCTCTGCAAGCTGCGCTTGAATTGAGGCAAGGAGCGAATAAACTCTAATTCAGCAAACTTGTCAAAAGGCTGAGGCGACTGCCACCTGGCATTGGACTCGTGATAAGCCTTCAACCAGGGATGCATCAAGGCCTGTTGAGCAGTTAATCGCTGATCAGGGTCCCAAGTAAGCAACTTGGCGACCAAGTCGAGCGCCTCTGGATTGGCGTTGGGGTAGAGCTTCTCGAGGGGCACAGGAGGCATGTTGGGAAGCGACTTGATGTAAGTCTTTGCGCGCTCGGAACCGATCTTGTCGAGAAGAGCTTCAGAGGGGGAACCGAGGACATTGTTGATGCGTGCGATCTGATCGACATAGTCTTTGCCGCCAAAGATGGGTGCACCTGCAATGAGTTCTGCGAGGATGCAACCGACGGACCACATGTCCATTTCGGGACCGTAGCCCTCACGGAAGCAGAGCATGACTTCGGGAGCACGGTACCACCTTGTAGCGACGTATCCGGTAAGAGGACCGCCGGGGAAGTTGAGACGCTTTTGCTTGCCCTTGCAGTCGGTCTTGTAGAGCTGAAGGTGCAAATCAGAGGCGCGTGAGGGTGAGCGTGAGGGTGAGCGTGAGGGTGAGCGTGAGGGTGAGCGTGAGGGTGAGCGTGAGGGTGAGCGTGAGGGTGAGCGTGAGGGTGAGCGTGAGGGTGAGCGTGAGGGTGAGCGTGAGGGTGAGCGTGAGGGTGAGCGTGAGGGTGAGCGTGAGGGTGAGCGTGAGGGTGAGCGTGGTGGTGGTGATGGGTTGAGCTCGGGAGGATGGCTGGTGATGCTGGATCCTGGCTTGGCTTGGCTCTGGTCAGCGGAAGGGGCTGATGCTGGTGGTGGAGCGAGGGAGTGGTCCGAGTGGGCATAAGCTCGAGCAAGACCAAGATCGCAGATGCGAAGAGCGCAGTCGCCATTGACCAGGAGATTGCTTGGCTTCAAATCACGGTGGATGACGTTGGCAGCATGCATGTAGCGAAGGCCACGAAGGATCTGAGCGATAAAGTACTGGTGGTGAGCGTCGGAAAGTGCCTGGCCTGATCGGATGATCTGGGAGAGATCGGCTTCGCTTGCGGAGAGAACAAGATAGATCTCGGAAAAGTCGATGAAAGCAGTGTCAAAGTCGAGCAGAGCAGTGAGGTTGTCACACATGCCGATATGACGGAGCAATGCGACTTCGCGCAGAGCTCTCCTTGCAAGAACATCCTTCTCGAAAATGCGAGCGACCTTTTTGATGGCAACATTGCATTCGAGCACCTCGTCACGGCACAGGGCTACACATCCATAAGCACCGATGCCGAGCTCACGAAGGAATGTATAACGCTGCTTGACGTGGAAAGGAACGCCGAGAGAGCGGAAAGAGTGGTATCCGCGTGCAGCAAGGTTGTGAGGTGCCATGGGGTGGTCGTCGTTGGAATAGCGAGGAGTGCGATGCAAAGCAGAAGCGGAGGAAGACATGTTGCGGCGAGTTTGTGTTCGAGTGCGAGTGGCTTGCCTCGAGCCAACTTGGTGAACTACTGAGAGAGAAGAGGAAGGGGAAGGAGGTGGTGGTGGTGTTTTGCTAGATGCAGCGGAAGATAAAGTGGGGTGAGGTGGAGGTGGAGGTGTGGTTTGTGGTGCTGGCATTGTTGATGATTGGTATGATGTGTGAGAGAGTTGCGGATCTTGGTGTAAATCGAGCAAGAGGAAAGAAGCCGCAAGGAAAGGGGCGGCAAGGAAAGGAGCGACAAGGATGTGGCGGCTAGACGAGAGGTTGTCGGTTGTGATTCTGGTATGCGAGGGTGAGGATGGATGAGTTGATGGTGATGTTGGTGGTGGTGGTGGTGGTGGTGGTGGTTACTGACAAAGGCCTGATTGATACGCAATGAGGAGGAGCTGGTGAAAAGCAGTGTTGGGCGGCTAGATATGCAGTGTGATAGCGATGCTACTAGAAATGCGGAGAAGCGGTTCCTGCTTTGCTGCTGTTGGAGCGTATAGAAGAGGAAAGAGCGGTTTGTGTTGTCTGTGTGAAATTGCAGGTTCTGTGCAGTGCACGGATCGCGGGTGTGGTGGGTAGGAAGCAGGAGCAAACAAAGGGAAGGAACGAGGTTGGTAATGTGGACCCTGGGTGCTGTGTAAGAGCAAGAGGGAAAGTGGCAAGCGCCAGCTAGGACGTCGTGCTTCGGATGGGAACTGCGAGATGTGTGTGTGTGTGTGCTGTCAAAGAGAGAGAAGAGTGTGCGGAGTGCAAATACGGGCTGAACGTGGTGGTGTGTGTGTGAGAGATGAAGGGAAAGAGAAAGGCAGTCGACGATGATGTTGAAGGTGATGTCTGTGAGCAGATGAGCTGAGCATGAGCGTGCTAATGAATCGCACAGTGTGAGGCAAAGAAATAAAGGGGGACAGCAGAGCGCGACAATGGACTGTCACTGTGATAGTGACTGTGATAGTGACTGTGATAGTAACAGGGTGTGGATAAATAATAATAATAAAATGGCAACGCAACGTGGGAGAACTATGTTGGGTGGGTGAGTGTGTGTTGAAAAAAAGAAAAAGGAAAAAAAGGAAAAAAGGAAAAAAAAAGGAAAAAAGGAAAAAAGGAAAAAAAGGGAAAAAAGGAAAAAGTGCGAGATCGAGGGCGCTGGCACAGAGATCGTGAGAGAGTGTTGCAAATCGGCGTCTCGTCCGTCCTTTCTCCCGAATATAAAGTTGAAGTAGATAAAGCCGCACAAAGCGTGGAGACAGTGAAGGTAGTGCTTACGGCCGAGTAAAAGGCCTGAACATCTTAGCACGGACCACATGTGTCACAACCTACTCAAGGCAAATGCTTTGTTATGCTCCGCAGTCAATGCGGCTCTCCGCTGCTCTTCTTTTGTATATATAGACTCCTAGCTCTCTCGCTCTCTCTCTCTCTCCTACCATCATCATCAACCACTGACTCCAACGCACTGACGAAGGACTTCAACTTATAATCACGCCCGAGGCAAAACGCGCAGAGTGACAGTCACAACAATAAAGACGCGGAAAAAGAGGGGGAAAAAAAGGGAAAAAAAAGGAAGAAAAAAAAAAAAGAGAAAAAGAAAAGAAAAAAAAAAGAAAGAAAAAAAAGAAAAAAAAAGAAAAGAAATAAAAAATAACACCCCGTTTTCGGATTTCGAGCAAAAACAAACAATTTGCGATCTTCTGTTGATCCGTTCCCTCTCGGCTCAACCCTCTTTGCCACTCTAGCATGGTGTAGCTCAAGCTCCATCCCCAACGATCGAGTTTGCTAGCAACATCCTCCAACTTGATCTCGTCGATGCTATCGATTGTCGAGTTGAGCGTGTGAAAAGGGGGGAGGCTTGATTGGCAATGAAATCAACGTGAAACCACAGAGTTGCATCTCTTCATTCTTTTTCATATCCGTGCAGCATGTGCCTGCGCTCAGACAATCACACAGCCATCTTTCATGCCTTGTCCACACCCAACCCATCCAAGACTCGACTTGCTCCACGCGGCAACAGTGCCACTTTTCATCCCTTGTTCTAGCCTTTTGAGATGCTTGCTCTAATCCCTCACAAGTAGCCCGGCTGAGTTGCTGGTGTAAATGAGAGCCAGTTTTGATTTTCCCCACCTTTCTTGTCTTTGAGATGATGATTTTTGGTTGATTTTTGAAGCCGTCTTTTCTCATCCCCTTTTTTTTCATCCCGAGGATCACCGATCCGTTCCTTCTTCTTTGAGCGCCTCGCTCAGATCGCACACCGACACACATCGTAGGAAAGCGTATAAACGCTGACCACCCTAGATTTCAGACGAGAGCCCAATTCAGCAAAGAGTAGAGTCAAGTGAATGCATCAAACCAACAGAACAAACCAACAAGGCACAAGAGAAACGAAAACAACTCCATCTCTACCTACGCCCTCTGCTCAACAAACAGGCATAAAAGTAGAACTAGCACTTGCACCCCCAACTCCACCCCAGAAGCTACTAGCCATGCTCGGTGCCACATCCTTCTTCGTATTCGCCTGAGGCATCAAACTTGGCGAACTCCTCCTCAACAAACTAGGCCTAGGCGATTGAGACCTTGGCGAACCAGGAATCATCAATGTAGGAGTAGCTGGTCTGCTTCCACCACCCTCATTGCCAAAGTTGAGCAACGCACCTGGAGTCAAAGGCATTTCCTGGCTAGGACTTGTACGGCCAGAGCTCACACCGTTGCCACCAACACCACCGGCCCAAGTGGGAACAGTGATGCTCTGCAACGCCTCCAAAATCTTACCCACATCCGTGCTCGAGATCGTCCTACCTTTTATCGTCTTAACTTCTTCTTTTAGACTCTTGTTCTCGACGCAAAGCTCAGAGATCTGCTGACGGAGACCTTCGATGATCGTGTCACGGTCAGAGATCTGCTCCTCGAGTTGAGTGATGTACTCCTTTCTACGAGTCCTGAAGTTACGAGCCGAAATCTTGTTGCGCAGTTGACGCTTCTCTCTGCTGCTGAGCTTCTTGTACTCTTCTGGGTCGGGTTTGAGATAGTTGATATCGCCAACAGCCATGGGGATCGTGTTGAGAGGCTTGCTCTTCGTCCCTTTCCAAGCAGAGTTGTCACCTGAACGACCGCTGCCGTGTTCGTCGCTCTCATGTTCCTCATCATCGTCCTCGGACATGGGAGTAGCAACCTCCTTGATCTCCACCTGTCCAGTAAGGTTGCCAATAGTGTAGCAGCTCTTGTTCGTGTTCGTGTTGGCAGTGGTGAGATCGGCAGTGGTGAGATTGGAAGGGCTGATGCAAGGCATAGCCATGGAAAAGGGGTTGACTGCACCGCTTTCGACAACGTGAGGGTCGATGGTGGCCGATTCCATCTCGGTAGTGCGGAAGGGCGAGGTGCGGAAGGGCGAGGTGCGGAAGGGCGAGGTGCGGAAGGGCGAGGTGCGGAAGGGCGAGGTGCGGAAGGGCGAGGTGCGGAAGAAGCCAAGCATCTGATCCGAATCATCCTCAAACTTGATGGCGGTGGAAGATGATCCGAGAGCAATATGTTGCGATGGCTCAGCTAGAAGGCAAGAGCTAGGCTCGCCAAAGACAGTGGAAAAGTCGACAAGAGCCTCGTCCTCACCGATGCTGTTGAGGAGAGGAGGAGGGGCAAGAGGCGAGTAGCTACGAGACGAGAGAGCAGGCGACTCAGCGGTAGTGTCGAGCTCGGGTGGGCTGACAGCCTTGTCGGCGGCAGACAGGAGGGGAGCAAACGCTACATGCTGAGGAGTGGGAGCGGCAACAGAGACGATAGCGGGAGCAGCTGCAACAGCTTTGGACTGAGGAGGAGGTGGACGTGCCACGGCAGCGACAGTGACCTGCGAAGTAGATGCTCGAGGCCGAGATAAGGCGCTCGTGTCGGATGTACAAGCCTGCTGAGCATTGCCCTTGTTCTTGAAGAGGCTGTCAAAGTGATTGCGGACATACCTGTCCAGGAGGGCTTCGCTGGGCTGAGTGCCAGCCTTGCGCAACTCGAGGGCAAGGTAGTAGCGAAAGAAGACCTCGGGCGAGGAGCCTGGAGGTGGGGGAGGCTGATTCTCATCAAGACCAACCTTGCGCATGTTCAAGGTAGAAGCGGCCAAAGTCGAGGAGGAAGAAGAAGCTGTGTTGGTCTTGATGCAAGACTCGGCAGCGTTGGTGAGAGATGCCTGAGAAGCGGAAGAAGCGGTGCGAGCACGAGGTTGAAGGGCGGGAGAGGAAGGCACCTTGTTGACGAGATCGTCAAAGCCATTGAAGCTCGAGTTGCGAGCGACCTGAGTAGCTGCCATCGTTGCTGCTGCTCAGTTGTGACGAGTGTTGTTATTCAAAGTGGTGTCGACGACCAAGTAGGGCTGCGTCGACTCTCAAGCTGGCCGGGGTGTTGCTATGGAAGATGTGGAACAAGAGATACCAGAATGGCTGAGCCAGTTGAGCGAATGCCTTGAAAAGTGGCAGCGAGTGACACACACACACGCACTGCCACCCACTCGGAGCTAACTTGAAATCGACGCCAACCGAGCGATTTTGCACCTTTCCAAGGCCCGTGCCTTGACGCCACCCAAACCTCCGGTAAATCACAGTGATCACAGTCAGCCAAAGGGGCCTATGTTTCAATGTGACAGACCACCAAAGAGGTCCCCTTTGATGGTCACACTTCTTCTATGCAACAGCTGTCTATGCATTTCTCTCGCAGACAACTGTGATTGCTGCAAAGTGAGACAAGTGAAAGGGGCAGTGTGCTGTGAATAGTAGTCCAAAAAACCGGCTGGGCTCAGCTGAGCTATTGCTATTGCTACCAAGCTGAATGCGCTTAAGCTCAGCTTTGGTCCTTTCGCCAAATTCCTGAGACTGACAACTTTTCTTACATTGACATTGCTCTCGCTGGCGTGCTCGGACCCTCATCGTTATCATCGCTGTCCATCCAGCCTTTCTGTAGCTGCAAGCTCTGACTGTATCAGTATCGAAACAAGCAAGAACGATGCAGGCACGCAAGCAGCACCTCGAGCATCCTCCGCTTGTGTGAAGCCGTTTGTGTTTCATTGCTTCTTCTCTTGTTCGCTCAGCGCCATTCATCTAACAACACACAGCCTCTTTTCCGTATCTTCTGGCCCTTGTTTTTCCTTCCATCGTCTTCTTCCAAAGTCTATGTATGCCATGCCACCTTGATGGTTGCCGCTCTTCTCACCAGCGGGTCCTCATACTTTGGCTCTAGTTACCACTTGCAGCTCACTTCCATTCGACTCTCGCTGCTTGTCACTCGCTTGTCATCATCATCCTATCATTCAAATCTATGCTGTAACGGCGAGCAACAAGCTGACTCGACAAAGTGACCGTGCAAGCTCGGCTTGACATGCGCGCTTACGATCCCCCTTTTTTTTTTTTTGTTTTTGATTTTTTGTTTTTGTTTTGCGCCCGTTGGATGATGTTAGGTTCTCTTTTTGTCGACATTGCAAAAAAAAATAGATCGGCGATCATGTTGCTCCATCTCAAAATCGAGCCGATGTGAGGCTGGGTCTCACTGTTTTGCCTTTTTTTTCATCTTCTTGGCCTCTCATCTTGACCTCCGCACAAAGCCAGTCGACATCATCCAACACTGCATCTTGTCCTTGTACCACAACTCACCGAATGCCTATATCTCCTACCTGAGAGGAACGTCCCGCATCCAACACTCAAGCAGTTTTGGAACGTCGCAGGCTAACACCGGCATCAAAAGTACGACTCAACTTTGAGCATCTCTTCGCGACCCTCAACTCCGTTCCGCTGTGCAACGGACCGACTTTATTTTCGACTCCTTCCGCATCCCGCCATCCATACTCTCATCAGCAACAACTCTCTTCTATTTGACAGGCACGAAGCCATGTCCTGGAGAAGCAACGCCCAACGAACGGGCATGAATGCCCAACCTCTTCAAGGTGCAAGACGTTGGGGCGGAGGAGGAGGCGGTGGTGAAGGAGGCGGTGGTGGAGGCGACCGCGGCTCCGGATCTCCACCTTCCAACTACCAGCAATCTCAACCATATCCATCACCCTACCAACAGCAGCCATCCTACCATCAGCAACATCAACATCAACAGCAGCAGCATCACTACTCTGGTCCCTCCTCCTCCTCTTCTGCGTCCAACCCACGCGATGCAGCCCTAGCAGCAGCCGCTGCCGTCGCAGCAAGCATTGGAATCAAACGTGACGCTCCCTCCACCTCCTCTTCTGCACCCGCCGACTCGACTTCATCCTCTGACGCCGATAGAGGTCCTCGCAAACGCAAATCTCGCTGGGGCGACGCCAATCCCACCACCTCCAACATCCCCACTGCCATCGGTGCCAACGTCTCAGCCACTGATCTTGACAAATACGCCATCCAAGTCCGTCTCGACGAAATCTCCCGCAAACTTCGCTCAGGCGACTTCATCCCACCCGATCGCGAAAGGTCCCCCTCCCCTCCACCCACCTACGATAACCAAGGCCGTCGCACAAACACCCGCGAAGTCCGTTACCGCAACAAACTCGAAGATGAACGTCTCTCCCTCGTCGAACGTCAACTCAAACTTGATCCTAATTTCCGTCCTCCTCCCGATTACCAAGCGATCAAACGCAACCAAAGACCTTCAGAAAAAGTGTATTTGCCGATTAAAGAGTTCCCCGAGATCAACTTTTTCGGTCTCCTAGTAGGTCCACGTGGTAACACGCTAAAGACCATGGAGAGACAGAGTGGAGCAAAAATCAGTATTCGTGGTAAAGGCTCAGTCAAGGAGGGCAAGGGAAAAGGAGGGGATGAGGATGAGGAAGAAATGCACTGTGTTGTGGCTGCTGATGACGAGGCTGCTGTGAAAAAGTGCATTCGCTTGATCAACCAGGTGATCGAAACCGCTGCCTCCACGCCGGAGGGGGAGAACGATCACAAGCGGAATCAATTGCGAGAGTTGGCTGCCCTCAATGGTACCTTGAGGGACGACGAGAATCAATTGTGTAAGAATTGCGGTAATAAGGGTCATAGAGCCTTCGAGTGCCCCGAACAGAGGAATTGGACAGCTCACATTGTTTGTCATCGTTGCGGAGGGCAAGGCCATCTGGCCAGGGATTGCACGCAGGGTAGAGGTGGACCGGGTGGTGCGTTCGGTGCTCCCAGTGGTCCAGCAGCAGGTGGTGCCCTTGGCGGAACAGGGAATCGCCAATTCGATTCAGAGTATGCAAATCTTATGGCTGAACTGGGAGAACCCGCTACCGCTGCAGCTAACGCCTCTGCTGCAGGTCCCGTTGCGGGCAATGCTGGTCCAGCTTCCGCAGCAAACGGCTCGGTAGGACCAGATGGAAAGAAAATTCCACCGTGGCGCAACCCCGATGTATGGACTCAACCTGGCTTCGGTGCTCCTCGACACCAATCCGACTCCAACCGCGCTGGTGGAGGATGGGCCGGCAGAGGAGGCTACAATAACCGAGGTGATCGCGGTGCTCCCTACAACTCCCATCACCCTTCTCAGCAGTACGGTCAACAAGGAGGATATGCTGGCTACGATCAACAAGCACCAGCCGCTCCGGTGGGAGGAGAAGGGGCCGAGGGACAAAAAGATTACTCGGCAGAATGGGCTGCCTATTACGCTGCACAAGCTGCTGCTGGATACGTTGATCCCAATGTCGCCGCAGCAGGAACAGCAGAAGCGGGAGCAGAAGGAGCAGTCGACTACACAAAAGAGTGGGAAGAGTATTATCGAATGCAAGCTGCAGCTGCCGCTCAAGATACCAATGCTGCTGCTGCTTACGGTGTTCAACCTCCGCAGTAACCACCTCAAACCCGGTGCAGATTTGCTCCCTTCTGATTTCATGCTTACTCATATCGCAATGTACTGTACTGTACATTTATTTAGTGCCCAATCAAAGAGTTCTACAGCAATCAGCACCGGCCGGTTGCCGTGCTCAGCGAAGTACTCAGTGCGTAACTTGTTAGAGAAGCTCCGCATGACAATTGAGCTGAACATTGAGTCGGAATCTTCGAAGGTAGTCGCCTTTTGGTCAAGGACGTTTCGTGCGAAAGGAACAACGGATAGCATCAAGAAAATCTTGCATTGCCATGCATGTACAGAGATCACTCTTGGATCCAGGAGGTTGTGTTTGTCCCATCACATCTTTTTGTTCAGGCTCAAGAGTACCTTCAGATGATGGTTTGTGATTGTGCTAAGTTCAGGGGTGGGCCCTGGAGTAGCTTCATGACCAACCAGGCGGCGATTGGGGTTGCTCGCATCAGAAATGGGGGTGTCAGCCCTGACTGACATGGAGTCTCCATCTTGATAGGGTGTTGTTGCTCAATCAAACCCTCAATCTTGAATTCGAGGTTGCGGCTTGCGTCCCACTCCTTGTTGGCAAGGAAGAGGTTCACCCTGGTTTGCATCGCTCTACCAAGTTCGATTCGACTAGCAAACGGACCAAGATTGTGCATTGCTTTGTAAAGGTTACCAATACATTCGATCATGATGGACATGGGTGAGATAGTCTGCTCTTCGTCGCCTTCTTCCTTGGCGTACTTGAGTAGTTGACCATCTTTTGGGTCCATAGGACCATAGGTCTCGTTGGCTATTTCTCAATTGAACTGTTTTTGGAGGATTTTTGGCAATCGAGGCAGAAGATCCTGCATCATTTTGACAAAGTCCTCATAGTTCAAATAGTCCGGATTAGACATGCTGATGGTGTATCGGCTTGTTGGGCTCATAACCTGATATAAGTAAAGAAGTTTTGGTCCCGATAACTGGTGATCGGGGAGAGTCCGGGTACAATGTCACTACTACTTTAGGGCTGTTGGAAACTTGAGTAGTTTCGGTCCCGATACTGGTGATCGGGGAGAGTCTAAGTACGATGTCGCTGCTGCTAAAAGACAGAAACAAATATACTCAATTGACTAGAAGAAGAACATGGCGAGAGCCTCGAGCACTCTGCCTTACCTATATACAAAGTGTTGGTTCATCCCATATGTGGGAGTATCATCCTCCAACGCAGAGTCCAACAACGGGCGGGACCCAATTGCATCCATCCTTTGTCTCTAATCGGCTCTGTCTGATTCCCAATTAGATCGGGTCTATCCTCTCTCCGATCAGCTTCGATCCATCTGCTCCCCGATTAGACCTGCTGGATCGCCATCTTCAACAAGGGCAGAAACATGTATACTCAATTGACTAAGGAATGTGGCCAGAGCCTAGTGCTCTCTGCTTTGTATATATACATCTGTGTGGCACTTCCCAAAGGTGGGAGTACCCCTAGGTATTGATCAACCATGACAACGGGTGGGACTGTGTTGCACCCGATCTCTCATTAGAACGGTCCTCCCGAATCCCTGATCAGATCGACCTGTCCCGATCTCTCCACCATCGGCTTCCGTCATCTCTCATTATCATGTTGGATCGGTACCTTTGTCAGATAGATGCGCAGGAAGAACTGGACTCATATGAGTTGAAGTCATGCAATACACCACTTCGTCCGGGCTACGTTCCAGCTCCTTTCGCACAGGTGTATGATAGATGCAACGCTTAACATTTCTTGTGAACTATGACTATGAGACTGCTTGTTTATATAAGATGTCGGACGTCCATGAGGAATCCTATCCCCGCTCCGCTAACTATTTGTTCCACGCGTTACCTCGGCGTTGTCACCCACAAGCGCCTCCTGATTGGTCGCCACACGTCGACCATGAATGCACGTCCCTCGACCTCTCGGCGACTCGGCTCTTTCGCATCTCGACTAAACTCCTGGTAATTCCGTCGCAACTTCAACTATATGAAGAGGTTTTTATTTTTTATTTTCCTTTTCCGCAACTTGTTTTTTTTATTCATTTTTTTTAATTTTAAACGCGCTTCACGCCCTGCATAACACCACCACGCGTCGTCGAGAACAACACTTTCCCATCACCCAACACCCCCACCACCATCTCTCACACACAAACATGTCCACCACAACAACACAGCCGACCACAGCCGTTCCCTCAACCTCCATGTCTACCTCTGCCTCCGACTCCGCCTCCGACTCCGCTCCAACCCAATCCCACACCGACCCATCCACCACATCAACAAAACCAGAAAATGCAGTGCAACCACCCGACATCTCTTCCCCACACCAGTTGATCGATTGGGTAGACACGGTTCTAGGTCAACTTGAGTCTAGGTTCGATGATATGAATGGTCAAGTCACCTCACGGAGTAAGTGCCGCATCTTGACTTCCAGATTTTGAGGGTTTAGGAATGCTGACATTTGCATTGGTTGGTGGTGTAGTGAACGAGATGAGTAGTCGGATTGATGCTTTGGAGAGTTCTATACAGGCTGAGTACTCACCACTATCACGCTCTTAGGGTATAAGATGGAAAATAAGAAGCTGAACGATTCATGTCTGGTGGTGTAGATTTGATCCATGGCACACCCTCCCCGGTCAAAGCTACAGGGAATAACAATGACGCTTGACCAACCTCGATCAACTCAATATACCACTTTGTACACTATACAGCACAGGCTATTACATCTTCCATCAACTCTATTATCAATGCTGTGAAGTACAGAAGAAGATTACATCCCATAACAATCAGTTGAAGATACGTCGGAATTCCAATGTGCATCCCTTTTCGACTTCCAAGTATGCAAGAACGCATTCGACATGCTCGCACTCAAGTCACAACTCATCGGCGCCGCTCTCGTGCTGGCATTCTGTTCTGAAAACCTCTATGCAGCGCATGCATATATGGGCAATCAGGTTTGCCCAGTCTCCTTCGAAGCTACTACCTCGTAACAAAGACTACAAGAAGCATTGTGAAGCTGACACTGGCCCTGACGGTGCCGATCCCAAATGGCCTTGCTTCACCTTCTGGAACGGAGATTTAACTGAGGTGAACCGGGAAGTTCAGGGAAGCAAATCGTTCTCAACGAAGGCGAGGAGGTGACATGGGGGATTATGTCAGCTTCCGTCAAGCAGAGTTGAGTCGAGTCCTTTTTTCCTCTCCTGTTCTTCTCCACAGTCACATTGAGGAGTAAGGGATGGGATGGCTCGAGCAATTCAAAACAATGGTTCAGCTCAGCTTCAGCTTCAGCTTTGGCTTCTCTCCTCCTCTTCTTCCCTTCGGCACCTCAGCCGACGATGAGTGGTCCAGGCTGGCTAGCTGGACAGCTTGGGTGAAAGCATCAACCTTGCTCAGCCTGGCATGGCACCAGTGTTGCCCTCGGGAAAGGGAATGATGCTCTCCCTTTGGCAGGACTTGCTCACTGCTGGCTTTTCATGGTGCATATAAGGGGCCCAAATCATTCCCACATCCCAGATTTGCCCTTCCTTTCCCTTGTCTTCCTTGACCTTCATCTTCTTTCTCTCAGCTTCACTCTAAATTTGTCTGTAGCATCCCTCTTGCAACCAACTGAGCCAATCAAATTCACTTTCAGCACTGCTTTGCTTCCACAGTGGCACTCTCTTGCAATCATGCTCCTCCTCTGGTCACAGAAGGTACCACTTGTTTGCCATCAAACTCTGCACCTTGTATCCTCTTCTCTCTACCATGTCAAACACACCTTCTCACCCTCTTCAGGGATTTGGCCAGGTAGTGCCAACAGGAGCAGGTCATGTTGGCAAGTTTGGTGACCACACCTCCCTCACAGAGGAATACCTTGTCAGGTGGGCCAAGACAGTATCAAATCGCTTTGATGATAATCCAGCCTTCTTGGAGTTGTGCAAGAATCTAGCTGAGGTGGAGCAAGACCTTAACAATACATTCCATACACAACACCTCTCACCTGGCACCCACTTGGAGAATGCTGTGGTGGAGCAGTTCTTGCATACTTTTTGCAACAAGGTTTTCCTCCCACATGCTTATGGTCCTCACTCAATCATCACTGCTGATGACATCCTCTTGTCCCCACCTAGACACAATGTCTCAGCCAATTGCTTGTTTTGGAAGATGGTTGCCAAATTCTGTGTCTATCGTCAGAAAGAGTTGTGTCAGGGGTCTCGCGCCTGAAACCCAGGTTGTTCTGTCGAGATACTCGGTGACTATCAAACTGTGCGACAGCTATTGTCTCGGTATCGGTGACTATCAAGTTGCACAGTGACAGCAGGTGGTGTTCGTTGGATATACTATCGTAGGTTTCGGCTGACCTCTGTGGACACTCCATTCAGGGGTAGCTTGGCATGATCAATATCAATGCTTCAGTTATGATGACACCAAGGTCTGGTGTGAGTGTTGATGATGATGAAGTTGATGTCATTGGTGATAAGGTTGGTGAGTGTTGATGGTAATGAGGTTGATGGTGTTGATGATAAGGTTGGTGGCATCAACACGAGTGTCCAGTGTGTTGACTTGATGCTTGAAGTGACCCCTGGACCGCAGTGGACTACTGCCTTCAGTTCTATCTATATCTGGACCGCTAACCTGCTATGGGCACCTTCAGACATCAGGTAGTGGTGATACAACACACACACTACAATGAGGAGCAACCTTGATAGATTGCTGCTATGCTGACTGAAACTAATGTATACTTATGCTGAAGTGATAACTAGTTATATGGTGAGTAGAGTCGATGAGGATCCACTCGACCTATGATGATGAGAAAGCATGGTTATATACCTCTTCACAGCATCGCCAGCGATGCTGCTCCTGCTCTCTCTCCAGAGAGTACCTTCTTCATCGAGTACTGCTCAGGGGCCTCTCCTGCTTGGCACCCCTGTGCCTCTTGAGTGGTGTCGACTCCTTCGACACTGCTCCTCCTCCTCATGACCTGGTGTCAACTCCCTCGACACTGCTCCTCTTCCTCAGGACCTGCTTGCCAGTGTCCTATGACTCTTGTCTCTCGAGCCCCTGAGTGGTAACCATCTGAGCTTGGTCCTCTTCGTGGCTGTGCCTGCTCCTTGAGCTTGGTCCTCCTTGTGGCTGTGCCTGGCCCTCCTCGCATGTGGCTCGGTTCTCCTTTGCATGTGAGTCCATAGGAGTCCATGGTCTCCATGGAGACTGCACTACGACCATGCTCTCTACTGGTATCGACTAGGTCTTCGATACCTGTGCTCCTTCCATATGAACCAGTGACCCTCCTGCTTCTTGAGCATCCAGGCCCATGACACAACCCTGGTCGCCATCCATTTGTACATATCAAGAATGTTCCGTTTGTTTCTCTGCTAACGCAAGCAAGGCAGTGCTTGAGTTAACAGGTATGATCCAAGATCACCCAGCTCGAATACTCGCCGACACAGGTGCAGGCTTATCCATAGTTTCAGAATCTTTTGTCAGCAAGCACCACTTAAACACAAAACCAACAAAAACACAAACTGTACATGGTGTCACCAGACACAAACTTGTCATTAACAGCTCTGCTATGGTGCAGGTAGTTATTGGAAAACATGTACTAGGGGCAGTGGAGGCATCAGTAGCCAACACCACTGAGTATGACCTCATTCTGGGTTTCTCGGAATTGAAAAGGTTGAGACCAATGATCCAGTGGGATACTGGCCAACTCGAATTCAAGACCCAAGCTCAGAAGGACCAACCAGAAGAGTTGGGAGCCCTATGACAGGCACCCCTGAAGATAAACAAAAAGGATCCCCCTGATAAGAACTATAAGTCTATAAAACTTCATGGACATGAGTTCATATCAGCAGAATGATTGATCCAAGCAGCTTTGGAGGATGGCCCTATTGGGTTCATGCTGCTAGACACTCTGCCCTCATCTCTTCCAGCATTCAGATTTGTGCCTACTGGAGCTGATCAAGGGGTAGAAATGGAGGTAGAAGCAGATAAACCGGTTACAGTCAAGGACATACCGGAACCGTACTGACATCTACAAGAGGTGTTCAATGAGGTGGAAGCAGACAAGCTACCACCACACATGGAGCATGATCTATGGCTTGAACTGGCTGAAAATAGTAAGCCCCCTCAAGGACCATTATATCTCAAGGGACCAAAGGAAATGGCCAAACTCCACAAGTATCTTGATGAAAACCTAGCCAAAGGTTTCATACAGCCATCAAAGAGCCCTGCAAGATCACCAGTACTCTTTGTACCTAAGAAAGATGGAGGATTGCAACTCTGCATTGATTACAGGGGCTTGAATGAAATCACAGTCAAGAATCGAGCACCATTGCCACTCATCGATGAACAGTTGTTCCTCCTATGCAAGGCAAGGATATATTCGAAGCTGGATCTCAGAGCCACGTATAACCTTATCCATATTGTGGATGGAGATGAGTGGAAGACAGCATTTGGAACCCAGCTGGGTCTTTATGAGTATTTGGTAATGCCTTTTGGCCTAGCTAATGCTCCTGCCCATTTCCAGTCATTTATCAACCACATCTTCTGCAATATCATCAGAATATACATGGTGGTGTTTCTGGATGACTTCCTAATCTTTAGTGACACAAAAGAGGAACATATCACACACATCATCGAGATCCTGTCACACTTGAAGAAGCATCAACTATTCGCCAAGCTGTCAAAATGTGAGTTTCACATGGACACCATCGAATTCTTGGGGTATATCATAAAACCCACAGGGATAGAAATGGATCTGGAGAAGGTGTGAATGGTTACAGAATGGCCAATGCCAGAGTCGATCCATGACATCCAGCATTTCCTAGGCTTCACAAACTTCTATCAGAGATTCATAGCTCATTTCATGTGCATCGCAAAACTGCTTACATCATTAGTAAAGCCCACAGAATGATTCAAGAAGTTTGAGTTACTGGGAGATGCCAAGCAGGCTTTTCACAAGCTCATCCAAGCATTTATGACAGCTGGGGTGTTGAAACACTTCGACTATCACTTGCTGACATGGCTAGAGATGGATGCAAGTGACTTTGCCATTGCTGGGGTATTAAAACAGGAACATGAAGGATGTTGGCATTCAGTAGCTTACTATTCTCACAAAATGGTGTCAGCTGAAAAGAACTACAAGATACATGATAAAGAGCTCCTTGCAGTGGTGGCCTGCCTCACCCAGTGGCACCATATGTTAGCTGGACTACCCAATCAGCTTGTCATTCTGACAGATCATGAAGCCCTCAAGTATTTTAAGTCTCAACGACGTATTACTGGAAGACAAGCTAGATGGGCAGTATTGTTGGCCAATTTTGATTTCGTGCTGCAATATTGTCCAGGCGACAAGGCTGGAGAACCAGATGCATTAACTTGGAGGAGAGACATGCAACCCATTGGGGAGGAACAGGAACACAATGTGTGACAGTTACTACCATCCAGGGTGTTCAGGAAAGTCCAAGATGTGAACAAACCACAGGACATCCCCAAAACAGCAGGGGTTGCTTTGATACTGATAGCAGCCACACCAACAATGGAGGCTATCACTTCACAAGGATTACTAGGCCTAGTCCAAATGTTCCAGCCCCTAGATCAGGAACTTCAAGAGATGCAAGCCCAGACACCTTTTGAAACCAGGAATGGGCTCTGGCACAAAGATGGACGCCTGGTCATTCCAAAGGT